TTAAAATCAATAGCAGGCTGTATTTTGTTACAGGATAAGACGCTGCATGATTTGGTCAGTTTAATAGAGTCCGTAGTCATATTAACCGATATACCCTGCCCTAAAATCTCTCTACCTACCATGACGTCATAACGTAAGTATTGGTCTGGGAGTACGTGAAAAAGTATCTCAAGTGGTATAGAGTCAATAGTAACAGTAGTCAATATTTGCAAAGTACTGTGTACACTTGTCTGTCCGATGCCCGTCATAGTTACAACATTATTTACGCGCGAGCCACTAAATCTACCACAAGCAGATTCCTTTATCAAGGAACATTCGGAGCCGGAATCGTAGTAAAACGAAATTTGCTCACCATTGTGATCCAACACTCCACGCGGCGCACCGATGACGCAGAGATCCACGCGCCGCTCAGCCGCAGGAGTGCTCGCACTTGTTCCCGGTTTGCCAGCTACGCCAGGACATCGCGGTGCTGTGTGCCCAACTCCGTGACACTTGAAGCAGATGATGTTGTTGTTGCCGCAGGCCTCTCGCTGTTACTGCCGGTTCTATTCATGGACGATCCACTAGTCGAAGCATTGTTATTGGAATGGAAATCCTTCTTCATGCCAGGCTTATTAAACTGCTGGTTCAATTTAGAGCGGCATGTGGCCGACTTATGCCCAGGTTTTCCGCATGTATAACATTTGGATAGTTGCTGACCAGTCTTGGGCCGTTTGGCTTCAGGTCCTGAACTGTCTTGATTAGTAGATGTCGCTACACGTTTTCTTGAGAAAGATATGGCCTTGAGTTCACGCTGCATGTCTGCCCGTGTCGGAATATTGGTGGTGAAAGCCAAACGCTGTACGCGAGGTTCAATGGGTGCAACATGTGCCAAGACGGTAGATACAGCAATTTGTTCCGTTGTTAGATTCTTCCATCGTGCCATCAAAGATGTTAAAATACGGGCTGAATAAGCAGCGAGACATTCACCAACTCTTGGAGTACTGCCACTCAGATTTATCAAATATGCAGCTGGTGTCTCAGGGCAATCGTACATGGATACAAATTGTTCTTTAAACTCACCCCATGTCATTCCGGGAAATGATATTTGAGCCAACCAGGCGGCGGACTGTCCCCGCATAGCGTTGCTAAGAGCAATCATGAGTGCTGCGCCCTGTAGAGGTTTTTCAGCCATACACATGTCGGCGGTGTTGATCCAAGCTCGTGCGTCTACGTTGTGCTTGTCAGGGTCGAACACGGGGAGACGAATTCGCTGCTCACTACCCGACATCTTCATGGTTTGCAGCAACGCCATAAAGTTACGGTTTTGCTGTTCGAGAAGCAGCTTCCATTTTTCATCTTCACTGTTGTGGGTATTTGGTGGTTTTGATCCCAATTCTGATGACGGAGGGTTTTCCGGAGCGCCTTCAGAATCGTCGTCACTCATGATGGTTCGGTTCAAAATAAATGTCCAGTTGAGTTGAGACAATTATCCTTTAATCGATTACAATAATAGTTATTTGAAATATAAAGCGATCAACAAGTTTTGCACGGATGGAAATGCGCGGTAATCCCAAAGAGGTGTGACTCGTAAGTTCGTTCTCTACTAACTAACTGCCAAACTTCTTCAAAAAGTTAACTTCATTCCCTTCATCTTGCCAAGTTAAAAAAAATACTAAATTGTCAAACCAGTGTTGCCATTTTCTAAAATATCAAACCACAAACTCTATTACGCTACAGCTGCATACAGCCACATGTGTCACACCTCTCTGATTTTACCCAAGCACGCTTGACGCTTCCATCAAGATCTTCGACAAATATATGTATTTATAGCAAGGAATGTTATCACATATTTTCAATACAAAGTTTTGAGTAACCAACTTATCATATAAATTTCTATGACGTCACTAAATTACATTCATGAAACATATTTTAGTCTAAATATATAGGTGTTCCACTGACTGAACGCCCGAGTTCGTGGAAAAAATTTGTACACACGGAAAATAATCTTCAACCCGGAATTATGGGGGCTGAGACAAAAAATTACCCGCGCTTTTATAAATCGCCTATCATTTTACAATAATGCATACAATGTTGCTCTTCTTATCAGTAGCTATTGAGTGCTTTGATATGATCATGTAGCAAATTAAATTGGATGAGTAGATAAGTAAGTAGAAAAAGGTAAATATGACACACTGCCACACATTGCTGACCAGCAATGTGTGGCAGTGTAACAATTAAGCCATTTTATCAAACGTGGATTAATCGGTTCTGTTATTTGGGATTCGTTATATTTTTTTCTACTTTATTTTGCGTTAACATGACAGCAGTAAATAAATAGAAATAACAAATTCAATACAATAAAGCATTACAAAATAATCACACTTTGATTAATTAATTGTATGACCAACTAAATTTTACTAAAATTTCACCAAATTTTTAAAAAATAAGTATGCTGTTTGACGCTAAAAAACGCGACGTTATTATATTATAAATATACACAATCTCGTACAAAATTTATAGAGAACTGTCCTTTTACTATAATTTAATATTGTTAAAACGTCGCAAAAGTTAAAGACTACTTAAACAAGCTACTTAAAAAACTACTTAAAAAAGAAGCTTAGCATATAAATATAGATATCACTGAACAAATTTAATTAACACGATTCTTGGCAAGAATCAAAAAAATAATAGTATCAGCAACCGCTTGATATGCGTTCAAAACAAAGAAAACACTTCCTTCTGCAATGTACGTCACCAAATCAGTCAAAACTACTTGTAACAATGCTTGCAAACTAGTAATACATACCAAAATGAATGATATAATACACGTTTTCATTATATCTATGATATTTCTATTAGCATTGCCTGTATAGCTCTTATATATTACAATTAATATAACTCTAAAAAACAAAGTCAGGTTAACTAACAAAACTAACAATTTTACCCACACGTAAGACTGATAGTATTCAGTATAAAAATCTACTTGCATAAGAATTGGATACAATGATCCAATAGGTATTGCACAAATCCAAATCACAAGAGATTGTTTGATAAAGTTCCATTCTAGAACAAACACTGACACGACTTTGTCGTAGATTTTTCTAGCGTAGACAAACATCCAACACACGAGGACGGTGTCAGTATACTGGTAACCCGCGAATATTATGCCACTGTCATTCAGTAATGGATAGAAGTTCACTAAAAGATACTCAAATAACGTATTCGATAATCTTGCTATCGTCAATTGTGTGAGTATCTTCTGATCGTGTTTTCTTATATCCGGCCTTATAACATACAGTACAAATTGTAACACCACACATAATGCTGAAATCACAAGTCCAATAATCCAAAAACACGTCACTTCCAAAGGGTTGTGTATGCCTATGATAGGTTTAGCCGTAACATTTATTACGTCCATTATTTATGTACTATCGTACCAGTAGTCAATTTAATACTGCGTATTTTGATATTATTTTCCTTCTAGCTCAAGGAATTATTATTTTTTTCCTAAGTATAAATTAACACTAAGTATTATGAATTCCCGATTTTAACTATGTAGGCCGTCACGCCTACCTAGAGTATAGGTGTATTATCTATATAAATATATGTATTTATAGCAAGGAATGTTATCACATATTTTCAATACAAAGTTTTGAGTAACCAACTTATCATATAAATTTCTATGACGTCACTAAATTACATTCATGAAACATATTTTAGTCTAAATATATAGGTGTTCCACTGACTGAACGCCCGAGTTCGTGGAAAAAATTTGTACACACGGAAAATAATCTTCAACCCGGAATTATGGGGGCTGAGACAAAAAATTACCCGCGCTTTTATAAATCGCCTATCATTTTACAATAATGCATACAATGTTGCTCTTCTTATCAGTAGCTATTGAGTGCTTTGATATGATCATGTAGCAAATTAAATTGGATGAGTAGATAAGTAAGTAGAAAAAGGTAAATATGACACACTGCCACACATTGCTGACCAGCAATGTGTGGCAGTGTAACAATTAAGCCATTTTATCAAACGTGGATTAATCGGTTCTGTTATTTGGGATTCGTTATATTTTTTTCTACTTTATTTTGCGTTAACATGACAGCAGTAAATAAATAGAAATAACAAATTCAATACAATAAAGCATTACAAAATAATCACACTTTGATTAATTAATTGTATGACCAACTAAATTTTACTAAAATTTCACCAAATTTTTAAAAAATAAGTATGCTGTTTGACGCTAAAAAACGCGACGTTATTATATTATAAATATACACAATCTCGTACAAAATTTATAGAGAACTGTCCTTTTTGACAATTTGAAAAATTGTATTGAAGTTAAGCAAGTACCTAATCGACTCATTTAAAGAGTCACTGTCGTTATGATCGAGATTATATTGTTTATATTTATTTTATGAATCAATATTTTATTCACGTACAGGCTCAGACTCAAACTCGCCTAAAGAAAAAGCTGTGTTGCATGTATAAAAAAATATACAACACGTTAGTAAAAAAACTAGTTCTTAAAAACAGCCAAACTTCATAAAGAGATTTGGAGAGCACTAAATCTTTTTCAGCTTTAAGTTTTCCTATAACTTCGAAAAAAAATAATTTTATGCGTGCACAAAGTCTTTGCAAAAATTGGTACATTTTATTTTTATTTTTAGCCATGATTGTCCCCACTGCATGGCTAACCCTGCTAAAAATCCTCCTCGTCCCTACCTACTTCCACATTATTAATGAAATGATAATAAAACTGTCCTTACCTTAACCTTTCCAATGTCCTATTTCTTAAGCAATTTTTATGCTAAAGTGATAGTTTTTTGCATCACAAGTTTTTGAGTAAACGTAAACTCGTTTTTCACAATTACCAAACTTGTCAACAGTATAATTTAATACATTAATACAGAATCAGTTGAGATATAAAAACGCAGTTCAATCTGATCCAAATTATCAGTCGCCCTTCAGAACTTATTCAGTAAACAACAGTTATATTTTGCATATCAAAAATGTTTACCAAAGTGAGTAATGTGCCTTTTTTGTCTAGTTGCCTGTGATAAAATTAATTTATAGCAGGATCGTTTTCACTTTTATTAGTTACCAATGTACTATCTACAAAATAAGACATGTCAATCATACATGCACAAATAGTACATTGACTATTGCGTAAATACTGAGTTGCCAAATGTTACTACCGCTAACTATTTTTTTTTTGTTTTCATTAATCATCAGATATGCCTGGTAGCCGCTGTTATCTTCGTGATTGGCGCTGAAGCACAAGAACACCATCATGAGCACCACCACCACGCCTCCTCTTCACAGAGCATCAAGCAGCACCACGGGAAAGCCACTGAGAAACACGTTGAATACTATGTAAGATTACAGCACTTTCAAGCCGTTACTATTTCTAATATTATTTAATACAAAACCACAAAGTAATGGCCTTCAATCTGTGTTGCAGTCTCACCCTAAATATGAATTCGCGTACAAAGTGGAGGACCCTCACACCGGTGACAAGAAGTCCCAACATGAGTCTCGTGATGGTGATGTCGTGAAGGGCGTGTACAGCCTGCACGAGCCCGACGGTACTATCAGGATTGTGGAGTACCACGCTGACAAGAAGACTGGGTAAGTGAATTCTTCATTGCTCTTGCAAGTCATACGACTCCATGCGTTTCATTAACGTTATCTATCTTCTCTTTTGCAGATTCAATGCCAACGTGAAACATGAGGGCCACGCCAAGCACATCGTTCCTGAACACCACCACCACCACTGATTCTGTGATATTAAATGTACGCTTGTTATATTTTGACTCGTTGACTATTGTTTAATGTTATAAGTACCTAGATTAAATGAAATGAAATTTTAATTCTATATTGTTTTTAATTAAATAATTTCCTAATTATAACAGTGAAATTAAATAATATGATAGTATTTCACATATGTTTTTATAATATAATAAGTTTTGTGAGACATGCTGAATTAACCAAAAATTACTAGGCTGCGCGAAATGGCCGCGACCGCGCACGCTGCTCAGTACTCATGAGGTACAGTTCCTCTGTGACTCGTAACTAAAAGAGCTTTTATCAGTATATTTATGTGATTGTATGTACCAAATTTTATATCCTATAATGGGGCTGACGTTTTTCCCTTAGGAAAAAGGCCTACTTATTAAAAAAAGATAAAAAAAAACGACGTGTTGCACTCCGAGAGTGCCAGGACTTAAGTAAAACTTAAGTATTAACGTTGTACGTTTTGGATATTTAGGAATGGTTATGGAATCATTTTGCACGAATTGCTTTGATTGTCAGAATAAAAGTACTATCTTTTATGTAGTGGAATACAATATTTATTTATTGCGCAAACATGACAATTTAACTATATTACATTTTTATCCCTCAGAAAAATCAACTTCCATCCATAATTTCGACGAATTTTTCAATATCATTATTACGAACCTATTTAAATGTCTAATAAAGACCACATCAATAGCAGTTTTGTATTTCGTTGTGCTAAGATGGCGATCATTTGACATAGTTAAACCAAATTCATTATTTAAAAATTCAATTAAACACAATTATAATTATCGTCTTACGAATTTTCCATCAGGTCACGTGTCCTGATGCGAGTCCTGACGCGAGTTTAAAATTTTTTACCCATTACAAAAAAAGTGTACAACATCGCTAAAGAAGTTTGCACTTCAAAAATCGTAATTTTAATTAATGTGATATTTCTGCTCTTTGCCATATTCTCCACCATTAACAGTAGACGCATCGACTTCGACCTTAAGATGTTAAAGTGGAGTAAGCTATCTCATACATAAGTTCTGAATAATCAAGGTCAATGATAGGTAATATGGTTGAAGTCATAAAATAAAATACATCTCTTGAAAAAAACAAATTATGAATATGTCATTCTAAGTAAGTTTTATTTGTCAAGTTTAAGGTTATTGGCATATAGCAGAATGTTGAGTTGTAATGTTAAATGAACCATACCCTTTTATTATCTTTGCAATTAAAGCGTTTATGAAATGTGTAATAGATAACATGCAACACCTAGTAACAATGTGGCCGTTGTAATGATAGGTGAAATCAATTCTACCTTGACAGCGTTATTTTAAGTCATATAAAAGACGTGGGCCTTAGACATTATGCATCAGTTCACTCTTGTACTTGGTATCCTAAACTACAACAAACTTGAACAACATGTTTTTCAAGGTATGTGTAAAGATAACTAAAATAATAGCGCTACACTAAAAAAAAGTATTAATAATGTGAATTCTTAATTCTTCTTTTAGGTCCTTTGCCTGCTTTCTGTAGCCGTGGCAGTTGTCTCCGCCCACGGACACTCGTCCCAGTTCGTCCACAAATACGATGGACACCACGAGCCCGTACACCATGGACATGGTCACCATGATTACTACGTAAGAGACAACAGATACAATTTTAATTAATCTTGTGTCACTTTGTGCCAAAATGTCTCTTACACTTTTTTCATTAACAGACTCATCCTAAGTTCGAGTTCGGCTACAAAGTAGACGACGACCACACGGGCGACCACAAGTCGCAGCACGAGCACCGAGACGGGGACGTCGTCAAGGGCCACTACTCGCTGCACGAGCCTGATGGCTCCGTCAGGGACGTGCACTACCACGGCGACCACCACAGCGGGTAGGAGAATACACTCTTATAATTTTACTTTATCTATTCTATTTTAACTATATAGTTAAACAATACTTACAATATTTTGTCTTTCTCCCCAGCTTCCACGCCGATGTGAAACACAGCACTCATCACATCGTGCCTCATCATCATCATTACTAAAATATAGACCCAATTATTTACTAAAAACTGACTGAATTGACTTTGTTGTTTTATACACATGTAATCTTTTGAAAATAAATGTAAATATTTTACAAATGATCCCTTCGTATACTTTCTTCTTGTACTTACACATAACCATTAGCAGAAACCCACTTCTTTACTTCGACAGGTTGGTGAAAAATGCAGGACAAAGTTACAGTAATATTTACATACTTTTGTGATTTAATCGCAATAAGACACAAAAGCTTGTAGACATTAGAAGTAAACTAATATATTACTGTAGGAAAAATATAATTGAGAAGGTTAAATTATGTCATATCAAGTTTTCAGAGCTTCAATTACACAATTTTTTAATTTGGTTTTTAATATTCTTGAAGTATTCACTTATATCTTTATCAAAATTAACACATTAAAGCCATGTATCGGTGACCAACGTTAGCGAAGTATTGGCCTTCAACAGTTTTCTATTGGCAGTTAAAACCTTATGAAAATTCAATCGCCAGTAATGAAACCGTAACAAAAGTTTTATCACATTATAACCTTATTTTTAGATTGGCAGAGACTTGCACGTTATGTTTTTGACTGCCAAAGCGTAAACGCATCGCCGGCCCTCCTACGCCAAGCCACAAATTCAGCCCAAATACCTAAAAAAAAAAGAATTCCAATAACCAATTAATCATTGCTTTTCGACCCTTATTTTTCAGATTAAATATTACTTAAAACATCATTATTTTATTATAACTTTCGTGAGACATACTAAATTAATTAGGTATTATGTTTTCGGCTTACTCACATAACTGTTTATCGAGTAACTCGACTAGGCAGCGTCTGCCGCGCGACAGTTACCGCCTCGCGGGTTGCGGAACGCTGCTCATGAATATGAGCCTCTAGCATGGCTTGAAACTAGTCGAGTTCCTCGTCAAACAGTTACGTAAGTAATCCGAAAACATAATTATTACTCTTTATTTTATTTATTTTGACCCTGTTTTAAATTATACTATCATTAAACAGCAGTTGCAAAGTTTAAAACAATGCAAAACTAGACTTTAGAAATACGAATGAATAAATCAAACAATAAAAAGATGCATTAAAATATGCATACATTTGACAACTGCCTCCCATGCGACTACGGATGGGATATTGCCGGACATAATCAATATTAATCAAAAGTCAGGGTAGGTAGACTGCCTCGTTAGCCGAGTGGTCGTAAGTGCGACTTCCGGGCTAGGGGTCTCGGGTTCGATTCCCAGGTCGGGCAAAGTATTACCTACTGGGTTTTTAAAAAAAAAATCTCAATTATAGCACGGAGTCTGGAATTGTGCCCGGTATATATGGCAATAGGCTCACCCCCTATTACATGGGACTCATAACATAAATAGTGAAAAGTGGGTGTTACATTGTACAGTGGCATAATGTGCACCTCTGCCTACCTCTTCGGGGATAAAAGGCATGATGTTATATATACATGTTTATAATTATAAGAAACACAGACAATTTTATTTAACATATTTATTTTGTGCTTAAAAATGTCGTTTTCTGGACGGCTGTAGACGTCGGTGGAGTGTTTGGCACGTTTTCGTTTGTCGACTATACCCGTCCGTGGCAGTTAAAAGGTTGAAATTTTGTAATCATTTATTTAGTGACATAGAATAGAACATTTCGCATGATACACAAATCAAAGAAGCATGTTTCTCATTTCTCATTTCTTCCCGGATCCCGAATTCAAATTAAGTAAATTTTTCAAATTTGAGTGAAGGCTTCTAAAAAACAAACGATTTAGGCAGTCGTAGTAGACGAGTAATTATTATTAAAAATTACGCCAAAGAAACCCCAATCGTTTGATTTGGGCACGACACAACACAAATGAATGTGCTGTGTAACATGTCATGGGTTCAATTTCTCCGTATGTTCCATAAATTATTGTTCTGGCCCAGACATAACGAATATAAGAAAGTGTTTGTTACTTCATTCACTACACAAGAAAAATTCGTAACGTTTTTGTAAAAAATAAAACAACAAATTTTGACCTGTTGTAAATATAAATTGTCCACCGTGTAACAAAAGGGCAAACTTTTCGACCTTCACTAGGTTGTTTGTGTTTCCATTCGTTAGTCGCGCTAAAACTTGAGAACAGCTGAACTAATTTGGCTATTTTTTATCTTGAAATGTTCGTGGAAGTCCAGGGAAGGTTTAAAAGATGAGAAAAAATTATAGGTGGTACGAAATGTATCGGGTCAGTTAGTTAGAAATAAAATAAAACTTAACTGTTATTGATTGATAAACGATAAACAAGTATATAATATTTATCTTTTGTAGTTTCATTTTATTTTAAAACGTAATTAAGGTTGTTTTACATAAAAATTTTATCATTCGTCATGGCTGCGTTTACAAACAAATAAACAATATCATATTGCCATACAAAGTCCCGGAACAACTGCAGTTTGTGAATCACATGAATAAATTACTCCCTGTTGAAATCGCACCTATCGTTGCACCGAAGCCTGAGCCATTATAAACAACAATAAAATATAATATTATTTAGAATTTCCATATATTTATTTTAAATTCTCTATAAAATACATTTTTAAATACTACTTACAAAGACAAAAATAATATTTAAAAATATAAAAAATAGGAGCCGACCAGTAGCGGGAGCATGGTCCAAGCTACTGGTGGTTAGGGCTCCAGAGACAGAAACCTCCTCACGATACGTGCCGTTTCAAGGAGAACTGCCTTCTGTATTATTTAGAATTATTATTAAAATGTAAGTAAGTTAAAACATTTTTTTTTTAATCTTTGTTTTATAAGATGGGCCTAACTAAAATATAATATAACTAAAATATTTACACATTAAAATTATAATAGCTTAAGGCATTAAAAAAAACAATTGACTCAAATTAACTACAAAAATACCAAATACGTAAAAAATCTTTGCGAAATATTGTGACTGTCAAAGCGATTTACCCATTAACAATAACAATCGATATAATAATTTTAGAGAAATCAATACCACCTTGACGATGTAATTTTAAGTCATATAAAAGACGTAAGGTTTGCAAAATATGTATCAGTTCACTCCTAGACTCAGGAACCAGCAACAATCAGCCAAAATGTTCTTTAAGGTAAGATCAACTAAAAAATCCGGATCTAAAGATGCACACTAGTTGAAAAGTTAAACGTCTTAACTTACTAAGCATTAACTATTTTTCATAGTTTTCAAAAATCAGTAAAACAAAATAATTTCATTAATATGAAGGTATTTTCTTTAGGTACTTTGCGTGGTATCTGTAGCCATCGCGGTGGTCTCCGCTCATGGACACTCGTCCCAGTTCGTCCACAAATACGATGGACACCACGAGCCCGTACACCATGGACATGGTCACCATGACTACTACGTAAGTGACAAGTTATTTAACTTGTGATATTGTCATTGTAATAGTTTTCAATTTCTCTAACACATGTTTTTGTAAACAGACTTATCCTAAGTTCGAGTTCGGCTACAAAGTAGACGACGACCACACGGGCGACCACAAGTCGCAGCACGAGCATCGCGACGGTGACGTCGTCAAGGGCCACTACTCGCTGCACGAGCCTGACGGCTCCGTCAGGGACGTGCACTACCACGGCGATCATCACAGCGGGTGAGAAGACATTTTTGACATGTGTATCCTTTTTTCGGAAATGATGATCCAAATCCAAACCTTATCATGTTTTCTTTCTCCTCAGCTTCCACGCGGACGTGAAGCACAGCACTCACCACATCGTGCCTCATCATCATCATTACTAAAGCAGCTGTTTGCTGAACTGTTAAAGGACTAAATCATTTTTATACTTTTGTTTGTTTTATTGTAACTATGAATGCCACCAAATAAGAAATAAAAAATATTTACATAACTGTATTTTTGGTATTTGAAATCAATTAACCAAGCATCACTTTTCTATTTTACCCAAGATTAAGTAGGAATTAAGAACATCTTTCAATACGTCTTATAATTTACTTATACCGAACTATTTTAAGTCACAGGTTATTGACAATGTTTTACGAGTCACTACAGATTTTGTTTTAAAAATAATTGTCATTTACACAAAAGTTAAGTTAACCAATAAATACCATACATAGACGTTGAAAGAGTGATTCCCTACTGAGTTTACAATGAGAAGCCCCATTTAAAACCGTTTTTAGATTATTGAACTTTTAAAGTTTCTTTCATACTTTTGAGATTTTATAGAACTTATAGCGATATACTTATGTAACTGCGTAAAATAATACAAAATAAAGATGAAATAAATGATTAAAAAAAATTCAGAACACATTAAAGAATAACGTTCTTGTTATTTCAACAACGGCATGGCTATCGCTCAGACCATATCATAACATAACGCTTATTGTTTCTAAGACAATAGAATTTCCAATAATTTGCTATTATTTTATAAATATTTCTATTATTAATTTCAATCAAGTTTACTGGTATAACTTAGAAAATTCAGACCTGAACGCATTCCTGCCAAGTCTTTTTGATTATTTATCAGATAATTCGTCAGTAAACTAATAGTAAGTTAAATCCCTCTATTAACAAAATAAAAGTATTACATAAAGAAATAAACATGATGAAAAACTTACTTCCACATTTTTGGAGAAAGGCTACCGATTAACACAAAAGTAACCAAGGCCGATGTCTTATCAAAGTAAATCAAGTTATACAAATTTCAAAAATAAGTTAAGTTCTGTAAAACTTGTAATTTTCTTGTCATATAAAAGGACATATTTGTTACTACAATTATCAGTTACAAATCAGTTCTTGTAGTAGTAACAGTCACAATAATAATAAAACATTAAAAAATGCTGGCAAAGGTACATACAAATATTCATGAAATAATTGTAAAAAAGAATATGTATATTACTTTATAAAAAAACAGTATTATAATTTAAATAAGTCATAATTTAAAAAATATATATATTATTTTCTACAGGCTGTTCTAGTTATCACGCTCTTCGCTGTAGCGATTGCACGGCCTCAAGGTCACGACCAACACCACGGTCACAGTCACGCTATTTCGTCACAAAGCGTCGTACTGCACCACACCCACGAGACCAAACACCCTGTACACCACGAGGAGCACCATGAGGAGCACCACGAGGAACAAGGCAAGAAACACGAACAGAACCACCATGATGAACATCACCATAAGAAACATCATCATAAGGAACACCACGGTCACGCTTCTTCCTCACAGAGCATCAAACAGCATCATGGAAAAGCCACTGAAAAACACGTCGAATACTATGTAAGAAAATAACTTTTCAAGTTTTACTTATTATCGAATAATAACATTATAATAAAAATACCTATCCTAATTAATTCTTGTATATTCCAGTCCCACCCTAAGTACGAGTTCGCGTACAAAGTGGAGGACCCTCACACCGGTGACAAGAAGTCCCAACATGAATCTCGTGATGGTGACGTCGTGAAGGGCGTGTACAGTCTGCACGAGCCCGACGGTACTGTCAGGATCGTGGAATACCATGCTGACAAGAAAACTGGGTGAGTGCTTAATTTGGATTCCTTTCTTTATAAACATTGAATCAATCAACTGCATAATTAACATTGACTATTTTCTTTTTTACAGTTTCAACGCCAACGTCAAGCGTGAGGGTCACGCCAAACATATTGTTCCCAAGCACCATCACCACCATTGATTTTAAAAAGTATTTCGTAAATAAGAACTTCTTGTTAAAACTTTAAATAATATTATGTTGTTATGAGTCGTTAATAAATAATAATTCGAATTATTGTGTATTATTATGTTTATTTGTAAAAGGTATTGTACATTAAATCAAGAACACCCTTGTTCTTATTATTCTACGTGCTATATAAAACTGTCGAACTATAGGTGTGTCATGTCGTGGTGGCCATATTTAAGACGCCCGTTTCTCATACATGAGGGTGCGGGTTGGAAACCTACCAACGGCAAATACCAATGTGACTTTTTACGAATTATATGTACTTTCTAAGATTATCTAGACACCACTGACAAACGGTGAAGGAAAACATCGTCAGGAAACCTGGGCACATAATTTCTAATAAAAATTTTGCAATCGCCAACCCGCATTCAGCAAGCGAGGTGATCAATGCTCAAACCTTCTCCGTGTAAGAAAAGGCTTTGCTCAGCAGTGGGCATTTATAGGATGTTGATGTTGATGATGATGATGATGACTACTGGTAAATAATCCAAACTCCTAAAGTTACAGTTATAGTTCATAAGGGCCTGTCTTACCTTCTGTAATATTTCAATACATCTGATAAAAACAATCTTGTCGAGAATAAACCTAATGTAGACGTTGTATTAAAAGATGTGTTTTGATAAAATATGATCGTAACTTGCTCATTAAACCGGCAACCGTATCTTTATTTATCATGTTGAAAAATTAATCAAAATTTAAAATAATTCATACGATATCGTGTTAAACTGAACCTATTTGGTAAAAATCTTGAAATCTTTATACTTCCTATAATTTTAAACGATAATTTAAATTAATGTACCGCCATGGCTTACAAGGCCTGCATCTAAGTTATACCATAACATAATATCACGCCTTTTATCCCTGAAGGGATAAGTAGAGGTGCACATTACGCCACTGTACAATGTACACCCACTTTTCACTATTTATGTTATGAGTCCCATGTAATAAGGGGTGAGCCTATTGCCGTATACCGGGCACAATTCCAGACTTCGTGCTACTACTGAGATTTTTTTAATAACCCAATAATACTTTGCCCGTCTCGGGAATCGAACCCGAGACCCCTTGCCCGGCATTCGCACTTGCGATCAATCGGCCAACGAGGCATCTAAGTTACTAATAGATACTAATAGATTAGAATAAAAGTTACTAATAGATTCATTCAAAAAAATATTATTAACTCATTTACAGACAACTGTTGAAAAGCTATTCGTTACAATTTACGATAAAATATAATATTGTTATATCATGCGAAATGCAACTTAACGCATAAGCCATACCATAACCAAAATTTTATGAGTTTTACGAAATGCATAGTTGTCATAAAGCATGTATGACCTATCAATTATTTAATTGGGAGAAATCAATACTAACCTCGACTCGTAATAATTTCAATCTTGTATAAAAGACTTGAGAAGTAGAAGCAATGTATCAGTATCGATTTGAACTTCATTTCAAAGCAGTAACAAAAATTCATTCATAATCAACACCATGTTCTTAAAGGTACTTTGTGTGCTATCTGTAGCTGTCGCGGTGGTCTCCGCCCACGGGCACTCGTCCCAGTTCGTACACAAATACGACGGACACCATGAGACTGTATACCATGGTCATGGTCATCATGACTACTACGTAAGTGATAATAATGACAAGTTTAATAGCCATTGTCAACGTAATAGGTTTCAATTTGTCTAACACTTGTTTTCGTAAACAGACTCACCCTAAGTTCGAGTTTGGCTACAAAGTAGACGATGACCACACGGGCGACCACAAGTCGCAGCATGAGCACCGCGACGGTGACGTCGTCAAGGGCCACTACTCGCTGCACGAGCCTGATGGCTCTGTCAGAGATGTGCACTACCACGGCGATCATCACAGCGGGTGAGAAAATACTCTTTTCTCCTAGACTCTTTTTGTATCTCATAACCATTTATTATTTAATTATATCAAAATTAACCATATCTGTCTTTGCAGCTTCCATGCAGACGTGAAACACAGCACTCACCACATCGTGCCACATCATCATCATTACTAAATGGAAATTTGGCTGCTCGTCTGAAAATACTGAAGATGTTAATGTAAATAATAGTTAAATATCAATTTAGTGTAATTTAAACAATTAGAAATAAAAATATTGCTAAATACAACATAGACGTATTATTATTAGTATGAACTAAAACGGACCTCAAAACATCTGAGAAGTTTCAACAAATATAATACCCCCCAATAATTGACTACTTGCTAGCTTCCTTGGCTTTGCTGTAGTAAATGATAGCCTGTCTTTATCCGTACTTCCGAGTAGATGAAGCAAAATTAGATTAGTTAAGTACACAAAGCGCAAAGAGGTGACAAACAAACTGTATTAATTAAAATTAAACATTACGCATGTTTAATTTTAATTACAATCATATTTTGACCTCGATATCTACTGGTAAAGAAATCAAAACCAGTGAATGATACGATGATGCACGGTAGGCGCGGTGGCCTGTGCTACAGGCTGCCACGCAACGTGTCGCGAGTTCGATTCCCGCATAGAACAACTCTTTGTTTTGTCACCCAGACCTGGAACAACAATCTGTGGATCGCCCACAGATTGTTGTTCCGGATCTGGGTGGCATGTGTATGTGGACTTGTATGTTTGTAAACGCATTAATGACACAGGAGAAAATCATTATGTGTAGAAAAGTTTTTGTAAAAATAAAATCCAGAACCTTAAAATTAAGGTCAATTCTTAATAAATTTTAACTTCACCTACGTTAGCGAAATTTGTCTTTACTCTACATGTAACAGAGGACCTATAACAAATTCTATTTTCAATTAGAAAAGATTCAATAAGTTTGTGAATAGTTTTTCTTTAAATACTTTTAAAAGATCAGTCTAGAATAATGCTTTTAAAACAATTTTAAATAAAATATACACGCTCTACTTTTGACCTCTATATAATAAGTATAAATGTTAGGGGCTTGTTTTTCTAGGGCCGCAATTTAGCTGTCATATATGATATAAGCTATAGTATAAATATAAATATTATGAAGATGAGCAGATATAATTAGGTACTGTATGCCCATAACTTCTAAGAGATTGCTCATTCCTTCATAGTACGGGTAATTATGCTTCTGCTTCCCTATAAATAGCAAAGTCATTATTTACGTAAAAGTGTTTTAATTACATTCAAATTTTGAGAAAGGTATGATACCTGACAAGGTTGTTCAAGGTTCCGAAAAATATGAAGTTAAATCACATTAAGTGATTTTACTGGTTCAGTAAGTAAAGCGATAAGATTGAATTACTTCACTTGTTTTAAATAACTTGCATTTTTTTCTGTGTATAAAAGAACATACTTGGGAAGGCCTGTATCAGTTACCTGTGTACTTTGGAAAGGACTACAGTAAATATTTTCATCATGTTTACTAAGGTAGGATAGGAATGAAAGCCATGGAAAATTTAATTAAAAATAAAATGTGGTTTCTATTAATAATATAAATATTAAATAATGTACTAAGCATATTATAGAACCATTTGCATATATAAAGTAATAAAAATTAATTATTACGTTTTTCGACTTACTCACGTAATTATTTGACGAGGAACACGACTACTCGCGTCACGACAAACGCCGCGTTGCGGGTCGCGGAATGCTGCTAATGAATATAAACCTCTAGCATGGCTTGAAACTAGTCGAGTTCCTCGTCAAATAATTACGTGAGTAAGCCGAAAAACATTATAATTAATTTTGTATGTCTCACGAAATAACGACTAATAAAAATATTATGTGCAGGCATTTCTAGTCACCGTCCTCTTTGCGGCGATCAGCGCGCGACCTCAAGAAGGTCACGACAAACACCACGGTCAGGGTCACGGTCACGCCATCTCCTCACAGAGCATTGTACTGCACCACACTCACGAGACCAAACACCCTGTACACCACGAGGAACATCACAAAGAACACCACAAAAAGCATGAACAGACCCATCATAGCCACCACCAGGAAGAACACCATCATGAGAAACACCATCATGAGGAACACCACGGCCACGCCTCCTCCTCACAAAGCATCAAGCAACACCACGGAAAAGCAACTGAAAAACACGTCGAATACTATGTAAGAAGAGACCTTGTTCAGTTTCGCCTATTTTTCGATGATTACATGAAAATTCAAGTCGCTTAACGTTATCCTGTGTCTTTCAGTCCCACCCTAAGTACGAGTTCGCGTACAAAGTGGAGGACCCTCACACCGGTGACAAGAAATCCCAACATGAGTCTCGTGATGGTGATGTCGTGAAGGGCGTGTACAGCCTGCACGAGCCCGACGGTACTGTCAGGATCGTGGAGTACCACGCTGACAAAAAAACTGGGTGAGTATTATTGCACTCTTAATACCTAATAGCACTTTTAGGTTCATATTAGCAGGTTAATGTATGTCGTTGATTTTCAGATTCAACGCCAAAGTGAAGCACGAGGGTCACGCGAAACACATCATCCCTGAACACCACCACCACCACTGATTCTGGGATATTATTTATTATAGATATTACTTGTTATACCTCTAATCTTGTGTGTTAGAGATTAAACATTGGTTAAAATAACTGTGTTACATTACGTTAATAAATTATTATCAAATATTATTTACCGTTTTAATTTATAGCTTACATGCTATGTGCATACACTTTTATGCGGGAAAGAATCTAGACGATCATAAATCAAGGAGTTATCTATTACGGAACATAAATGAAGCAACATATGAGTACAGACTGTAATGCAATCCAAAACGTTTTATTTAGTCCACATCTTCATTACCCTAGCTAGGTTACAAAATATTATTATATTGTATTTACATATGTTTACTGTCGTTAAATAATAGGGCAATAAAGGCAAATTAAAATGAATGAGTTAACATCATGCAACTAAGAACTAAGTTATGCCTTTAATAGCATTTACGAAACTATTGTCAGTTCATTACACCCATGTCGTATGCGACATAATTGAGAGAAATCAATACTACCTTGGCTGCGTTATTCTAAGTCATATAAAAGACGTGAGCATTAGAAGTTATGGTATCAGTTCACATCTGAACTTGGTGTCAAAGCATTGACAAAACTACAAAATGTTCTTCAAGGTATTTGGAATAATCCTTCTTTCTTAGTGTTCAGGATTTTATAATTTCTGATTTAAAAAATAATCGTTTTTATTTTCAGGTACTTTGTTTACTATCTGTAGCCGTCGCGGTGGTATCCGCTCATGGACATTCTTCTCAGTTCGTCCACAAATACGACGGACACCATGAATCCGTACACCATGGACATGGTCATCATGACTACTACGTAAGTTATAATATTTGTAGATAGTAGACATATAACCTTAAATTGTCATTTCGTTCTTAACGCTCTTAACTCTTTTTTTGCTTGACAGACTCATCCCAAGTTCGAGTTCGGCTACAAAGTAGACGACGACCACACGGGCGACCACAAGTCGCAGCACGAACACCGCGACGGTGACGTCGTCAAGGGCCACTACTCGCTGCACGAGCCTGACGGCTCCGTCAGGGACGTGCACTACCACGGCGACCATCACAGCGGGTGAGGAAACACATTTATCATTTTAAATTTCACATACTTTAATTGATGTTGAAAACACGTTGAAAAGAAAAGAAAAACAAAGTTTATTTTACACTAAAAAACAAATGACAGTTACAGATATGTCACTATATTAGTAGGTACTGATGGATACTTCAGATTGGTAACTCAAGACTTAATATTTTTTAATCTCTCTTCTCAGATTCCACGCAGATGTGAAGCACAGCACTCACCATATCTTACCTCATCATCATCATCATCATTACTAAACGGATCATTAGTATTAATTTAGAGAACTGACTCAGTGACAACCATGTTGTATTGTGATTGTTTTACTATTCCTGTTAAATAAGTAATAAAGAAAATGAGGAAAATTCTTCGTTATTTCTATTTTATAAAATCCTGTGTTAACTCTAATTATTATCGAAGTTTCGTTCACCTATCCAAAATACCATAACCCGTTCAAATAAACTTACAATGCACCTATGAAAATAGTTTTTATTTATACTTCACCCTTCCTGAATTCGTCTCCATTTTTATTTCAGAGAATTTACATTCGTATGATGCTGGTGAAATAGAGAAAATATGTATTATGAATTATATGATATTGATTCGATATTATCTACAAAACTACCTATTTCTTAAAATACCTATTTAGGGAAAGGTATTTCATTAACAACATACTATTATAGGTAGCCTGGGGGCCCTATTCGTTAACCCTTCATTCATATTACGTAACATCAAAATGTTAACTTTTATGACATGAAAATTACACATATTTTGATTCAGATATGAAACATACAATGTTACTTTTTTAGGCCTTCTGAAATATGGAAATGTCAACTAAACGATAATTTGTCATTATTTTTCCTTATTTCAACCAAATATTTCAGACACAGGACACTTTAATATGACGTGATCTAGTCAAACTCAAACTCAAAAGCATCTATTTCAATTAAACCATTTTTTGATACTTTTGAAACGGCAATAAATACCTTTAAAATAAATTATAGTTTGTCAATCTGCCAGTCAGTGAAGCTAGGTGCTCGTTCCAAAAAGTTGATTCCAGTGGAGAAGAACGAGAAAAAAACTCAATTCGTTACTCTTTTTAAAAATAGTATGATTACAATATTTCTGACACACATTGATGTAAAAAGTCATAATTACAATTTTTAAATCAGACACAAGCGTGCTATGAAAGACAATATTTACTATCGGAATATTTTGGAAAGTTTATGAGACTAGACTATACAAAATATATTTAAATAAATACTATTTAGCCATCGTCTCGATCTACTGGTCGTATGATTTTTAGATATTATTTCTAGTGTCAGACTTTGTTCTTTCATTCTGATCCTGTGATATATTTACTTATTACACAATTTACTTTAAACTTGTTTAAGTCATAAGCTGAAAAAAAAAACTTTGAAAATAATTCAGTGTATTTTTGGCGTTACTGTGTATAATTATATTAATATATAAAAAAAATATACAGTGTGTGTCCACTACTGCATATTATCATAATTATTATCTTTTAGTCCCTGAAGAGGAATGAAAATGTTGAATACAAAACTCAAATTCAATTTTTTTGAAAATTATATAATATGAATTTCCCAAAAACCAAAAACAACAAACTTATTGCTCGAACTCAAGATAAACCATTTAATTACTATTGTATGTACACCTAAAATATTGAACCTAAAAAGTTGCGATTTTGAAGAATCACAAAGTCCATGTTTGTCATTACAAAATGTCGTCATTGCAATAACAAAAAGCTTGTGGGGCACATGAAAAATTACCAATTGTTGGTGAGAAAACCTGCCAGGTACGATCACATCGCCTAGTCGAACGATCTTCCTTTTCAGGAAATCTTATTCTTCATAGAAATTAACTCTCTATTCCCTAAGAACTGAATTAATAAGAAAGTTGGAACATCCTGATCGCTTTTGATTTTTTATTTTCAATTCATTATCAAAATGAAATTAAAATTCAGAGCATAAAGCGTACCTTACTCTTTTTCGAAAATTCGTATTTGTGTGTACCTAATATGTGGGTGTTTTTAGTAAAACAAGAAAACGTTGATAATAACATCTACACTATATGAGGGTCTGAAGGCAGATGACCCCTTCTGTCGACCATTTCACTTTGGCACACGATGCACCAAACACCCTGTATATTACCATCACCCGAATCGTATAAACTTCGCGTCAACTGAGGTTGAAGTGACATAAATCATCAGATGCGATTTTTTTAAGATTTCAGTGTTAAAAACGTCTCTTACCCTTTGGCTGTCACTTCTCACGCTTTTAACAAAAAACAAAAGCGACGAATGACCTAACATCATGCAACTAAAAAGTAAATTATGACTTTAATAGCATTTACGAAACTATTGTTCAGTTCATTACACCCATGTCGTATGCGACATAATTGAGAGAAATCAATACTACCTTGGCTGCGTTATTCTAAGTCATATAAAAGACGTGAGCATTAGAAGTTATGGTATCAGTTCACATTTGGACTTGTTAACAAAACCTTAACAAAACTACAAAATGTTATTCAAGGTATTTGAAATAATTCTTCTTTCTTATTGTTTTGGATTAAATAATTTCCGATTCTATAAATAATTGCGTTTGTTTTCAGGTACTTTGTCTGCTATCTGTAGCCGTTGCGGTAGTATCCGCTCATGGACATTCTTCTCAGTTCGTCCACAAATACGACGGACACCATGAACCCGTACACCATGGACATGGTCACCATGACTACTATGTAAGTAATAATATTTGTAGATAAAAGTATATATCCTTAAATTGGCATTTCGTTCTCAATGTCCTTTATTCTTGTTTTGCTTGATAGACTCATCCTAAGTTCGAGTTCGGCTACAAAGTAGACGACGACCACACGGGCGACCACAAGTCGCAGCACGAGCACCGCGACGGTGACGTCGTCAAGGGCCACTACTCGCTGCACGAGCCTGACGGCTCCGTCAGGGACGTGCACTACCACGGCGATCATCACAGCGGGTGAGGAGACACTCTTGTCTTTTTACGACTTATATGGTTTATTTGAAACTAGTAATTTAATATTTATTATTAATATTTCTCTTCTCAGATTCCATGCTGACGTGAAACACAGCATTCATCACATCGTTCCTCATCACCATCATTACTAATACAAGAACTGAATGTATTACTACAAAACCAAACTGTACATACTTTTTAACTTAGTCTTTCTAATGTTGAACCTAATAAAATTATAAAAAAAAATATTTTTCTTATATTTATTTCTTACACGCTACAATTTATAAACATTGTAAACAAAGCCTTTGCATTCGGGGAAAGGCATTTCATTAATGTAATATTTCTGAAGGTTGCAATTAATATAGAAGTGTCAACCGAACGAGTTACGTACAAGTTAAGCTTGTTTCAACTAAATATTCCCGAAAGGAAACAACTTCAATATTTTTTGTATAAAAGGACATACTTATGATTTTTAAATCAGTTACTAGTGTACGGCGAAAGAAAATTTATTCTCACAATGTTTTCAAAGGTATAAATGAAAAAAATATTGATTGAAAATAAACAAGTTTTGTGAAAATAGATGTGTTAAAGTGAAGTGTCATAAGAGTGCATTATGTTATTTTCTAATAAGTGATTTCATACAGGTTGTTCTAATCGCCACCGTACTTGTTGCGGTCACCGCGCAGCCTCAAGGTCACGAGCACCACCACGGCCATGCCTCCTCCTCACAAAGCATCAAGCAGCACCACGGGAAAGCAACTGAGAAACACGTCGAGTACTATGTAAGATTAGAAACGTCTAACACGTCGTCCAATATTATTTGATGAGACAAGTGGCCTCACACATTGTTTTCCATTCCAGTCCCACCCTAAGTACGAGTTCGCGTACAAAGTAGAAGACCCTCACACCGGTGACAAGAAATCCCAACATGAGTCTCGTGATGGTGACGTCGTGAAGGGCGTGTACAGTCTGCACGAGCCCGACGGTACTGTCAGGATCGTGGAGTACCACGCTGACAAGAAAAGTGGGTGAGTGGTAGTATAAAGTCCCAATTTACTACATTTTGTTACTTGATGAAAGTCCCAATTTATTTTTATTTTTTTTTATTTACAGATTTAACGCTAACGTGAAGCGTGAGGGTCACGCCAAACATATAGTTCCTGAATACCACCACTGATTCTGTGATATTTTTAATTATTAAAAGATATTATTTAAGAAATATGCTGTTTGTTATACCTACTAAATAAAATACAAGTTCAAATATGAATTCCTTTATTTTTAATTCCATATGACTCATGGAATGTGTAAATAACAAAGTCATTCTAAATGTTTTCACAACCATTTTTCCTCCTATATTATAAACATGCATGAGATTTACCTTCTATTATTAGGTCTATATATACTCTTAACTATCCACATAATTATATGTGTATATACCTATAAGCCAAAAAGCAATTATATAGTAATTTAAATTCATAATTTCTAAAACTAGACACGAATTTTATCATTATGATCTCGTCATCAAGAGAAATCGACATGTCTAATGAACTCAAACTCGATATGCTTACTAACATGTAACCCCAGATTCCATAAGTCACCTTCCAATTACAAGATATATTTTTGTGTTTACATAACATAACACGCCTTTTATCCCCGAAGGAATAGGCAGAGGTGCACATTAGGGCACTGAAATGCCACTGTACAGTGTGACACCCACTTTTCACTATACATATTATCAGTCACATATAATAGGGGGTGAACCTATTGCCATACCGGGCAGAATTCCAGACTCCGTGCTACTATTGAGATTTCTTTAAATACCCAGTAATAATTTGCCCGACCCGGGAATTGAACCCGAGACCCCTTGCCCGTCAGTCGCACTTGCGAATACTCGGCCAACGAGGCAATATTTGTACTTATGTCACATTTATGAATTATGAATAAAGTTTGTTTTATATACTAGCTTCTGCCAGCGGCTTCGCCCGCGTTCACAGGGGTAAAAAGTAACCTATGTGTTACTCCAGACCATAGACATAGCCGTTTTGATGTGACTGAGTAACAAACATACACACAAACCCCCATATTTTCACATTTATGAGCGTAAACATATAGACAGATCGACAAAAATTTTATTGATTGCATTTTTGGCATCAGTATCGATCCCTAATCACCCTCTGATAATAATTTTGGAAATATATTTCATGTACAGAATTGACCTCTCTACAGTTTTATTCTAACTATGTATAGATATGGATTTACATTTTTCTCCATTCTGACTCTTCTCACGGGTACCGTAAGAATCGCATAAGGTAAAAACATACTTTAGATTAATAACACAGCCCGAACAGCTACGTTCTTTTATAAATCTTTTGAACTGTGATCTCCAACTCGCTTACGGTGTGTGGAGATTATAGCAACGCCCTCTTTTGTAGATACTGTCGAAGAGTTGCAGCCTCCACCATCTTATCATCATGTAAGCACACGAAATGTCAATTTATTAGATAATTAAAAATAATGGAACAGCTTGATGAAACCGACAGAAAAATAACAAAAGCAACTGAAACAGTGTAAATAGTTTTAAATATTTTAGATATCATTTATGTATATCTATGAATTGTTGAAATAAACTCCATACAGCTGTCTCGTCCATTCAATTCGGTACGGTACATGTAAATACCAAAATTTAAAAAAATAATCGTTGCTCCACACTCGGACTTTTTCCTGTGTTGTGGGTGCGTTTACAAACATACAAGTTCACATACACATGAAACCCAGACCCGAAACAACAATCGGTGGATCACACAAAGAGTTGTTCCGTGCGGGAATCGAAACCGCAACACGTTGCGCGACAGCCAGTTGCCCAGCCACCGCGCCAACCGTGATGTCTTTAAATTTAAATTCACTCATAATAAGCTTGTCCTTGGTCGAAATATGTTCTGTGGTCGAATATAATAGAAATACATAAATTATTTGATAAATGCAAACCCATGTCTTGTCAATTCAGGAAACAAGAGGCAAGTTATTTTTAGATACACATCGATAATACTAACGAACAATGTCCTTCACAATTATTATTATAATAGATAATTATGATAGTGGAGCCCGTAGCAACACATGATCTAACATCACGCAACAAAGAAGTAAATTATTTCTTTAATAGCATTTACGAAACAATTGTTCAGTTCATTACACCCATGTCGTATGCGACATAATTGAGAGAAATCAATACTACCTTGGCTGCGTTATTCTAAGTCATATAAAAGACGTGAGCATTAGCAGTTATGGTATCAGTTGACTCCTGAACTGGGTGACAAAGCGTAAACAAAACTTCAACATGTTCTTCAAGGTATTTCACACAGTATTCCGTAATTCTAGAAATTTAAATAATGCTTTCGATTATATTTTTTGAACTACTATAATGCAAAGCTTGTGGACTACTTGATCAAGGTAAGCCTAGTATGTAGTTACACGAACATGAGGGATTCATAAAATCATTTATTTTTCCAGGTACTCTGCGTTCTATCTGTCGCCATAGCGGTGGTCTCCGCTCACGGACACTCGTCCCAGTTCGTCCACAAATACGACGGACACCACGAGCCCGTGCACCATGGACATGGTCACCATGACTACTACGTAACAACGTTATTAAACTTGTGATATAGTCATTGTAATAGTATTCAATTTCTCTAACACATATTTTTGTAAACAGACTCACCCTAAGTTCGAGTTCGGCTACAAAGTAGACGATGACCACACGGGCGACCACAAGTCGCAGCACGAGCACCGCGACGGTGACGTCGTCAAGGGCCACTACTCGCTGCACGAGCCTGATGGTTCCGTCAGGGACGTGCACTACCACGGCGACCACCACAGCGGGTGAAGAGATTTTTTAAATTTGAAGAATTTTTGTCATAACACAACATCACGCCTTTTATCCCCGAAGGGGCAGGCAGAGGTGCACATTACGGCACTTAAGGCCACTGTACAATGTAACACCCACTTTTTACTATTTATGTTATGAATCCCATGTACTAGGGGGTGAGCCTATTACCATATTCCAGGCTCATTTCTAGGCATCGTGCTACTACTGAAAAACCCAGTAATACTTTACCCGAGGCAGTTATTAAATTGTTTCAAGTCAAGAAGTTTTTGTTTTAAAAGGTAACCCAAAACTTACCATGTTTTGTTTCTTCCCAGCTTCCACGCGGACGTGAAGCACAGCGTTCACCACATCGTGCCTCACCATTATCATTACTAAATTCCAAAGAACTAAAGCTGCTACAATTTTTTTATTTTTGCATATTGTTTTTCTAACCCCATAATAAAAAACATTGAAATCCGAGTATTCCTCTTCTTTATTCATTTTATTTCACACTATCAATAAAATTATGGTTCAGAGTATTCACTAAACAATGGCTTAAGATAGGTAGATCTTTGTATATCTCATCAAATATGATGTTAAATTATTCCAAAAATATTTCTCGTTAGCAAGATAACTCGAAATCGATACCTGATCTGTATACTGAGAATAATAGATTATTCGTAAGAAAGTGCAATCCTTGCCTTTCTATTATTATCTTAACTGATTTAGACTCACGTATTCTCATTTCTTTAAATTGATAGGGCAATATTTATTTTTAAGAACTTAACGAAATAATTATTTGCAATTAATACCTATATCAAAAATCTCTAAGGTTGATCAGTCAGAAACTTGTGTTCTACAACAATTTGTACGTAGATAATATTGGTCAGCAACAAATACATAGCAACAATAAGTTAAGTAAGGTAACATATAATAGCTTTCTTAAAATATTTGGGAAAGGCATTTCATTATTGTAACATTTCTGAAGGTTGCAATAAATATAGAACTGTCAACCGAACGAGTTACGGAACAAGTTAAACTTGTTTTAAATAAATATTCCCGAAATTGGACACTTTAGTATATGTGTACATTCTTTTTGTATAAAAAGACATATTTGAGGTGTCTGAAATCAGTCACAAGTGTACTGTGAAAGAGAATATTCAATAAAGACAATGTTTTTAAAGGTATATTTTTATAAAAATTATCTCTAATCTATCTTTGCATAATAATATTTTGTGTCAAGTGTCATACAAGTGGATTACATTATTTTCTAATTAGTGACTTTACGCAGGTTGTTTTATTCGCCACCGCGCTTGTTGCGGTCACCGCGCGGCCACAAGAAGGTCACGACCACCACCACGGTCATAGTCACGCTGTGTCGTCACAGAACATAGTACTGCACCACTCTCACAAACACGAACCTGTACATCACGAGGAACACCACAAGAAAGCCCAAGAGGAGCATCATAAGAAACACGAGGTTCACCACCATGAGAAACACCATGGCCACGCCTCCTCCTCACAGAGCATCAAGCAACACCACGGAAAAGCAACTGAAAAACACGTCGAATACTATGTAAGAAGAGCAAACCTTTTTTCAATGTTACGTACATTTTGATTATCACATAAAAAGGCATGTAGCCTAATGTAATTTGGTGTATTCCAGTCTCACCCTAAGTACGAGTTCGCGTACAAAGTGGAGGACCCTCACACCGGTGACAAGAAGTCCCAACATGAGTCTCGTGATGGTGACGTCGTGAAGGGCGTGTACAGTCTGCACGAGCCCGATGGTACTGTCAGGATCGTGGAGTACCACGCTGACAAGAAGACTGGGTAAATAAACATTTATATTGGTAGTCCATAATATGTAATATCATATTTTAACTTATTAGAAATTTGTTATGATTGCTTTTTTATTCACAGATTCAACGCCAACGTGAAGCACGAGGGTCACGCTAAACACATTGTTCCCGAACACCACCACCACCACTAATTCTACGATATCGTTTATTAAGACTTGTTAAAATTGTTATCTTGTACGTTTGTTAAATATATTATTAATTCTGCTTATTGTTTTTTTATTCTTTCATAACCTTTTTTTTTTTGAGAGACATTTGTCAAGAAAGTTATAATAACTAATAATTAATTTATTAAGATAAACGCATGTCCCAAGATATTCTAATTAATAATTAAGTAAAGAACTTAGGTCACATGGAGTTGGAGATTTAGCAGTTTCGTTGTGATTTTTTTTAAAAACGTTGCCCCACACTAGTATTATCCAGTGTCGTGGGTGCGTTTACAAACATATCTACAAGTTCACTTACACATGATGCCCAGCCACCGCACTAACCGTGTTGTCAAGATTCTTAGTTACATGCTCTGCTTTAATGTTATTTGTCACCTTAATGTCTACTTTTTACTCTATACTCTATGTCTACTACTTAATGTATACTATAAGCAGTAGTGTAAGATATTTTTCATCATATTAGTAATATTACCTACTAAAAGTAAAATACTAGATAAAAAGCATGTTTAAAAAACTTGTATTCTTTTCGGCTTACCTACTCACGTTACTTTTTGACGAGGAACTCGATTAGTTTCAAGCTATTCTAGAGGCTCATATTCATAAACAGCATTCCGCGACATACGTAGGTATTAACATACTACAGAAGTGTAGATTTAAGATAAGTAAAATTTAAAACAAACAGTTCAAATGACTACATTTCGGTAAATCGGTAATTACCGAATTGTTTCATTTCTACTAATATTTTGCCACGTCAATAATTGTCATTATCAAAACAAGAATTTCATTTCACTTTAAACTTGTTCGACTCATCGAGCAATGCGCTTTGCAAAATATTATTGCTATTGTAGTGTTCTTAACAAATGAACGAGGTTTCAAGTTACATAAAAACAAAAGCCAGAAATGACCTAACATCATGCAATTAAAATGAAAATTATGTCTTTAAAAGCATTTATTACGAAACAATTGTCATTTTCATTACACTCGTGCCTATACGACATAATTCAGAGAAATCAATAGATACTATACTGCTGCATTCTTCCTAAGTCATATAAAAGACGTGAGCATTAGAAGTTATGGTATCAGTTCACTCTTGGACTTAGCATCAAGGTGTTAACAATACTTCAACATGTTCTTCAAGGTATTGAAACCAGTTAATATAAATATCAAACGAATTTATTAAAACCTCATATATTTACATAACTTTCGTTTTTAGGTTCTTTGCGTGCTATCTATAGCTGTCGCGGTGGTCTCCGCTCATGGCACATCATCTCAATATGTCCACAAACATGATGGCCACCATGAACCTGTATCCCATGGACATGATCACCATGACTACTACGTAAGTGACAACGGATACTACTATCATATCGATTAACTCTACCCGAATTAGTCCCAGAAATCGTGACTAGGCTTTTTTATATGGAGTAAGCCGGTAAGCCGGTAAACGGATCACCTGACGGTAAGCAATCGGCGTCAACCATGGATACCCGGAGCACCAAAAACGTTACAAGTACCGGACTTTTGGGGTCTAGGAATTTGAGAATTGTTAATTAGGGAGGTAATTAGTTAACGACTAATAAGAAGAAGTAGGCAGCAGTATCCTCCTAACAATCGTGACTTGAATGCATTACCTAAGCTGCCTAGCAAACGTAAGGATTATGGAACTTCCTTTTGTTCAGATAAAACTGTCCTACGACTGATTTTAATGATAATGGAAGGTAATGAATATGTGGTTGACGACAGACTCACCCTAAGTTCGAGTTTAAGTACAAAGTGGACGACGATCACACGGGCGACCACAAGTCGCAGCACGAGCACCGCGACGGTGACGTCGTCAAGGGCCACTATTCGCTGCACGAACCTGACGGCTCCGTCAGGGACGTGCACTACCACGGCGACCACCACAGCGGGTAAGTTGTATTCTCTCGCCTCTATTTTGTTTTTATGGATCTCATAATATGTATATGTATTTATTGCGCTCCTCAGCTTCCACGCGGACGTGAAACACAGCACTCACCACATCGAGCCTCATCACCACCACTAAGAAGTCATTATTGTTGATTAACTAAAAAGTGATTCTGTTACAAGCCTGTTACGTTTTAATGTTTTTTGTTTATGTAATTTTGTAATAATACAAGCATAACTATTACAAGTGGTTTTCCTTAAAATCCTAGTTTATTAATTAACGCATAAACTTTATTAATGGTATACCTACATATTACTCGTACTACAATATTATAATAATACTATAATAAATAAAATACAGGATAATTATGTATATCGTTACACGTATGAGTGTTAGTAATGACCCTAGTATTATCATTACCTACTAAATCCGAACGAAGTATGAAGAAATGATTTTATATATATTTTTTCATTGATCTGAAATAATTTGTACTTATTCAATAATGTTAAAGATATAAGTATATGTTGTTCATATCGCAACAGATAGCGTCTGTCAATAGACAGTTAGCAGAGTAGGCTTAATAGTGTTAAGAAAAAGACATTAATGTTTTTATTTGACAGATAAAGGCGAGCACAAATAAAAATTAATACATTAAAGTTAAAAATCAATTATAAAATTCATTACATATCTTGTGTAAAATATTGTTCAATGTCACACTGGCTTTTAATATTTAATGATCCATGAACCTGCAAGTCATACCGTGAATTTTTCATTCACAAAAGAAACTTGTGTCTGAGAGGGTCGTGACAGGCGTATTTTTGCATTACTGTTAAGATTTTTATCGCTATTAAACTTACACATTTTAATGAAATGAAACAAAAAATATTTAATTATAATACACTTTAGATTTATTAATTAACGTCATAGTTAAATAAATTACAAACGTAACGACATCACAAATCAACAACTTTCTTAGATTACATAGTTATCACCACATAGCAACAAAATAAATAAAAACAACATCAAGACATTCATATTAATTAGAAGTTAATTCAATGATGATGGTTATTAGGAACAACGTGCTTGGCGTGACCCTCGTGTTTCACGTTGGCGTGGAATCTGCAAAATTATGCAAATTAAAAACATTCAATATATACTTGATACAAAGAAACAATACCAGCATTTTTTGATACCGTCGAGAGTTATTGGTAGAAAAAATATTTTTCTTGTTACCTAGTAACTTCTATTGATTTTGTAAATGAACGGCAGTTTAGGCAAAAAATGGTATCAATTTACATTAAAAGTTTATAAATACTTTGTAGTTGGTAATAATAATACTCACCCAGTCTTCTTGTCAGCGTGGTACTCCACGATCCTGACAGTACCGTCGGGCTCGTGCAGACTGTACACGCCCTTCACGACGTCACCATCGCGCGCTTCGTGCTGGTACTTCTTGTCACCGGTGTGAGGGTCCTCCACTTTGTACGCGAACTCGTACTTAGGGTGGGACTGCAATATACAAGGATAAATTAATTGACGTATTTTTTTATTCTAATGTTATCATTGAATGGTAGGCAAAACTGAATCATCTCTTACATAGTATTCGACGTGTTTTTCAGTAGCTTTTCCGTGGTACTGTTTGATGTTCTGCGAGGAGGAGGCGTGACCGTGGTGTTCCTCAAGATGATGCCCCTCATTTTTCTTATTATGTTTTTCCTCTTTCTTCTCGTGGTGCGAAGACTCGTGCTTTCCCTCATGAGATTTATGAAGTACGATGCTTTGTGATGAAATGGTATGACCATGTTTGTGACCTTCTTGTGGTCTTGCACTGACGACAGCCACGGCAACAGCTAAACAGATAACCTGAAGATAACCAGAAATTTGTATTATTATTTAGGAATCAATCACTACCCACGAATTGCCAGTAGCTTAGTAGATTGGGGTGATGTGATATGGTGGATCCGAAGATGAAATTCACACATTATATTTCGGTCAGCACAGACACTTCACAAATAGAAACTCTGTGTTCACTCTCGAAAAAATCTTAGTTTTACTCTCAATATTATTTTATTAAAAAATAATGACAATTAAAGTACCTTAAAAATCATTTTAATAAATTAAAGTAGCTGTTTACTTAATGAAATTATATCAAGGAGTGTTTAATTCAGAACTGGTTGTACCTTATATATGAAGGAACTTGGTACATTTTTCGCAAGGTTTTGAACTTGATTCCACGAAAATACACACGCATACCATACCCGTATAACCCATACAACTTACATGTAAAATTTTATAAATTTTGGTGAAAGCCCATTCACGTGTAATTTTAATTAACCATGAGAATAATTACCTGTAATCAAACCCGAGTACCTACCATGTATGTACATACTTAACTTTTGAATAGTTAGGTTAGGTTTTGTCTTTAAAAGTCTCTGCAAAAGTAGAATTTATTTTAATTTTAGTTGTAAAAACATTTAAAGAATTTCAATACCGCCTTTAAATTATTACATTTCAGGTCTATGTCACAGATTTGATATAAGTATATTCAATACTAAATACAATAATTCAATACAATAAATACTAAATGCTTCAGGATGATGCGTATAACCTAATACAATTATTCCAGACAGCAATTAAACCCATAGATTGAATGAATTAAGTGATACTGCAATAGAGAAACAACAACAACCAGGTCAAAAAGCATTTTGAATTTCTGTCTGTTATTTTCATTACTAATTAAATTCATAATCATTTTGCAGTCAATTATTCTTAATACATGGCACTAAAAAGTTCATTAATATTCATAGCCGTGACTCAAAGCGCCTGACGTAAATTAAATAATCGCGCTGACATTGTACACACTGACCGAAAATCACAAACCGGTTGCTTACGCGGTCAACCACGGCCCAACATAATTTATTGAATAACACTGTCTGACGACCTACGTGACATGCAAGTCTTGGATTTCCAAAAATATCTCCAAGACGAAAGTCACTGCCCTTCAGAAGCCTAAATGACATATTCCGGAGCAAAAGTAGTGAAAACCGGATTCGCAAAGCCTTTGAAACGATCTGGTTACACATTAAACAGTATAAAATGAACAATCAATTTTACTTCAACATCAGTCAACCACAGGACTTCAGAGACAATTGGAACTAATAACTCAAAAATGTTTATAAAAGTAAGATTTATGAAGTGACAAAATATTAATAATATCGAATGAAGTCGCTGCGTTTGAAAACTATAACAATTAATTTCTTTTATTTACAGATTATTGCTCTCATCGCCTTCCTAGGCGCCTGCCAAGCCGCAGAACACGCTTACTCATCACAAAGCATCGTCCTCCACCATGACGATCACCATGACAATCACCATGATGATCACCACGACTACTACCACCATGGTCATGATGAACATCATGGACTAGGTCATTACCATGACAATGATGACCACAAAGAACATCACGGACACGAGTTGCAGCACGAACATGAGATTCATCATGAACATGAAGTGCACCATGGCCACCATGAGCACAAAGTAGAACACAAAGTTGAGCACAAAGCGGAGCCTAAGAAAGAACAGAAAGTTGAACCCAAAAAAGAACAGAAAGTCGAACACAAAGTCGAGCACAAAGTCGAGCCTAAAAAAGAGCACAAAGTTGAGCATTCGGTAGAACACAAAGTGGAACACGTAGTGGAACATAAGATTGAACACAAAGTCGAACCCAAAAAGGAACACAAAGTTGAGTCCAAGAAAGAACAGAAACCTGAACCCAAGAAGGAACAAAAGGTCGAGTCCAAAAAGGTAGAACATAAACCAGCTAGAATTATCCCTGTGGTTGAGAAACATGTGGAAGCCCACGTCAAAATAGTCCCTGTCGCAGCTGCCTCGAAAATTGTTCCCGTAGCGCACTACGTCCAGAGTGCCCATAAGCAAGAATCTCATGAGGAACACAAGCATGCTATCTCTTCGCAACACATTTCCCGTCACGACGTTCCCGCTCATCCCCCCAAGGACTTTGACGACCAATCTGTATGTGAAAATTGTTATAAAATAAGTAACAGTGCCTTGAATTAATTATTAATTAATAACATTATATATTTTTTCAGGGTCCTGCTAAGTACGAATTCCAATACCAGGTGAAAGACCCTCATACCGGGGACCACAAGTACCAGCACGAGCACCGTGATGGACACAAAGTGAAGGGAGTGTACAGCTTGCACGAAGCTGATGGCTCCATCCGTACTGTGGAATATGCGGCTGATAAGGACGCTGGGTAAGTCAACCACAATTATGTATTGAAAATTTATTCTTTTATATCACACTAGAAATTACGATTAAGTCAACTGGACCGTTATTCATTAAAATGTATATAGTAGAAAAGTTAATACAACCAATAATATATTCATTGTTGATAAGGTACATAATTTCTTTATTTCATTACCAACAGATTCTCCGCCGCTGTCAAGCAAACAACAAAGCACATTGAACACGAACACCATCATTAATTTTCTTTAGAAAATGTTACTTCCTTTCCTGTTTCTCATTTTGTTAATGATTCGTTGTAAACCTACTCATAATAATTTAAAGAAATAAATATTTATTCTCAATCATATTTAATGTTATTTAATTTACATACGACAAAGTGCCTACTACAATTTTCCTAACATAAACAGTCTTATTATACAACTTTTAGTACAAAGTTGTAGAAGTTGCTCTTAATTTCTAATTAAATTATGAAATATAATAATTTGTTCAGTACATACATCTGCAAAACAAATATCGGTATCGAATCTTCTGACCAACATAGGTAGAATTAAGCATGTAGAAGGAACTGATAAGACAAAGCTAAAAAGTTAATAGGCCTGCTGGCCCACAGAATGTGTTCTGTTTTTTCTTTTTATCGTGTATATTAAAATTATCAGTTTGAGTTAATCAACGGGAAAAATCTATATTTGCATCAACAAGGAATGATTTATTGTTGAAATTAATTAATATTGGCATATTTACAAATGCAATGTACGAAGCAAATCAACAGATTCATATTATAAAACACAATACACTCAAATAATAAAATTTTATTCTAAGAAGGGTAGTGCACAAAATATATGCAAGTGCATATTACATATAATTTTGTATTAATTTATACAAGCCATCCATAATACACATAAATAACAATGAAAATACAATCAAAATCCAAATTGCAAAATACAATCAAAATAAGATTATCTTCAATTGTTTCAATTAGTCATACACGTTGAACGTTGAGCTTTAAACTTTTAGAACAGCTTTGGCCAGTTGACCTTGTCACACCCAATGTTCTACTAGTATATAAGCGGCTCTTAACTCATACAGTGCATCAGTTGTGTACACTTCACATATCAATATGTTCTCCAAAGTAAGTGTTCAACTGGAATATCTCAAGAAAAGTGCAAATCATTTTCCTGGAACTATTACTGTTACGTGTTAGAAGTGAAGTGACTCAAATCATTGTTTTTGTGCACAGATCGTTGCCCTGAGCGCAGTGTTGGCGGTGTCCGCAGCTGGTCTGCTGCCCGCGGCACACTACTCCCCAGCTGGAGCCGTCTCCTCCCAGAGCATCGTACGCCACGATGAGGCTCACCCCGCCGCCCATGTAGCTCACGTTGCTGCCCCAGTCCACTACGCCGCCGCCCCCGTCCACTACGCCGCTGCTCCCGTCCACTACGCTGCTCCCGTCGCCAAAGTGATCGCCCCTGCCCAGAAAGTCCTCGTTTCCGCCCACGCTGAAGAATACGTAAGTCGAATGTTTGGTTGTTATAGAGTACAGATTCATTTTGCTTGGTCGATCACAGTTTAATTGATGGCGTGTATGCTCCAGGCTCACCCCAAATACGACTTCTCTTACTCCGTGGCTGACGGACACACCGGCGACAACAAGTCCCAGCAGGAGTCCCGCGACGGTGACGCTGTGCACGGCGAGTACTCACTGGTGGAGGCTGATGGCTCCGTGCGCCGCGTGCAGTACACCGCTGACGACCACAACGGCTTCAACGCGGTGGTCTCCAACTCCGCGCCCGCTCACCATGTGGCCGCCCCAGTCGCGCACGCCGTGCATGCCGCCCCCGTCTTCCTCGCTCACCATCACTAAATGTATCTCTAGTTTTAGTGTAACGATGACCGAGAGTTCCTTTTGAACGTGTGTTGTAAATAGTGTATAATATTTATTTAAAATATAAGACATGCAACTATATTTCATGATTTTCAATTACTAATCGTACCTTTATTAACATACAATAGTGAAAGTTATAACAAGCGCATTGATAATTATCTTTAGCACTGATACACCAACCTTTATCTTCATTAAGTTAGAAAGTAGTTAATTTTATTAATACTAGTGTGACGCATATTAATTTAGTTTAACTTATATAATTATAAGTAAGTCAGCACCAAATATTATAAAAATGCCTGTCTGGAAAAAGGTTAATAATGTTATAGTAGGTATACATCAGCCTTTCGCAAGCCCCTTTTTGTACCTCCCAATTTATCTCCCTCTCTCTCTCTCTTTCTCTCTCTCTGTTTTGGTTGTCTTAAGTCATGTCATATTTAAATCGAATACTCGTTTTTTGGCATTTTTTTAATCAATGATTACAAAAATAACAAAATTTCATCCCTTCTCATCACATTCCGAAATGAAGTAACCGACGCTACTTCAGAATTGTTTATACCCCCTACCATTGCTATTTTAACTATAATGTGTAATAATGACTCCCCAAATCGATATTGATTTTAACAGATGTGGATATTGACGCAAGACATATTAAGTATGATGTATAGTTTGGTAAACTACACGGTCGCTGGATGTATTGAGCCTTTCAGTTTTAATTTTGAAGTTGTGTGATCAACAATTCAGGTTATGTTGTGATGTGTAGGAGAAAATCGTAGTGACGCGAATTTTCTTAAAAGAGATAAGTCAAGATCCGTCACTATTGTGATCGGCTATCCTATACCTACATCCCATTGGGTAGATACAGACAATAGGACGCTATATGACATAATTCTGATGAACGTTATTTGTTATACATACACATGTATGTACGTTGATCGATCTATTCCCATGAACTCGATTTCAGTGTGGATTCACATTAAATATTTTAAACTTGACGTTTTATTGATTGCAATAAAACATGCGCCAGAGAGCCCACCTCTCTGTCGCATGTCTCATCCGTAAGCTAATGCTCGATAAAATTATTGTACCTCTAGTATTTTTTTAGTAAAATCATCCGTTTCAGCCTCATTATATTACCTCAATTGTTGTAGGCGGGTGTCCATGGGTGGCGCTGACCTCTGACAATCAGACAAATGATCGCGATATTTGTTCGTTTGCTCTTTACCTAATGAAAGATACGGAAGTCAACTCTTTACATGTAAAAATGAATGTTTTTTAAATTAAATAAATCGAAATATTAGAATTGATGTTGTAAACATAAATAGATTCAATAATTCGTCTAAAGACATAACTAGTTAGAAATCAGAATGCAGTTAAATAATCATTTATTAATTTTTATAACATAACATCACGCCTCTTTATCCCCGAAGGAGAAGGCAAAGGTGCACATTACGGAACTTAATGCCACAGTAAAATGTAAAAACCTCTTTTCACTGTTTATGTTATGAGTCCTATCATGTGTAATAGGGGGTTAGCCTATTATATAGGTATAATGTAGAGTCAGATAGACCTAAGGTATATTTCAAAACAAAAGTATGATTTTCTAAAACACTTGTTTTATTTAATATAAATAAATTAACACTATTTACAAAAAGACACTCTCAGCTCAATCGCTCAGATTTCCTTTTGCTAGGACTAGAGAGATATATTTAGTGATGGTGAGCGAGGAGGACGGGGGCGGCGTGCACGGCGTGCGCGACTGGGGCGGCCACATGGTGAGCGGGCGCGGAGTTGGAGACCACCGCGTTGAAGCCGTTGTGGTCGTCAGCGGTGTACTGCACGCGGCGCACGGAGCCATCAGCCTCCACCAGTGAGTACTCGCCGTGCACAGCGTCACCGTCGCGGGACTCCTGCTGGGACTTGTTGTCGCCGGTGTGTCCGTCAGCCACGGAGTAAGAGAAGTCGTATTTGGGGTGAGCCTGGAGCATACACGCCATCAATTAAACTGTGATCGACCAAGCAAAATGAATCTGTACTCTATAACAACCAAACATTCGACTTACGTATTCTTCAGCGTGGGCGGAGACAAGAACGTTCTGGGCGGGGGCGATCACTTTGGCGACGGGAGCAGCATAGTGGACGGGAGCAGCGGCGTAGTGGACGGGAGCGGCGGCGTAGTTGACGGGGGCAGCGGCATAGTGGACTGGGGCGGCAGCCACCAATTTAGCATGAGGTTGTTCGTGGTGAAGGATGCTCTGAGAAGAGACAGACGCGGCGGAAGAGTAGTGGGAGGGTGCAGCATAAGCCACGGGAGCGCCAACATGAGCAACGTGAGCTACAGGAGAGGCTAGGTGAGCCACATGGGCGGCGGGGTGAGCTTCATCGTGGCGTACGATGCTCTGGGAGGAGACGACATCAGCTGAAGAGTAGTGCGCCGCGGGCAGCAGGCCTGCTGCAGACACCGCCAACACTGCGCTCAGAGCAACGATCTACAACACACAATATTATTATTTACACACCATAAACTTCAAGAAGTCGATTAAAAAATACTGTATTCTTCACTTAATGAAAAATATTTTTTTAACTCACTTTAGAGAACATGTTGTTATGATTATCTCAGACACAACTGATGCACACGACGTGTTAAGATCGACTTATATATATGTTGTGCTCAATATTTTGGGAGTGACAAGGTCGACGGGTCACGGTGTGACTTCATAGATCATTAATGGAAGCTTTCGTGGTGCCTATAAAAACTTGTTAGGTATAAATATAAAACATTTATTTTATCGTAGGAAATAATTTAGTAATTCGTTGCATAATTTCTTCTAGACTAGTTGTTGTAGTGATCTATTATGACAGGTATTGCTGGTTCACATTACGCCATTAAGGCTTGAATAAAATTAGCAAATACATATTAAATCATGTCTACGTCGTTGGTGTTCGCTCGGTAGTTAACTTCTAATCCTAAATATCTCTTATATTATTTCTGTTTACATTTTGAACTTCATACTTGTTAAAAGCATAGCCTGTCAACCAAAATAATATTAAAGCTAGAGAGGTAGGTAGGTCTATTAGTACCCTAATCGTATATCATGACGTAGCGTAACACAAAAAAATTGCTAATACACATATACAATAAAACTAACTAGCCTTAACGATTTACGTCTCTTTACTATGCTGTTATTATAATACTACAAATTATAAATAGATCAATCGCCGTGACCTTAAGATGCGGTCTTCGAACTTATTATCTCGGAAGATGATTCACTCATTCACAAGTTTGCGGTTTTGTATTTTAAAGATGGCATCGTAATATTGCGACACGCTGTCTGCTAGTCACGTTGTTGTTATTATTATAAGTGGTTTATGAGATCGATGAACTTGTAAAATGATATCAGTAAGACTTTATAAAGATATTAATACTTGTATTTACTACTTTGATTAAATTTTTATAATCCTTCAAATCTCTACAAATATTTACATTGATATTTTATTATTTTAAGACATTTGGTATCTTAATTATATTGTAATAATTTCAGTACTTTTTTCATTTATTTACACTTTAATGCACACAAAATAAGGTACATAAAGCGGACTTAATGCCATATGGCATTTTCTCCCAGTCAACCTTTGGGTTAAATGCAAGGTCACTTCACCTCACTTCTCCGTGCATCTTGAGGTGGGGCCTGGCAAGGCAGGCCGCCACGAGTTCGGGGGCTGCGGATGAATGTGACTCCCGCACCCTCGTACCCACGTGTGAGACGGGACACCGGGGTGGGTTTTAGTCAGTAAGAGTCTGACAGTCCCTTTCGTCCTCCCCAGGCGAGGGGGCTCCATGAGGATTTCCCACCTAGGGGTTAAAAAAAAAAAAAAAAAAAAAAAAAATGCAAGGTCAGCGAAAATGGGCTTGTGTGATATGCAAAAAAAAAACAATATAAATAACTAATAGTAATAATAAATACTGTATAACATACTGTATAAAAATATATAATACACACACAATATATACATAAATAACTTCATAATGTATAATTATAATATAATTCATTGAACTTTTCGGAATTGCAAGTGGGTATCCATATGTGTAAGGTATTTTTTTTATTGTCTATTTTATTTTAGGGGCTTTTAATCAATAGGCTTCGGCAGCCCCATCGTAGCCCAATCCTATCTATCTAAAACATTTTGAATGAACTAAAAATTAATTAGAAATATCAAATACCAGCGGGTCATCACTGATGTGTAAGGTAGTTAAATTATAGTTAAGCTTAATCTAATGAAATTAAAGTAAGAATTTCAGTTACGTTTTCCATTGCAAAAAGATTTAAAGAAGAGAGATCGTATATTAACCTAAAGAAACAGTTAGTTGATACTTGAATCCGTAACATAAAGCCGTCATTAAAATGTAAACATGAATTACAAAAAAGTAACAATAACATGTAGAAAGGTCGATTTGATTTACTAGGTTAACCGATTAAAGTGCATTTTTGCCGTTTCAATTTCATTAAAAAATAAAATTTTATTCATTTAATTTATGAAACGTGTATTATAAATAACCCTTGTCTTAATAAAGTTAGGTTTTGGGAAAGACCGATACAAATACAACTAGTTTAATTATTTTTTCTTTGAATAATAATATTATTGCTTCTTTGCTATAATAATTACATTTAATTTTACTAGACTGCTTCGTTGGCCAAGTGGTCGCGACTGCCGTATTACTGGGTTTTATAAAAATCTCAGTAGTGGCACGTAGCCTGGAATTGTACCCGGTATATGGCAATAGGCTCACTCCCTGTTACATAGCACTCATATCATAAATAGTGAAAAATGGGTGATACATTGTAAAGTGGCATTAAGTGCCGTAATGCGCACCTCTGCCTACCCCTTCTGGGATAACAGGTGTGATGTTATGTAATGTTAAGTTATATTCAGGTTGTTCTTGTAAGAAAACTAAACAGAACAGACGCGTAGAGAAAGTCATTTCGAAACGTGTTTTATTTTTATTGTTTTTGTTATTTCTTGTCTTCTTGTCCTTTAACTTTCATAAAAACATTTGGTTAAAAACCACTTTTTGTGCAGATTTTATTATTCAGTGAAAAGTTTCTAATGATGTATCAGACAATTTTTCTCGTAAGTATCTCATTACTTTAGTATGGGCAGGAACAAGGTGATCTTATTGAAATGTACTTAATAGCCCCGTGTTTTCCCCGTCGTAGTACTGATTTCAAACTTAGTTTTTGTATTATGATTAAAAATTTCAATGATAAGAAGAAAATCCAATAATCTCTTGCTTGTTCCCATTAACACATCATTCAAAAGCTGATTATCAGTTCTTTACTAGACTAGAAACACCAAAAAAAAGAAAGAAGTATTTTTAACAATTTGCTGGTTTTATTTTCTTATTAAATAATATAAATAATTCTACATCATCGTTTCATTAAGACTAGATGTACACTTAGTGATGGTGAGCGAGGAGGACGGGGGCGGCGTGCACGGCGTGCGCGACTGGGGCGGCCACATGGTGAGCGGGCGCGGAGTTGGAGACCACCGCGTTGAATCCGTTGTGGTCGTCGGCGGTGTACTGCACGCGGCGCACGGAGCCGTCAGCCTCCACCAGCGAGTACTCGCCGTGAACAGCGTCACCGTCGCGGGACTCCTGCTGGGACTTGTTGTCGCCGGTGTGTCCGTCAGCCACGGAGTAAGAGAAGTCGTATTTGGGGTGAGCCTGAAGCAAACATGCCATCAATTATACTGTGATCGATCAAGCAAAATGAATCTGTACTGTATAACAATTAAACATTCGACTTACGTATTCTTCAGCGTGGGCGGAGACAAGAACCTTCTGGGCGGGGGCGATCACTTTGGCGATGGGAGCAGCGTAGTGGACGGGAGCAGCGGCGTATTGGACGGGGGCGGCGGCGTAGTGGACTGGGGCAGCTACGTGTGCTACATGGGCGGCGGGGTGAGCCTCATCGTGGCGTACGATGCTCTGGGAGGAGACGGCTCCAGCTGGGGAGTAGTGTGCCGCGGGCAGCAGACCAGCTGCAGACACCGCCAACACTGCGCTCAGGGCAACGATCTATGAAACAATACATTTTATTAGCACTTGAAATATAAGAACCCCTTTTCCTATACCAATATTTATTATACTTTATAGTAACTTAGAACTCACTTTGGAGAACATGTTGTAATGATTTTTTGATTCAACTGATACATTGCATACGTTAGGATTGGTTTATATACCTAGCGTTTGCATTTTGGACGAAACAAGGTCGACGGGTCACGGAGCGGCTTCGGTGATTTTATTCAAATGATTTTATCTAACTTAATAACTGTACAATGGTTTGCCATACTGATTATAATAGGCCTCATCTAAACAATAAATTGAAGGAGATCTAAGATTATGACAAGAGTTGTATTGACCAGCCATGTCATAGAGTAAATCAGTACCTAAATAAAATTATTGTAACATAACATAGCATCGCTTCTTTTATCCCCGATGGGAGGAGGCAGAGGTGCACATTACGACACATAATGCCACTGTACAATATAAGATTACCTTTTTACTATTTATATTATGAGGCCCATGTATGTAATTGGGGGAGCCTATTGCAATATATCGAGCACAATTCCAAACTCCGTGCTACTACTGAGAATTTTTAAAAACCCCAGTAATACTTTGAACGAGACGGGAATTGAACCCGAGACCCCTAGCCCAGCAGTCACACTTGCAACCACTCGGCCAACGAGGCAGTTAACAACAGACACCTACTATCTTGACATCGTTTAGTAAAACACACTGTAATGTTAAACTCAGAATATTCATATAAAAATCAGAACATTAACATTTTTGGTGAATATAATATGAATATAATAATATATATAACGAACATCATGAAAAAAAATAAAGTATCGTGTTTTGTATACATCATTCGTGAATTTTATTTATACACGGTTTAATGTCATGGACCTCATCGTGACCTCAAGATGCGGTCTGCGAATCTTCATTATGCAATGAAGATGATTCACTCATTCATTCACAAATTTACTTTTTAGTAGATGTCTATAGATCTAGTTTTTTACTGACCTATCGTATGACGTGTGCTATGAATAAAATATTATAAATAACGTACACGACATCACGCTTATTCTACTAGCTATCCTCTTGTAGTAGACACTAATTGCAAATTGCTTTTCCTACGTTGTGGAGTCCTGTATATTAGATGTGAACTAATTGTCATCCACTGTTATTAGTTTAGAAATATTTCAAAATACTGAAAACCCTATAATAATAGACATAGAGAATAATTGAAATAAGAACCTTGCTCGGTCTCAGACACTTGCTTGGTAATCGCAATAACGATCACATAGAATAAGAAAAGAAAACGCATTTAAGAAAAAATCTCCATCAAAATGCAATAAAAGATAAATATAGTACTTACGTTATTTAACATTTTAAAATTGAAAGTAGTTTTCTTTTAGACTTCTAAATGGACGATTTGTCAGTAGTAAATAATAAAAATAATGAAAGGTTTTTATGACCCACTTATAAAGTCAAGGCCGTCACATTATTGAGTACGCGTCACTGATTACGGTACTCATATTAAATTGTGATACAATGCATTTACTAAAATAGACTTTTATGGTCTAATGAGGAGAAAACAGCGGTTTCTGATTTTGTTTTTTAGTTTAAATTTTCAGATCGAAATCTAGTTTTACCCACCTACCTGTGTGTACATTACTGCAATCCAGGCAGCGTAAAATTGGCATAAGGAAAAAAACACTTACAGTTACAATTTTGTCGTTTAATAACACCCGTTAATCTAGTAACACAGTAATATTATTACCTACAAACGTTAATGAAATATTATTTATTTTTTAATATATCAATACTTAGTAATAGAAACTAAATTTTAATATTATCATGACCACTGTGATAATCGATCAGAAGAAAACACGTGGTGATAATGTATGGTCAATTGTTGTAATTTAAAATAATTATCTCTTATTAAGAATTAAATATGAACGCAATATTTATAAATTCGCTGTGCGCTTACTTCTTACTTCACCAGTTTTTACCTCGAGCTTTCGACCCACGCCGTAGCCATGTCAACAACTTATCTTCTAATATTATGGTAACGTATGCGATCATATAGATAAGGTAATTTGGTTTTCGAAACAATTGAATATATGTTATTTAGTTTGGAATAATTTGAGCATAATTATGATAATAATTGTAACTAGGTTTTGCTCACGTATTCCTGTTTTATCCCAAAATCATTATTACCTAAGCCCATACCCTTCCTGTATACTAAATTTCATCAAAATCCGTTCAGTAGTTTCAGCGTGATTGACGGAAACTTACATATCCAAACATCCAACCAAAACAACTTTCACAATTATGATATTAGTGTAATATCAACGGGAGAGAAAAATCAGCCAGTACAATATTGTTAATAGTACCTAGTTATGTTAAGATCCATAAAAAGGTTGATTTAGGTAACTATTTACCGTTATCAAGAAGATATTAAAGTACTAAAACAAACAATACTCATTTAATGACTGACGGTTGGTGCGGTGGCTGGGCAACCGGCTGCCGCGCAACGTGTCGCGGGTTCGATTCCCGCACGGAACAACACTTTGTGTGATCCACAAATTGTTGAACTTGTATGTTTGTAAACGCACCCACGACACAGGAGATAATCCTAGTGTGTGGCAACGTTTTTTTAAAGAATGAATGAAGAATGAATGAATTTATCGTAGTTCGTTCAATAGGTCACAAACATTCCAAAACAATAATAAACCTGTATCAAAAGCAATGTAATGCAATTGTACTGTGAGAAAAATGACGCGAGCACATTTTTCGACTGTAAAACAATGCTATCATACAATTTTAAACTGATATACAATAATGATAAGATGGTCATTAAGATAATATAGTAAACTAGATTTTAACCGCAGAGCCATCAGACCATTGTAGGGCTACTGCCCGACCCGGAGCTGCGGACTGCTTAATGGGTTGTTGGGACTCCGGCTCGAAGCAGATGTGGGAAGGGGGTGGTTTTCACTTATTAAGACTTTGACACTTTCTCGCCTCACCCAAATTGAGAGAAGTCATTTTTTAAACGATTTTATTTAATTTATTTACACTTCTTGTACTACATACACAATGGTGTAAATTAACTTAATGCCTAGTGGCATTCTCTAACAGTCAACCTTATGGTGACGCAGAGAGACACAATATTAGGTGTAAAAGTTTAATATTGATGCGAGTTCTTTAAAATAAATTAATATGTAAATATTTATTATTTAATACGAAGAAATATTTCAATGTCCTATATAATGAATGAACAGTTGACAAAGAAATATGGGCCATACATAGAGAGAAAGTTTGTCTATTTATTAATGAAAATCAATGAGGGCACCACCAGATCGTAGTACCAACCAAATAAAATCAAAAAAATAGCCTTGAGATATAAATATGAAATGTAATCAATTCCTTTTAAACTGTCAAACACCAAGCGGTCACCCGTGACCGCAACCTATTGTTCTTTAATTGTGTCTATAAATACAGTACTCGACGAGTTAAAACCTAAAATCGTTTGTTTTTTAGGTTTTTCACTTCTGGCAGATAAAGTGTAAACAGTAATGCGATTCCTACCCGCCATAGCCACTGCTCGAGAGAAAACATAATTTTAATTTGATTAAATTTGCCCAGCTTCTTGTTCTACTGAAAATCACTTTATGCTCAAAATACAATCAGTCGAGTTCTACTCGAAATTGTTCTTTATCATGTTTCATGTTTAATAAACCATTTTCTAAGTCGTGTTAACTTTTCCAATCTAGTACCTTTTTAACAAAAAACAATTCTATAAACAATCACAACTGATGACAATAAATGTACTTTCATTGAGCGTTGCCATAGTTTTAATGTTGTAGTTCCTCAAACATTCGTCGTCATTCTTAAATTGACAAACTATACCTAGATATATGTAAGCAAATATAACATTGTATATACAAATATATTTACATCCCGCAATCGTTTGGACGTCCCATGAAGGCGAAAGTGCATTTAATCTGGCGTCCACCAGCTTTTGACGTCCGCATACCGGACGCCACTTTGTTGGCCTATGCAACTTAGGTCCTTTTGGTCCTGGCTACACGTAGGTTAAAAATCGACAGAGTCCAAAAGATCGGTTCAATGGCTGTTATAGTATTTTGAAAAGTTCCCAAAGAAATCTCAGCGCCGATAGAGCGCTGCTGTAGCGCGTATATCCACAGCTGTATATTTTTGGGATTTTCTGATTATAAGTCCGCGTATTTGGCGTCCTCAAAAAAATAACAGCGACGTTGCCAGTTCGCTTATTAAATCCGTGGAAATAGTTCAAAATATTATTTACCGCATTCAAAACAATATTCATCGTCGTACATTTCGTATGTGTTGCGTATTATTTGGAGTCCGATTTTATTATTTATCATGTGATTGCAACTTACGACAACTTATCTGCAACCATGTTCTCAATTTGTAAATGAGTATCTTAGAAATAAGTACTAAAGTGACAAAATTATATGTCTTACCACAAAAAAGGTTAACCAGAGTTTAACTCGTATTAAATGTGTATTTAGATAGTATAGTCTCCGTATAAATTTTGACGTAATTTTATTAACTTTATCTATTTACATTAATATTTATATTAATGTAATAATTATACTGGATTAATATTTTTTGAAATAATTATTATGGACTGCCTCGTTGGCCGAGTGGTCGCAATTGCGACTGCCGAGCAAGGGGTCTCGGGTTCGATTCCCGGGTCGGGCAAAGTATTACTGGGTTTTAAAAAAAATTCTCAGTAGTAGCACGGAGTCTGGAACTGTGCCCGGTATATGGCAATAGGCTCACCCCCTATTACATGGGACTCATAACATAAATAGTGAAAAGTGGGTGTTACATTGTACAGTGGTATAATGTGCACCTCTGCCTACCCCTTTGAGGATAAAAGGCGTGATGTTATGTTATGTTATGTAATAATTATAATTAATTAATATTATTAATTAACTGAATAATTAATTAATGTTGTATTACTGATCAAATCAATCAACGTTTGTCTTCTTATTTCTAGCCTTGGCGTGTTATAAAGATCCAATTAGGAATTATAAATGTTTTTGATTACAAAACGTAAACACTTCATTAAAAGTAATATCCATATTTAACATAACATCACGCCAATCACACTGTACAATGTAATATCCACAGTTTTACTATTTATGTTATGAGTCCCATGTAATAGGGGGTGAGTTTATTGCCATATACCGGGCACACTTCCAGACTCTTGAAAAAACCCAGTAATACTTTGCCCAACCCGGGACTGGAACCTGAGACTCTTTGCCAGGCGATCACACTTGCGACCACTCGGCCAACGAGGCAGTAAAATGATATCCATATTCTTTGTTTTTATTTGCTTACTTAGAATTGGTAACTTCATATCAATAAGCTGCCAATTAAATATTTGATACAATTAGAGCTGGTTTCAAAGCTAGGGGATATGGGCAGCGCGGCCGAAGCGCGGGCTTCAACAATAGAGGCATCAGGCAACAATCCAATAGAGGAGTTAATCGAGTGGCCACAACTAGAAGTATTAAATTATTAATCTTGCCTTAAATGAAATTGAAATTCAATACAATATTTGCGCACAAAGATCAGATTAGGTGCGGTCTTCAGTTACTTAAGGTTTAGATTAAAATAGAAGTGTATCTCGTAGATTATAATTTCTAGCGATAAAGTCCTCTACTGGGACCTCTACCTCTATGACAGTCGCGTCGCAATAAAACGATGCTAGAGCTCTCATCATCTCCAAGCGCGAGGCATTTCAGCAGCGCTGCCCAATCCTCTAGCTCTGAAACCAGCCTAAATGAAAGAAGTTTTGAACATATACACTTAATAAAACCATTCTAGTAATAAGATGTTATTATCTTTACTAATTACGGACGCCCAATAGCTATACGTGGACATTCAATAGCTATATACGGACGCCCAATAGCTATATACGGACGTTCAATAGCTATATACGGACGCCCAATAGCTATATACGGACGTTCAATAGCTATATACGGACGCCCAATAGCTATGTACGAACGTTCAACGGCAATATACTGACGATCAATAGCTAGGTGATCTAACATGATACCCTTTTTTTAGGGATAAAAATTATCTAATGCCTTTTGCCGCCGGCCGCCGGCGGCCGCGCTGGTGAAGCGAGTGGAAGTTTCAGAGGAAGTTTCTCTTACTGACTTTTTTTAAGCGGGGAAAATCATCGATTGACTGCTCCCGCCTGGGTAAGGCGGAAGGGAGTTTCACTCTTACTGACTAAAAACCACCCCGTTCCTTCTCCTGCGCGTCCACCCGGAGCCCCGGTTACCCGTTAGGTTCTCCGCGACTCCGACTCGGCATCGGCCCTGTTGGGCCCCATCTGTGGTGGTTTTATGGCTCTTTGAGGCGCGCGCGGAACGCGACGCGCCGCACGTTCAGGTCTGTTTCTGGTCGGACGGGGAGCCACCCATGCTCGCCGTCCGCAGGCCCGCGCTTACGGTGGCCGGAGATCGTCCCGCGATCCCCGACGCCCGGTGTGTCCTTCGCGATGGCTGGGTTGCGAGGAGGCAGCGCTTCGCTGCCTCATGCGTCCCGTCTCCTCCTTAGCTAGCTTGACTGCTTCGCAAAAGGAGGAGACGGCATCCCAGTCCCTCTCGCTCCGCATCATGGCCTGCACTAGGCCCGGACGCGAGAGGTCGCCATCGCCGGATGTTTCCTCCCGCCCCATCAGACACAGGTACCTTCCGACTCTTACTGACTTAAAACCACCCCGTTCCTATTCCTGCACTTCGAGTCGGAGCCCTGGTCACCCTTTAAGTCCTCTGTGCCTCCGTATGGGCATCAGCTCCATCCGTGGTGGTCTGATGGCTCCTTGGGGCGTATGCGGAATGCGACGCGCCGTACGTTTGGGTCTGGTTCTGATCGGGTGGCAAGTCATCCGTGCCGACCGCAGGCCCATGCTTACGGTGGACGGAGACCGTTTCGCGATCCCCGAAGCCTGGAGTGTCTCTCGTGACGGCTGGAGCGTGAGGAGGCTCGTTCCCTCACGAGCTCCGCCTCCTCCTTAGCTAGCAGGACTGCTTCGCAGAAGGAGGAGACGGCATCCCAGTCTCCCTCACTCTGTACCATGGTCTGAACCAGTGTCGGACGCGAGAGGTCGCCGTCGCCGATCACATTCCTGAGGACACGATGGTGTTCAGGCACGCAGGGCACACTGCCACCGTATGCTCCACCGTGTCCCCCGGGTGGCCCTCGCCTCGCGTTTCCTCCCGCCCAATCCGAAGCAGGAACCTACCGAAAATTCCGTGTCCGGTAAGCACCTGCGTCAGGCGGTAGATAAGGACGCCGTAGCGTCTCTGTCTCTCAAGCCACTCCTCAAATCTAACATGACACCTTCTGAGCAAGTACGTGGATGTTCAATAGCTATATACGGACGCCCAATAGCTATACCTCTATATGGACGTTCAATAGCTATATACGGACGCCCGATACCTGCTGAGGAAGAAACTTTCTTCGCGCGCATGGCCATCATCAGGCTCGCAAGAGCAATTGCCATTACCATGTCAATTGTCAGGATCCGCAATCAACGGACCTCCCATTTCCGTGTGTGAGCAGTATAGTGATGTAGCTTTTTACTTGATGACCATAGCGTTTGGGTCAACTGAAATTTGCATGACCATTTTTGAATTCCTAACGTAGCCCAGTAGATGGTGCTAGTCCAGCAGTGGACTTAAATAGGCTGATGATAATTAATAACTATATACGGACGCCCAATAGCTAGATGATCTTTCACAGTTATAGATGATCTTACATGATGACCGCTGGGAAAGAAAGTTTCACGTATTTTACTCTTGCTTGCTTTGAAATAAAAATAGAGTTCTGAGTTTCTTTCTTTAGATAAATTTGTAAAACCGGTACGCCGCGCCGATCACATACGGGCTGAACCGATTTGTATTTATGTATGGAATAGACTAGGCAAACATTTAAAAAATATGTTATTCCTACTGCGGCATCTTCTCATGTAAAAATCTCATAGAAACCTCATTTTTTTTGCATCTTGTTACCAATATTATACCAATATCGGGCATTAGTATTGATAGATTTTACGAATATTGTAATACTGTTAAAACTCTGTCCCAGACGAGTGACAAGAGAGAGGAAAAGAAAGAGACAAGTGAACGCAAAGCTGGCAACGTTGCACTCGCAAATATCATCCACGCTGTGAGGACGTTAATTAGCCGAAGCCATGGTTAAATCACGATCAATATATCTAGGAGCCCAATTAGTTATCACCATTGTTTGGGGTTCAAAAATGTTGCAGCATGACTGCAAGAAGAATATCGTGAAAAATAAAATTATCGGAAAATGACGTATCCTACAAAGCTGGAAATCGAATAACTAAGCAATATTCATCAAGACATATAAAAAAAATTAACGGGAACTGGGGGACGTCGTAATGATGCGCGACATGTGTGACGCCAAAATGATTCTAGGATGTAAATATATAAATACATAATTAATAGACATACAAAAATACATAGGTACATGAACTAAGAGTGTGTTGAGTCTGCTGGCCACATCTGTAGATATTCACGAACCCAAAATTGTTGAAATGTCACCGTCCGTTTTTAATCGATCATTGCAAATAACTAATAACTGTTTAAGTTTAGTGATAATATATTTTATTTATTTTCTCACTACAGGGGACTATCTACTTAGATAAAAGTCCTTAATTCAAGCCATCATTCTACCGTGCATACATCCAATATGTGATGTTAATGTTATGAAGAAAATTCATATGCCAGTAAAGAAGTGCGCTGACAAATGTACACGTGTTAGAAATGCTTTATAAGAAATAAATCAATATTTTGATTCATAGGATATTGTTGTATATTGTGTAAAAAAGTTACGTAAAACTGTTAGTATATATTTTCCACTTTTCATCACATGGATGATTATGTTTTTATATTATTAACTACAACAGACTGCCATTTAAAGATTCCTGGACCGAAATAGTTGAAGGGTGACGTAACATCTATCCCTTTGAGTTGCCGCATACAATGGGTGGAAATGTAATCATAGTTCAAGCATTGATATCATTGGATGTGAATGAAAACAACGATCTAAACATAGACAATCGAGTCTATCGGTGGATCATCGCTCACACCACTCGTGCATCGAACGGTGACAATACGTTTACTCTCGTGAAAACTAGTGAACAGTGAAAAGTGCTAGAAACTAAAATAAATACTAAATAAAAATTACTTCCTATATACTGACATCTATTTATGTGTTCAAAGTGTTATTCCAGTGACATTTGCGGAGATTGTAGAAGAAAACATTTCTACTTCTAGAGATCACTTTATTTTCAATAACACAATGTATTTCAATGTAAGTTTACTTTTTATAAACCACATCTCTAAAATTCTGGCTATTCAGTTTCAGTTTCTTAACACTATTGTGATTTTCAGGTTATAATTTTAACGTTTTTAGCAATACCTGTGGTAAATAGCCATAGTAACATACTACCAATGCTTGACGATCAGGACTCAGTTGTGAGATTTAATAGACATGATTTGCCGACCTTTACGTATGAAGATAGTTATCAAATTAGCACACCATCACCAATTGCCCCAAATATTTATAACAACATACAGTACGCACCACTCACCAACCAAAATAACCAGAGAAATAAAAACTCTGCTGACGAATATACTAAGATTACTCCAAGCCTTGGTGGAGCCTCTACATCGAAGGAACCTTTGCATCATTCGAAAGAGAGTTCTATTTCAAGTGTGCCAAAATCCCATTTGGAGCCTAGAGTTCCTAGTCAACTGAATGCCGATGCAATGAAATGCTACAGTCCAGGACAAACTGTTGAAGTTCTAACAGTCAGTCGAAGCCCAGGTCACAATGCCATCTATAGAAGTTTTTCAGAACCGGTTGCGAGAGACAATAATCCTTTTAAGGTAACTATTTCTTTTCATTCTTACAATAACACCATACTTGATAAAAAGCTCGCTTCAAACCGACCCTTCTGGAAGTTACTGGATCAAGCCTATATTCGTCAATGGATATAGTTGACCAATATTATGATGATGATGAATCATACGCATTCAGCGCTTGTAACTCCCAGAAAAGATTTCTCAATTTCTCAATAGAGGCAGTATCGGTATAATTACAGATTAGATTACTTAGAAAATGTCTAGGCCAAATGGAAAGTTAATCAACCATTACAGAATCCCCTATTTAAGTATTCAACCGAATGTAATAACTACAGATATTGTTTTGATGTGGGTGATAATTAATGACCCTTAAAAAATAAGTCGCCTCATGATTTCTCAGGATACTCAGTTATGTGAAATCATATAACTTCTTAACGAAATTCTGAGTACAAACTTAAATTCCTTGTCGTGAACTTTAACACAGTCATACAAATTATATTATAACAGTTTGACTGAATCTGGGCGAGTCCTAAAGCTTTGAGTAACCATCAAGGAATGGGTAGCAGCTCCCTCTTAATTTTACCAAGCATAGTGATTATAGTCAGCTCCAAATTTAGATGAAAGCCTTTGTTCACCAATGTACGTTTTTAGACTAATGATAATTTTTAGAGTAATAAAAATCGTACTTTTCAGTTGAACAATTTTGTAAGGCCATTCGGCATATTCCACGAAGTAGAACAAGAACAAGTACCAGTGTTGACAACCACTTTACCAACATTTGAACTGCCTTCCGAGTCTGTGGCTAGACCCTTCAATTTGAACGCTATAAGCAACCCAAATTATGGCCTAAATCCCAATAAGTAAGTAATTTCTTAATACAGCGTTTGTCCATATACAAACATTCTCGTTTTGTAGCTTTACGAACTAAAAACCTACTAATGTCATTGCATTTTTTACCAATTACTATGTTTATTTAATTAAAACTGTATAGTATGTATCTTATGATTTACGCGTATTAGATATTGAATAAGAAGTCAGGGCAATATATTGTTATTGTAAAAAAAGAAATTGTGTACATCGACTATACTGTCAAGAGAAAATCGTTTAACAAACGATTTTCTTTTTAAAAAAGCCTAACATAATACTTATGCATGGAAGTTGAATTGTAGTTTTTAACACAATAGCCTGATGTTTGTTCATATTTTATGTAACTGACGCTAAGAGCTTGTAGCTATTTATTAATCCACGAACAATAATATATGTATTAGTCACTACTTCGATTGTTAGTTATGTTAGAGATCAAATCAATAAAACCTCTTTTGTCATTGTAATGTATCTATATATGTATCTATAAAATGTATCTTTACCTATAAAATGTAGATTTACCAATTTATTACAAAAGTTTGAAAAATGCGATATAATATTTCATAGCATTCTTCTTCTCTATTATATATAAATTCAGCTCGCAATTTTTACCTCGTCTTTGCAGTTTGGTTTCTTATTAATTTCTTTTATGCAAATTCCTAAGTACTCCAATTCTATTTACATAAATCATATTGCTTATCCTTTCAGTATAGAAGTGGGGCCTGGAATTAATAAGAAAAAACGTCAATACTCACCGTACGCTAAGCTCCATAGGTTGCACCTGAACATCGCAAGAGTATACAGTCCAGTACAGGTGGTACCGCCAAAGGCATCACCATTCACCGACACTTACTCCTTGAACTACCAAAGGTTACCAGTTAATCCCGAAGGTTATGTGCCACCCGCCTACCAAGGCTTATCAAAAAAACCAAGATACGTATACCCAGATCAAGAAAAGCCAAAAGGTTTCCGTTTCCGCTTGCCATAAATACACAAAGTAATATATATATAGATCTTAAATTGTAAATAGATTGTTAGATAAATTTTATTTTTACGATAGTCGGTACTTCTAACAATGTGCCATCCGAGGTAGTCACACAAGCACTATGGGATCATTCGACACTACATACTTACTATTCAAAATGTTTACAGATTAATCAATGATCGGGTAAGTGAATCTGACCTAAAACTAAAAAAAAAAAATACTAGTATGTTACAGAAAGTACTTGAACCATCTAAATATCTATGACTGCCATCATATTCTCATTGATTTTTGGCTTAATTCTTTGAAGTAGTTTATAAAAATGTAATTCTATACAAATGCATATGGGTAAAGACACAACTACATAATTTTAGTTTTGTACAATTGGGATGATGACAGGGTATGAAAATTAAAAATCTAATTAGTCCGTAAGTTAGGTAATGAAATAATATTTGGCACGTATTTTTTTTTATTCTGTCGTATAATAAAACAATACTTAGATAAAACGATAAAAAGTTTAGGAGTGGGGGCTAAAACGTCATTTCTACATATAAAATGTACAAAGAAGTGACGTCACGCGACATTTCAAATCAATATATCGTCGAAAGTATTCGTTTCGGTAACAAAATTAAAAATACGTGTCTAATGATTTAAAATAATCTACCAGACGGACATAAAAATAAAAATTAGGCATCTACCCTATTCTGACGATGACGACACTAGATGTCAAATACAGTGAAACTTGGTTAAGTGGGACCTGGATAAGTGAGAAACCTCCATAACTGGAACTCATGCTGAGGTCCCAACACTTTGGCACTGAATTACCTCTGTTAGTGGGACGAGGTAAACCTCTATATCTGGGATTTGTTCTTTCGATTTATCATCATAGTTACCTCTATAACTGAGACAGCGAGTAAATTTTATATGCATACACCTCTGTAACTGAGATAACATTGTTTGTTTACTCATTCTTATTCTACCCACAAATTTCACAAGTAATTCCAAGTCCACCTATATTAATGGAACCCTCTGTAAATGAGACAGATATTTATTTATACCTGTATATCTGAGACACTGGGTAAGTGGAATACCTCTATAAGTGAAACGACATTGCAGGTCCCTTGATGTCTCACTTAACCAGGTTTCACTGTAATTTACGAAGATTTAAAATTGAATCGTTGACACTATTTGATTGTAGTGTTAAATTATTTTGTTTGCGATAAACAAACAAATATTCAGTTATCAACATCTGTCTTCTAAAATATGAAATTCGGAAGTAACTATATCATCCATGACCATAACAAGAACATAGTTCCCTAAGCTTATTTTATTTTTTTTTAGGCGCCAATTTTTGAATGTAATGTTTGGTTAGTTCTAAAGTTGAATATACAGCGATATATTAATATTTAATTTGTTTTTAAACGTAGTTTAAACAACAACGAAGAAGGATGAAATTCCTATTTAAGCTCTTCAAAATATGATAATTTTGTCCTATAAAAATATTTCATTTCCATTTTGCCATAATGTGACATAATAATACTATAGACAGCACATTTGTTCTGTTAGGTTGTTATAAGAACACTTTTTGTAGTTATTAAGGTTTAATCGAGCCGTAATTGTAATCTGTATCCCTTTCTGTTTAGTTTAATAGACAATAGGAACATCGTAACAAATATGAAAACATGATAGAGAACAATGCTGAACAAGACACTAAACAACAGTGCCCTACTAATGAGACAATAGAAAATCAACAAAAATATCTCGCACTGATAAACAAAATAATAATATTTCACTCGTGCACTTGACACAAATGAAAATATGAAACGATTTATAAGATAAAAGTAAACTCATTTTCTTCTAACGTAAATTAAACATTTATACCTAAGTATAACAATTACTCGAAAGTGTACAATGAATTATTTCGCGACTTATTATCGAAACTGTTTATGAAATTAAGTACGGTATTGCTATATTAAGGAAATTATTTTTCTGTAATTGTTGAATAAATTCGAATAATCCGTCCTTTTTGTTTTATTTCGTATAATTAGGTATGTGTTATCTGATAACATTTCAGAAATAGTGTCTTTGAAACTGGGGTTTTTTACACAATACAATCGCATTATTAATGCGTAGGTGGAAAATGAATAGTTACTGAATGAAAGTAATCAGGTGAATGTATTATATCAACGTTGTCTAAACACACAAGAGCAAGGTCATTTAATCGGTCGCGTTCGATGCTGAAATAAATCCAGTAAGTATAAAACTAAACAATAATTAGTCCTAGGTATCAGTCACCGATTGAACACTGTAGACAAATCAACATGTTCTCCAAAGTAAGTATTATTTTCAATTAGGATCAATCAAAATAAACGAGTTATTAAATACATTATGGTGTTTGTATTGGATCCTAAGGTACATATGAATAAAACAAAAATAATTTTAGATCATAGTTCTTTGCGGATTTGTGGCGGTGTGCCAGGCTGGTCTCCTGCCCGCCCCCGTGCACTACTCTTCTGCTGCCGCTGTCTCCTCCCAGAACATCGTGCGTCACGACCAGCCTGCCCAACACGTCGCCTACCACGCTGCTCCCGCCGTCGCCTACCACGCCGCCCCCGCTGCCGTCGCCTACCACACCGCTCCCGCTCACTACTCTTCAGCTGCTGCTGTATCTTCCCAAAACATCGTGCGTCATGACCAGCCTGCCAAGCATGTAGCCGTTGCTGCCCCAGCTGTGGCCTACCATGCCGCCCCTGCCGTCGCCTACCACGCTGCCCCTGCTGTGGCCTACCACGCCGCTCCCGCCCCTGCCGTCGCCTACCACGCCGCTCCTGTCGTAGCCCACGCTGAAGAGTTCGACGTAAGTGTTCATTGTATCAACATTACAGTATGTTAATGATAGTTTTTACTACTTGCAATCACTAATATTATAACGTTATGTCACAGGCTCACCCCAAATACGAGTACAACTACTCCGTAGCTGACAGCCACACCGGTGACAACAAGTCCCAGCAGGAGTCCCGCGACGGTGATGTGGTGAAGGGCTCGTACTCCTTCCACGAAGCCGACGGCTCCGTCAGGACTGTGGAGTACTCTGCCGACGACCACAGCGGCTTCAACGCCGTCGTGCACAACTCCGCGCCCACTGCCGCTCCCGTGCACGTCAAGGCCGCTCCCGTCTACGTTGCGCCTGCTCACTATATCCACCATTAAAACATCGCAATACTTCTATCTACTGAATGATGTTGATTGTTAATTATATTTATTGCAATATATGAATAAGATCGTAACATAATAATCTTTATATTTTTTCCTAATATATCCTAATGCAATTTAACATTGTCCTCACAACGAATTGAAACTAGCTCCCCTTAGTAACAAATGATAGTCATAAAAAGAGCTTTCTACTCACATACATCTGGTTGTTATAGGTCGGTAGACACATTTCCTATACGTGTTTGCCCGTCATCTTTTTTCGGTGACTATTTCAACCACAGAAATATTCAACCCAACATCATATAACTCACCATCCTATAATCTGATTAAAATTTGTTCAAAATAACAACTTGTTCATACTTAGAACGTAGATTGAATATAAAGTAACCACAGTTTCTTAAATATTTATATCGTTTAATTTATTTTTCTTTTATTTGTATACAGGGTGATTTGTATAGTATTAGTATACAGGTTTTTGTAATTGGTTTACAATCTACTGATAAAACCTTCCCTATGACTGTCACTCTTGAACTGAATGAGCGCCTTATTTCTTCAGTCGCTTCAATTACTTTTTTGTGAAGGATTTTGATTGACGAAATTAGTGTTGCGTAAATAAAGGACTGCATGTGCCCCACATACGTAAAAATCAACCTGCTTTTGGTCTAGACACGGTGCCCGCCATGGAATTGGACCCCCTGCCATTTCAACGCCTTAGAAGCGAGGCATTCAACCATTGCTGCAAAGTAATTCGATAGTACGCTGGCCAACCATCGTGTTAGAATATTATCGTCGTCTCCTTGTTTCTAAATGCACATTTTTAACCAAATTTTGTACCTAATGATGTTTTTGAAAATGCTCGTTTTCCTTTACAATTTACTTATCATAAAGATATTAATTTATTTTTGAGACTTTTATAAATAATCTAATGTTTTTGGATAGCCAATAAAACATGAAATTTTTTGAAATAGTTTGTACGCTTAGTGTAATATCATTTTTTTTAATAAATCCAGTTTTCTATTGACCAAATTAGTGAGTGAAAACAAAATTTGATACTAATTTACTTGCTATTTTAAAATAAATAATATTTTTGAAAGTATTTGTATTAATAAATGTTTATTGAGTTGTTGACAATAAATTAAAACTATAATCTCCTAAATCAAACCAATAGTGTTTTATTTATGGATATATTATAGTTAGATCGGGTTTTTTCACCAAAACTGAAAATGTTGAATATCTCAGAAACTAGACACTTTCGGGCTATTTTTTAGGAAAATAGTGGTATTATTACCTCCCGAGAGAAATACGTCGAGTTACAATTCACCCGTATATATGTGTGTGTATCCTTTATGTTATATGTGTGTACATAAATAATAAAAATAAATAAATCTTAATTGTACTTACGCACAGGGGTTTATTTTAGAATTAATTAACTTTATGAGAGATATAAATTAAAATTAATGTTATGAAAAATATGTCCCAATTTTTTTTCTACTGTATCGTAATTCGTATTGGTTTAATGGGTAATCAAAATTTGCAAAGTATGCATAGGCCTCAAAATTTCAAACTGACATAGATAAAATGACATATGACTTGTGAAATTTCTCGCAATCGGCGATGTGCCCTAAGTGAGCGGATTGATTAGTGTACCATATAACCTGTAGCAAGGTCGCGTGTAGCCTGTTTGACAACTTCCACTACTTACACTAGAATTTGGTAATACGCAATGTTGTCTATTATAAATAGCTAAGCTTGGATATTTGGATTATCATTTCACCTTTTGATCACAAAAGAAACAACATGTTCTCCAAAGTAAGTTTAAAATTAAAATTCACGTGTGAAATATGACAGTTACTCTACCCAATAGTGATTCAGTGTTTATAACAAAATTATTTTCTTTTAGGTGGTTGCTCTGTGCGCTTTCGTGGCTGCGGCCCAGGCTGGTCTACTGACTGCACCTGCACACTACTCTCCCGCTGAAGCAGTTTCTTCCCAGAGCATCGTCCGTCACGACCAGGCCCATGCTGCTCCCGTGGCTAAGCTCGCATTCGCCGCTCCCGTAGCCAAGCTCGCCGTCGCCGCTCCTGTGGCTTACCACGCCGCTCCCGCTGTGGCCTACCACGCCGCTCCTGCTCACTACTCCTCTGCTGCCGCCGTCTCCTCCCAGAACATCGTGCGTCACGACCAGTCTGCCCAACACGCTGCTCCTGCTCACGTTGCCTACCATGCAGCCCCTGCCGCGGTCGCCTACCACGCTGCCCCAGCCCCCGTCGCCTACCACGCTGCCCCAGCCCCCGTTGCCTACCACGCTGCACCAGTTGCCAAACTTGTCGCTCAACAAGAAGAGGTTGCCTACCCCAAGTATGAGTACACATACTCGGTTGCTGATGGCCACACTGGTGACAACAAATCCCAGCAAGAGTCTCGTGATGGTGATGTTGTGAAGGGCTCTTACTCTTTCCACGAAGCCGACGGCTCCATCAGAACTGTAGAGTACACCGCTGATGACCACAACGGTTTCAACGCTGTTGTGCACAACTCTGCGCCCACTGCCGCGCCAGTCCACATCAAAGCTGCGCCCGTGCTTGTAAAGGCCGCCCCTGCCCTCAAGTACTACCACCACTAATGTACCAAAAACTTATGCTTAAGTAATATTGTAAATTGTTATTATTTTTGTACGTAATACAAAACCAGTACGATTCTAAATTAGATTAGCATTTTCAATTACCAATCTTTCGTATTATACATTTCCTTTTTTCAAATTTCAAATAATGAAAAGGAAATCATGCACCTTAATAAATATCTTGAGTATTACACATTATTATTGTATTGATAAAAAGTAGATTTGATAAACCTCTAACAATATGGTACTGAATGATTATTGCGAAAGTATTTCAAAAGATTAATAAAGTTGGAGCGACTTTTAAGAGTCGTAATAATATGTGTTGATTTGTACCAAAACAAGTTTGTTGCGTTATTTAATAACGACAACTAACGAAAACATCTGATGCTGTTAGTTCATAGACGAACGTAGGTACCTAACTATACTTGATGTGGTAAATAAAATAGTGAGTTGTACTAATGAGATTAAAGGCTATATTTGATGTTCAAGTAATAATAGACCAAATATAGTAGAATACCTACTTAGAAAAGTGATACGAAAGATAGAGCTACGAAGTGTCAAGTAGTGCCTATAATTGATTTCAAAGTCATGAATTTAATTTAAAAAAAATAAAAAGGTCTGATGAAGATCTGCACCTTGTGTATTAAGTAGAATTTTTACGATCTATCTAAGTGTTACCCATAATCTAAAGAGCTACCAGGATCTTGGAGGATAAAAACGTTGCAGCTGATTACATAACAGTTCCATAACACGAAGAATATTTTAATTAGCAGTTAATCTGTAGTAGAAGTCGTCTAACCAAAAACATCGAAAGGATGAGATCTCCAGAAGAATCAGAAATAAGGCAAAGTATTTCTATATACAACTGAATTAGTTTTCACATGTTCTGTCATTTCTTATAAGACCGAAGTCACAATTGAACCTATGTGCCCGACACAAGGTCTGGTCACAAATCTAAGCTCTGATACATAGACTTAAATGTTGAGTACGTGCAGCACAACGCTTACTAGGTAACAGGTTCAGGTTTAATTGTTTGAAAATTCGTTTAATTCCATCAAAGGTCTTGACTCCATGTACTGAAAGTACTGCTGTATTTTTCTAATACTGTAAACAGTATTAATAAGTTAGTAGGTATCCTATCCAATGTCCCACTCAAGCATTCCAAAAACGTTTCTTTCGATGTTTTGCAAGATAAGGCCGATTATTTCAACGCCAGATAAATTTTAACTGGAGAATTACTTTGAATATTTGACAATTGGGTACATTCCGGAACAAAAATAAATTATTTCGACTGCTTAATACAATAAAATAATAAAAAATAATCACACTTTCATTAATTTGATGTATGACTAACTTAATTTTAGAATTTTCTCAGCATTATTTTAAGAAATAAATGTGATGTTTAACGCAAAAAACGTGACGTCATAATACACGATATCGTAAAAAATTCATGGAAACCTATCGTTTTTGACAGTTCGAAAAAAGTATTAAATTTGACTAGTTGGCAAGTACCCAATTCTTCCAAACTAAAAACTGTCAATTATGTCAATTTTGTTCTACAGTCAAGAATTAACTATTGATTGAAAAATCGGCCCTTAATCAGTTTGGTCTAGTAGAATTTTGTTTGACACAAAAGTAACCAAAGGGTTAGTACATAAACTCATCTTGAAAATATGTAAACGTAGGTGCACAAATGAAGTTTCTTGGTCGTTTTTCTTCACTGACAAACTTTATTAGGTGACGTTTCAAAAATACCTGTTTATGGTTTAATTGAAATAAATTCTTTGATTTTTACTTTGCTAGTTACGTAACTAACAACAACCAGGTAACGTTACCTATATTACTTTTAGTGTCTGACAATTCTACAGTAATTGATATGGCATAATACCGCGCCACTACAGAATTTTGAAGTTTTCCTATATACTGTGGCTCTCTCACTACAATGGCTGAACCTTTTCTCGTACCTCACCGCATCAGCTCTTAAAGTAGCCTCCAAGATCCGGGAAATATACCAATTAATATTACGCTAAATACAAGTAAATACTAATTGTTGTGCAAGTTTAAAAAACTTTAGAGCTTTTGAAAGCCTTTTAGTGAATGGGGGTCAAAAAACTAAGAGACCAAAAGCGAGGTTGCAAAAATCTAGTTAAACAAGCTTTGCAGCCTACACTTTCCTAATTGTCAACCAGTATAAAAACTAATAGCGATAAAACAAAGATATCATTAAACATTTGATCACTGAACTAGAACTATCAAAATGTTTTCCAAAGTAAGTCCTTAGATAAAGAAAATATTAAGGTTCAATAATGACATTAAAAATATTATGTTTATAGCTCAACAAAGTACTTTCATTAAATATTAAATATGAATCTTTCAGATCGTAGCTCTTTGCGGATTGGTAGCGGTGTGCCAGGCTGGTCTCCTGCCCGCCCCTGTGCACTACTCCTCTGCTGCCGCTGTATCCTCCCAGAACATCGTACGTCACGACCAGTCTGCCCAACACGTCGCCTACCACGCTGCTCCCGCCGTCCCCTACCACGCCGCGCCCGCTGCCGTCGCCTACCACGCCGCTGCTCCTGCTGTCGCCTACCATACCGCTCCCATTGTGGCTCATGCTGATGAGTTCGATGTAAGTAACAGTAAAATACACTTACAGTAATTTTTTCTCTAGTATCATACAGTAATTTTGGCTCATTTTTATGACAGGCTCACCCCAAATACGAGTACAACTACTCCGTAGCTGACAGCCACACCGGTGACAACAAGTCCCAGCAGGAGTCCCGCGATGGTGATTTCGTGAAGGGTTCGTACTCCTTCCACGAAGCCGACGGCTCCGTCAGGACTGTGGAGTACTCCGCCGACGACCACAGCGGCTTCAACGCCGTGGTGCACAACTCCGCGCCCACTGCCGCTCCCGTGCACGTCAAGGCCGCTCCCGTCTACGTAGCACCCGCTCACTACATCCACCACTAAACCAAAAAATATTTTAGTAATATTTATGAAATAAAAATATTTCACAAGAATTTTCATTTTCATTTACCTATACATTTCTAAAGTTCAGAGTGTGTAAACAAAATAAACATTGTATTCGAAAAAATCGAATAGACACGAATCTTGACCTATGCAAGAAAACTGGTGACAAACCATGCCTTGTATTTCGACATTTGTACTTGACGCCATCCTATTACTTTCCTACTACTAAGAATTTTTGCAAAACGGACAACCCGATCAGGTTTTTATTAACTAGGAAATCGTACCTAAGACACTACTAGAAGTCGTAATTATTGTTTTAGAGTTGTAATAAATAAGGAAGATTTATTCTTTTCTAATAAGACAGAAAAACATTTCATTTGGCTGGTGCCAAACTAAAACTTTGGTACCACCACGTACAAAAATATTACACGAATAAAAAGTAGTAAGATCAACAATGGTATACCTAAAAAGAAACGTAAAAACATAAAAAAAACACAACAAGAACTGTATACTGTAAGAACACTAGGTATGTAGAGGTACACAAGTATTGTAGATGATTGCGGGTATTAAAAAACTTCGTTTTAGCTGGACTTTTGTACCCACGGATCTAAATCCAAGTGGTCAGCAGTTTCTCTCAGATTCTCTGGAGCAAGGAAAAACGTTTGGTAATTGAGTATGTTTATTTTTATTTTATCAAGTCTGTATTGTATACCTCAATAACCGGGTTGTCAAATACACTTTCGAACCGTTAGGGGCTGAAGGTGAAACCTTTAGGGCGTAGGATCAAATGTATGTATTATATGTAAAAGGGATGGTTGGTGCTTTTTATGGGTAGAAAATCATCCAATGATTTCTTCTGCCTTGGGTTAGGCGAGAGGGAGTGTCAGACTCCTTACTGACTAAAAACCACCCCATTGCTACTCCTGCTCTTTGAGCCGGAGCACCGGCAACCCGTTAGGCCTTCCGTGACTCCGTATCTACTTGGGGTGGCCAAAACGCTCGTTTCTCAAAACCGTCATATTATCTCCTCAAGATGTCCATTATGTTAGAACTATCCCATTAAACGTGACTATGCTACGAATATTTTCGGTTAGACCTACTTCATGCTTGCAACTAAAAAGTTTTAAAATCGTAGATCATTTTAGATTTTTTAATAATTTCGGTTAATGTCTTTAATTTTTACAATAACATCTTTTAACATTTTGACCCATCTTACCACATTGTTTTGAAATATGATTAGAAGTGTTAAATAATAATCAGAATTTTTAACGTAACGCACATACTGCGCACATTTTAATTACTTTTGGAGCTTTATCCTCGCCCTTATTAACTTGTGAAGTGTCAGAACTCAAATCTACACGACTACACGAGATACAATCTATGTTCTATTATGCCTCATATATTGACAGTATCGATAGACAAGAGGTTAAGCTCTTGTCTGTCGATACGACTCATATTAAAATAACATAATTTTGCCCATCAATTATCCGTAAAATTAATATGTAAGAGAAATAAGTAGAAAATCTTTTTAGTCAGTTCATAATCAACCATAGCCTAATCTGTCTGCTGTTGAAAGCTACGAGGCGGAAATTCATTACACAACATTAAAATGCACAAATCTAAAATCAAAAACGTTTAAACACTAAAACTGCTAAGTATATTTTCCTTAATTTGAGTTCCTCTGATATTTTATTACACATTAATACCTACACATTCCCTTGTTTGTATTACTTTCCTTATTAATAATCCTCTTGATATTTCATTAAAGATATTTATGTGAACATTGCAATTAAGGAAACAAATATTTATAATAATTTAACTGTCTACCAATAATAGATTGCCAATTACTGAATGGTCCAAGTCGCGAAATTGTGCGACCTAGTAAGGTCACCATAAGCTCGTTCTACAACTCGTATTACATGAACTTGCACTAGTGCGGACTAGTATATAAACTAGATATCTTAGTTGAAACATATCACTCATTGTTTGATCACAAGTGAAACAATATGTTCTCCAAAGTAAGTCGAACTATGTATGAATTGCCACTAATTTGAATACGATTAATAAAAAATGTTAGTGATACGAAGAACTATAGCTTAAAATATTAATAAAACAAAATTATTTCCAGATCGTAGCTCTTTGCGGATTGGTGGCGGTGTGCCAGGCTGGTCTCCTGCCCGCCCCTGTGCACTACTCCTCTGCTGCCGCTGTCTCCTCCCAGAACATCGTGCGTCACGACCAGTCTGCCCAGCACGTCGCCTACCACGCTGCTCCCGCCGTCGCCTACCACGCCGCCCCCGCTGCCGTCGCCTACCACGCCGCCCCCGCTGCCGTCGCCTACCACGCTGCTCCTGCTCACTACTCTTCAGCTGCTGCCGTGTCTTCCCAAAACATCGTGCGTCATGACCAGCCTGCCAAGCATGTAGCCGTTGCTGCCCCAGCTGTGGCCTACCACGCCGCTCCTGCCGTCGCCTACCACGCTGCCCCCGCTGTGGCCTACCACGCCGCTCCCGCCCCTGTTGCCTACCACGCCGCTCCCATCGTTGCCCACGCTGAAGAGTTCGACGTAAGTGTTCATTGTTGTGTCAACATTACAATATGCTATTTAATAGATGTTACGACTATGAGACACTAATTATAACTCTTTACTGACACAGGCTCACCCCAAATACGAGTACAACTACTCCGTAGCTGACAGCCACACCGGTGACAACAAGTCCCAGCAGGAGTCCCGCGACGGTGATGTCGTGAAGGGCTCGTACTCCTTCCACGAAGCCGACGGCTCCGTCAGGACTGTGGAGTACTCCGCCGACGACCACAGCGGCTTCAACGCCGTGGTGCACAACTCCGCGCCCACTGCCGCTCCCGTGCACGTCAAGGCCGCTCCCGTCTACGTCGCGCCTGCTCACTACATCCACCATTAAGCGAAACAAAAACCATCATTATTTATTAATGTAATAAATTAAGTGTGATAAAATAACATTTTTTTATTTTATTCTACAAACATAAAAGTTAAAGTGTATTCAAAAGATCAAAAAAGCATATATGTAAATTAAAAGTTATCTTATTGTTATAACTCTATTCAGATTCATGCATATGAACATTTTGTTACAAAGCGTTTATTGTTGTCGGTTTCGTACACGAAGAATGCCCGAGACTGAATTTTGTAAATAAAAGACAAACAAAGAAGAAAATAAAACGTTAGAAATACAATACCAGTTTTAACCGACTTAAACAACTTTCTTAACATGTGGAAGCACACGCAACATTTTACTTAGTAGGTAAATAGATAGTTTGATTTTAATATGTTTATTGGAAATTTAAAGACATATTCAATTTGTCTTTAATGATTTAAATAAATTAAAAACACTTACGCACATGAGATACTGACAATGTAACTTTGTTGGCACTATTTGCATCGCACGTGGTACGTACCGAGGGAAACCTCTTGGAGAATCACATATAAGGCATACTGTTTTGATAATGTACAATGAGTTCTTATGCACTTTCGAAGTTTGGTTTTTACAATGGTTCACGGTTATTTTTGGTCACAAACAGTTTAAGTATTTCTTTGTAAAATTGTTGCATTGCCAAGACAGTGTCATTTTCCTTGGGACGAAAATTATATAGATTTTACAATGTAGCTGTAATTTTACATATGAAAAAGTCCTACCACTATGAGAAGAGGTATTGGTGATTTGTTGTATACTGATAGACATGTACTTTCTTTGAAGAATAAGGTCATCTTGTTTACTTCTATTCAAATTATTTGTTATTTTAACTGTAACAAAATATTTGTTGACCAGTGTAATTGAGAGAGGTAAATAATAAAATTTACATTGCGCGTTACTTAATTCTACTCAGATAATAAAGCCGATTGCAAACCAAGAGCTAAGCTAAGGTAGTTTAGTTTAGGTCGCTTAACCGATGCAGTTTTCAGTACTTGTCACATAGTTTTTTGGCCTGCACATAAGAAAGGCTAAGGCCCACCGTCGATGTTGCGTCATTCGACAAATACATGTATTCGTCAAATGATGGTATTTAATTAGTCAGATATTGATTCATAATTTCTTAGGACTTGTACTAATACACTTTTATTGTGTACTTACTTCACGAACTTGGGTTTATTTATGCGCGCAGAGTTGAAGCGCATCGAAGCGAAATTTTTCGCTTGTTATATACTACGAGTTTTGTACTTAACCAGCGCGCAAACCAATAGTAAATGTAAATACTAATTCCTATATTCCATGGTACTCCCATAGATTTTAAAATCGATATTCACAAGATTTCTTTTCGATGTACATAAGGATAGAAAAGGTTTAGCATTCCTAACCCACTAAACGAACCCGTCCTTTGGCAATTTGACAACGCCTTTAGGACCCCTTGTTGGACTTAGCACTCAAAAAACATGACATAAGTAACAGAGTTGTACGTAAAGTAACACAGCATTTCTTCAAAATTGGGTAAGGTTCCTCATTTTTTTTAAATTTTACTTTCTAAGTGGGTAAACGAGGAGATGGATCACCTGATGGTAAGCAATCGGCGTCGCCCATGGACACCTGGAGCACCAGAGGCTTTGCAAGTGCGTTATCGGACTTTTGGGATTAGGAATTTGAGGATTTTTGAAGATTCAGGGATTGGGGAAGGATGGGGGTAATTAGGCCTCCGGTAAACTCACTCACACGACGAAACACAACGCAAGCGTTGTTCCACGTCGGTTTTCTTTGAGGGCGTGGCATCACTCCGGTTGAGCCGGCCCATTCGTGCCGAAGCATGGATCTCCCACACTCATTGCCCATCCGTGATAATGGAGTAAAAAGTAACATCTTGCTGTAATACGTATTTCATTCTTCTTGACTCTGTGTAAAAAGAGTACCTACTTATTATATTTTTTCATAAATAAAGTGTAGGTTACATCTTTTCTCAAACCTTCATATTACGTTTGTACTTTATGATACTCTTGCAATTATTATTTTTTATATGTAAAATCATAAAAAAACTATAACTTTACCGTAAAAATAAACCTAAATAGAATAATGAACTATAATATATGTAAGTATTAAAATGATAAGGGGTAATAATTTCTACCAATAATAGAATGCCAATTAGTGAATGGTCCAAGTCGCGAAATTGTGCGACCTAGTAAGGTCACCATAAGCTCGTTCTACAACTCGTATTACATGAACTTGCACTAGTGCGGACTAGTATATAAACTAGATATCTTAGTTGAAACATATCACTCATTGTTTGATCACAAGTGAAACAATATGTTCTCCAAAGTAAGTCAAACTATGTATGAATTGCCATTAATTCGAATACGAATAATAAAAAAATGTTAGTGATACGAAGAACTATAGCTTAAAATATTAATAAAACAAAATTATTTCCAGATCGTAGCTCTTTGCGGATTGGTGGCGGTGTGCCAGGCTGGTCTCTTGCCCGCCCCCGTGCACTACTCCTCTGCTGCCGCTGTCTCCTCCCAGAACATCGTGCGTCACGACCAGTCTGCCCAGCACGTCGCCTACCACGCTGCTCCCGCCGTCGCCTACCACGCCGCCCCCGCTGCCGTCGCCTACCACGCCGCTCCTGCTCACTACTCTTCAGCTGCTGCCGTGTCTTCCCAAAACATCGTGCGTCATGACCAGCCTGCCAAGCATGTAGCCGTTGCTGCTCCAGCTGTGGCCTACCATGCCGCCCCCGCCGTCGCCTACCACGCTGCCCCCGCTGTGGCCTACCACGCCGCTCCCGCCCCTGTTGCCTACCACGCCGCTCCCGTCGTCGCCCACGCTGAAGAGTTCGACGTAAGTCTTCATTGTTGTGGCAACATTAAAATATGGTATTTAATAGATATTACGGCTGTGAGACACTAATTATAACTCTTTTTTGACACAGGCTCACCCCAAGTACGAGTACAACTACTCCGTAGCTGACAGCCACACCGGTGACAACAAGTCCCAGCAGGAGTCCCGCGACGGTGATGTCGTGAAGGGCTCGTACTCCTTCCACGAAGCCGACGGCTCCGTCAGGACCGTGGAGTACTCCGCCGATGACCACAGCGGCTTCAACGCCGTGGTGCACAACTCCGCGCCCACTGCCGCTCCCGTGCACGTCAAGGCCGCTCCCGTCTACGTAGCACCCGCTCACTACATCCACCACTAAGCAAAACAAAAATTATTATTATTTATTGATGTAATAAATTAAGTGTGATAAAATGAAATTTTTTATTTTATTCTACAAACACGTTGAATTGTGTTCAAAGAACAAATATTATGTAAATTAAAAGTTATCTTATTGAAATAACTCTATTCACATGCATGCATATGAACATTTTGTTACAAAGCGTTTATTGTTGTCGTTTTTATAACTTTTCCTTGACAGGTGTACACGAAGAATGCCCTTTTGTAAATAAAAGACAAACAAAGAAGAAAATAAAACGTTAGAAATACAATACCAGTTTTAACCAACTTAAACAAATTTCTTTCTAACATAGGGAAGCACACGTAAAATTTTACTGAGTAGGTAAATAGATAGTTTGATATTAATATGTGTATTGGAAAAAAGATGAATTCGGTTTGTCTTTAATGTTATTTCGATAAATTAAAAACAAAAAATAAAGACGTTATTTTTTGTTAGTAAAAATATTAATCGACTTACACACATGAGACACTAACAATGTAACTTTATTGGCACTATTTGCATCGCACGTGGCACGTACCGAGGGAAACCTCTTGGAGAATCACATATAAGGCATACTGTTTTGATAATGTACAATGAGTTCTTATGCGCTTTCGAAGTTTGGTTTTTACAATGGTTCACTGGTTATTTTTATCACAAACAGTTTATTTCTTTGTAAAATTGTTGCATTGCCAAGACAGTGTCATTTTACTTTGGGACGAAAATTATATAGATTTTACAATGTAGATGTGATTTTACATATGAAAATAGTCCTAACACTATGAGAAGAGGTATTGGTGATTTATTGTATACTGCTAGACATGTACTTTTTTGAAGAATAGGGTCATCTTGTTTAGTTCTATTCAAATTATTTGTTATTTTGGCTGTAACAAAATATTTTTTGATCAGAGTAATTTATACAAACTTTTAGAGAAAAAACTTGAACCCCAAAAATAGGTAGATACTGAAAATTAGAATAAAATAACCTAAGAAATATTTTTGAGAGAGGTAAATAATAAAATGTATATTGCGCGTCACTTAATCTTAATTCTTCACGAGAATAAAGCCGATTGCAAACCAAGAGCTAAGCTAAGGTAGTTTAGCTTAGGTTGTATAACCGACGCAGTTTTCCGTATTTATCGCATAGTTTTTTGGTCTGCACATAAGTAAGGCTAAGGCCTACTGTCTATGTTGCGTCATTCGACAAATTCATGTATTCGCCAAATGACACTAATGACGTCGGTATTTAATTAGTCAGATGTTGATTTATAATTTCTTAGGTATATATACTAATACACTTTCATTATGTACTTACTTCGCGAACTTGGGGTTTATTTATGCGCGCAGAGTTGAAGCGCATCGAAGCGAAAATGCTACGAGTTTTGTACTTAACCAGCGTGAAAACGTAAATGTAAATATTACTATGTACTAACTCCTATATTTCACGGTACTCCCATGGATTTTAAAATCGATATCCACAAGATTTCTTTTCGATATTCATAAGAATAGAAAAAGATTATCATTCATAACTCGCTAAAGGAACCCGCCCCTTGCCATTTTGACAACGCCTTTACGACCGCTTGTTGGACTTAGTACTTAAAAAACATCACGTAAAGTCACTGAGTTGTACGTAAAGCATTACAGCATTTCTTCAAAATGCTTAAGAAAAAGGTTACGATTTTTTTTTTCATTTTTACGGTATAAGCCGGTAAACGACCAGACGGATGACCTGATAGTAAGCAATCGGCGTCGCCCATGGACACCTGAAACACCAGAGGCTTTGCAAGTCCGTTATCGGACTATTGGGATTAAGAATTTGAGGATTGTTGGGGATTCAGGGATTGGGGAAGGGTGGGGGGTACTAAGGCCTCCGGTAACCTCACTCACACGACGAAACACAATGCAAGCGTTGTTCCACGTCGGTTTTCTGTGAGGGCGTGGCATCATTCCGGTTGAGCCGGCCCATGCATGCCGTAGCATGGCTCACCCACACTCATTGCCCATCCGTGATATTGCAGTAAAAAGTAACAACTTGCTGTAACACGTATAGTATGTCATTCTTCTGGACTCTGTGTAAAAAGAGTACCTACATACTTATTATATTTTTTAATAAATGAAGTGTAAATAACATCTTATCTCAAACCTTTATATTACGTTTGTACTTTATGATATTCTTTCAATTATTATTTTTTTGTATGAAAATCATAAAAAAACTATAACTTTACCGAAAAAATATACCTAAATAGAATAATAAACTATAATATGTGTAAGTATTAAAGTGATAAGGGGTAATCATTTCTACCAATAATAGATTTCCAATTAGTGAATGGTCCAAGTCGCGAAATTGTGCGACCTAGTAAGGTCACCATAAGCTCGTTCTACAACTCGTATTACATGAACTTGCACTAGTGCGGACTAGTATATAAACTAGATATCTTAGTTGAAACATATCACTCATTGTTTGATCACAAGTGAAACAATATGTTCTCCAAAGTAAGTCGAACTTTGGATGAATTGCCACTAATTTGAATACGATTAATAAAAAATGTTAGTGATACGAAGAACTATAGCTTAAAATATTAATAAAACAAAACTATTCCAGATCGTAGCTCTTTGCGGATTGGTGGCGGTGTGCCAGGCTGGTCTCCTGCCCGCCCCCGTGCACTACTCCTCTGCTGCCGCTGTCTCCTCCCAGAACATCGTGCGTCACGACCAGTCTGCCCAACACGTCGCCTACCACGCTGCTCCCGCCGTCGCCTACCACGCCGCCCCCGCTGCCGTCGCCTACCACGCCGCTCCCGCTCACTACTCTTCAGCTGCTGCTGTATCTTCCCAAAACATCGTGCGTCATGACCAACCTGCCAAGCATGTAGTCGTTGCTGCCCCAGCTGTGGCCTACCATGCCGCTCCTGCCGTCGCCTACCACGCTGCCCCCGCTGTGGCCTACCACGCCGCTCCCGCCCCTGCCTTCGCCTACCACGCCGCTCCTGTCGTAGCCCACGCTGAAGAGTTCGACGTAAGTGTTCATTGTTGTGTCAACATTACAATATGATATTTAATAGATATTACGACTGTGAGACACTAATTATAACTCTTTTCTGACACAGGCTCACCCCAAGTACGAGTACAACTACTCCGTAGCTGACAGCCACACCGGTGACAACAAGTCCCAGCAGGAGTCTCGCGACGGTGATGTCGTGAAGGGCTCGTACTCCTTCCACGAAGCCGACGGCTCCGTCAGGACTGTGGAGTACTCCGCCGACGACCACAGCGGCTTCAACGCCGTGGTGCACAACTCCGCCCCCACTGCCGCTCCCGTGCATGTTAAAGCCGCTCCCGTCTACGTGGCGCCCGCTCACTACATCCACCACTAAACTGTGCATTATGAAAAACGAAAACAAATATGAATAATTTATTTATTATTAGCAATATATGAATTAATCAACATACATAATGGTTTCTTTTCTGTTCCTATTAAAAAAAAAGAATAGAAGTGTTAAAATACAACAATTAAATTGAAGATTATTACGATGTAATAATTACGTTATACAAGTAGTACAAATGTAGAAAATCACTATTATTTTAACAAAATGGTGTGTCATGGTACCCGATGTATAATGGAGACGTTGTCATACTGAGGAAACTGGCTAAAAATGTAATTTGCTTACCATCATGATTGGCAGAACGTGGAACTTATTACCATAAAAGTTTGATTTCAGATTTCAACTGAAATAAATGAATTGAGACAGATATCGTACGTAAATTCTGTGTTTTTGGGTGAAAGACCATTTTCAAGATCTTTTTGAAAGATTGGTTACTGTTTCTGTAGTGAATTATATTTTCATTGCATATTAAATTCTTGTGGGGGCAGTAAGTATATTAAAATACAGTACATATTTTTTACAATTATGAACATTTATAAACATGAATAATTCATGTGACAAATATGAAGCGTCGCTCTTCTTTAATATCATTAAATAGTCAGAACAAACCATTTGAACTAAATTTTCTTATTTAAACCCTTATTTAACTTATTTCTAGTTCCGTAAAATAAAACGACGCCTATTAATTGCCTTATAACTACACTAGCTACTTACGCGCGGTTCCGCCCGCTCTGTTTGGCTCCTTATAGTCATAGCGTGATATTTTATAGCTTATAGCCTTTCTCGATAAATGCACTATCAAACATAAACAGAATAATTCAAATCGGACCAGAAGTTCCGAAGATTAGCACGTTCAAAAAAACAAACTCTTCAGCTTTAAATAATACAAGCTGTTGCTCGCGACTTCTTCCGCGTAGAATATGATTCCTGTTTTATCCCATGGGAGTATTTAATCGGGATAAAAAGCATCCTATCATCTAAGTCAACCCATACTAATTTCACCAAATTTTGTTCAGTAGTTTCAGCGTGATTGACGGACAAACATCCATACAAAGAAACTTTCATATTTACCTATAATATTAGCGTGAAATATTTTTGCAATTTTTTTTTAGGTTATAACATTCGTATGATATATTAAATTAATTAAAATTACAGTTTACAAACCTGCGTAAACCATTTGCACGAATCTCTACTAGTTTCAAGTGACGTTTTCGTCCCGCGCTATAACCACTTGACATAGGAAGTACTTTCGATGTATAAAGTAAAAAGAAAACAATAATTTATGAGGGAGGAAAACTTTATAACTCGCTACCAAAAGATATAAAAAATACACAATCTTTGTTCCTTTTCAAAAAATTACTAAAACGTCACATCTTGAAGGGATACAACAAAAACCATTAGTATATCATAAAAAAAATATAATAAAATTAAAATAAATTAATAAAAACTAAACAAAAAAGAAACAATATAAAATAAGTATAGGTACCATAAAAACGAAAAAAACGAAAAAAAAAAAAAACAAAATAAAAATTGTAATGATTCGTCAACAATGTTATAATGGTTTTCGCCTAGTGTGAGCCGATCCTGCAAGTGAACCGCACGGAGGGCCGCATCAATGCAGCACACGGCGGTAGGCCGTAAGATATTTGTCATTAAATATTTTAACGAATACCTCCATATATACTTATTTGCTTACTTTGTCGTTATAAATTATTATGTTAATGTTAAAATCCTAAAATTGTGACCGCTATTACAACTCTTGTTACTCCTGGATAAATCAAAAAATGTAAAATTAGTTTAAGTATTTATTTCTGTACAAGTGATTTGTAATCTTTTAGAAATAAATGAATTCAAACCGTAAAGTAAAAACAGAAAAAATTAAAGAAAAAAATTACTATTTTCATTTAAAAAAATCATTGACTTTCGCATATGACTCGTATGAGACACTAGACGTAAATATGTAGGCACTATTCGCATCGCACGTGGCACGAGAAATATCTCTTCGAGAATAACATGGCGTGATGTTTTCCACAGAACATAAAATGTTTTCATTATGAACTGAGTTCGTATGCAATTTCGAAGTTTGCTTTTTGCAATGGTTTACCATTAAGTTTCGGTTTTAAACAATTTATTTATTTGTATAAAACTATTGTACCTCTATTACCGAGACAGAACCATGTTTCTTTGAGACAAAATTTTACAGTGTATAAAGTTTGGAAATGAAAAACCTCTCGTCGCTACTTCTATTACTACATCATTTATTTCCAAAGCGAATAATAATGATGTTTTACCTATAATAGGTACCATATTTCTGCACATAAGCGGAGCTAATCGATTACTATCAAAATATACATTACTCATTTCTCCCTCCCCATAAAAAACCTTAACAAATTAAAGCAAACACGAAAAAAAGTACAGCCAGTTTTAATTTCACGATAAAATTTGGTTTTACGACGAACTTTAAACTTGGTTCATGGAAATTTTAAATTTCTAAGTAAATTATCTATTTAATGAATATTCACGCTCTTTAATAACAGATTTTTTTCCCAAAAGCGTAATTCAGATGGGCTAGCAACAGAGTGAGTGACTGTGAATGGCGTTATTCGAATAACTATGTCACCAGGTATAAGGTTACTGAAAGCCAGTTCTACCACTTCTTACACGTGCGTTTAGGTCACTCACAGATAAAACTTAGGTATATAAACTAATCAGACAGTGGTCAATACATCATTCAGTCATTGATCTCATTACTGAAATAATCTAATCAACATGTTCAGCAAAGTAAGATTGTAATTTGTGATAAATTCATATATTAAATAAGTTTTATTTAGAGTAATTAAAAGTAAAACACATTCATTCATTACAGGTGGTAGCTCTGTGCGGTTTAGTAGCGGTGTGCCAGGCTGGTCTCCTGCCCGCCCCTGTGCATTATTCCTCTGCTGCCGCTGTCTCCTCCCAGAACATCGTGCGTCACGACCAGTCTGCCCAAAACGTCGCCGTCGCAGCTCCAATTGCTTACCACGCCGCTCCTGCTGCCGTCGCCTACCATGCTGCCCCTGCTCACTACTCTTCAGCTGCTGCCGTATCATCTCAAAACATTGTGCGTCATGACCAGCCAGCTCAACGTGTAGCGGTCGCTGCCCCAGCTGTGGCTTACCACGCTGCTCCTGCCGTCGCATACCACGCCGCCCCCGCTGTGGCCTACCACGCAGCTCCCGTCGTAGCTCAAGCTGAAGAGTTCGACGTAGGTGTTCTTCATAATAAATAGAGATAGTTATAAATTTTTACATTGCTTTAATATACATTTAATTTGTCTATTTTTATGACAGGCTCACCCCAAATACGAGTACAACTACTCCGTAGCTGACAGCCACAGCGGTGACAACAAGTCCCAGCAGGAGTCTCGCGACGGTGACGTCGTGAAGGGCTCGTACTCCTTCCACGAAGCCGACGGCTCCGTCAGGACTGTGGAGTACTCCGCCGACGACCACAGCGGCTTCAACGCCGTGGTGCACAACTCCGCGCCCACTGCCGCTCCCGTGCACGTTGCTCCCGCTCACTACATCCACCACTAAATTACCATCACTAGTCATGTTCTGCGATCACCAAAACCATATTGTTTATTTATTGCAATATACGAATAAGTTCGACTGAAAACAACTTTAATTTCTATCTCGTTTCTAACTTCCATTTTATACTTGTAATTTGTTAGTTCTTATTAAAACAAATGCTTATGTTATTGCTCTGTAAAAAGAGAAATTTATTCTAATTAAAACATTATAGAGCTACAAACTAAGTATGTAGTTATCTTTCTATAAACATAATTTATTACAACATAAAAATCACTGTTATTAAGTAAATTGTAACCTGTAACTTTTTTTCTCTATTGAAACTACTTTAAAAGCTATTGTTTCATTTCACTTCATTTTCTTATTATTTTAACAATAATTAGTAAAACATATTCACGAATATTTTTCATCAACAATCATAGAGTAGTACAGTACAGGCTTGCTGTCCACAGATAGCTTATGAATTCAATGCACGGGAAATTCAAATTTAAATAAATAACAGAGCTTCATTTACATACGTATCATTTTTTGACAGTTGTAGAGGGCGACTTCTTATTAAAGCATGAAACAGATCATACCCGATTTGTTTCCAAAAAACGGACAGACAGAAATGGACTGTTAATAAAATATTTAACATTTACTGTTAATTTTAAAATGATTTATATGGTAACTTAAGAACTGAAAAAAATAAAATCGTGATCTGCATATTTTTGTCTACTACTTTTACCATTTCGAACCATTCAATTGATGTGTTTCCTAAATTTATACTCAATTTTTATTTCATTTTCTAAACTTTCAATATCACAACATTTCACGAACATATACAATTTATAAATATATAGCTGGTTTAATAGCAAACATCGTATGCAAACAATTGAGCAATAGGGTAAAATAAAAAATATCACCTTTTAAAATAACTATCGAGAGACATACTAAATTAACTAATCGCGTTACTGACGTGAAAATGCTGAGAAACGCTCTACTAGTTTAATAATATTATTAATATTTAATTATATTATTGTAAATTTACCGATGAGATATTTTTTTAATTTTAGTTTAGTTAGATATTCAACAAAAGCAGCTTCTCTGTATGTATATTTTACAGCCTTTTCCTATTTTTATAATGATGTGATAATGTACTCATATTGTACCTTTCCATAATCACCTTTAAACGAGGTAGATTGTACAAAACTGTCACAACTTTTGTCTTAATATTTACTTTAAAGTCAAAGTCAAAGCATTTATTTCAATTAAACCATAATTTGGTACTTGAACCGTCAACAAATACAAAATAAATAATAGTCTGTCAGTCAGTCCGTCAGTGAAGCTAGGTGAAGCTATGTTAACTATTTTCCTTAATCATCTTTTTTAACAATATATAAAAATGTTATTGTTCCTTATATAAAAAATACCCACTAATGAGGACACAAATAATTATTTATGAATTCTTTGATCCAAAAAGAAAGACACTTTAGGGAACAGAGATTACAGGGATGTGACCGGCGACGACGACCTCTCGCGCCCGCCTCTGGTTCAGGTCGTGGAGTGGAGCAAGGGGTACTGGAATGCCATCTCTTCCTTCTGCGAAGTAATCATGCTAGCCAAAGACGAGGCGAGGCGCGTGAGGGAACAAACCTCCTCACGCCCCAGCCGTCGCAGGAGACACTCCGGGCGTCGGAGTTTGTGACGTCATCTATGTAGCTGAGTCGTCATTGCGCGTCGCCACAACAATAAAATAGAATTTTTAATGAAATAATTATATTAAATAATAATGTGTGTCACTAAAACAGCTGAATATTTACTGGGTGGGTTAGATATGTTTGGATTCAAGTTATCACCCACACTACATGCCATACAATTTACTGGACACCCTGTACTATTTTTAAGGGGGGAAAATCATCGAATGACTGCTCCCGCCCAAGCGGGAGGGAGTGTCAGACTCTTACTGACTAAGTACCACCCCGTTCCTTCTCCTGCACGTCGAGCTGGAGCCCCGGTAACCCGTTAGGTTCTCCGCGACTCCGAACCCTATACTATTTAGGTATTGTTTTAACTATCAAAGCCTTTCAGACTTAGCTTTGCGTATTCATTAAAATGTTTTTTTGGATGTAGGCAATGTTTACATAACATAAAAGACAATATTTCAGTCGAACTTATTCGTATATTGCAATAAATAATCAATATTGTTTTGGTGATCGCAGAATATGACTAGTGATGGTAATTTAGTGGTGGATGTAGTGAGCGGGAGCAACGTGCACGGGAGCGGCAGTGGGCGCGGAGTTGTGCACCACGGCGTTGAAGCCGCTGTGGTCGTCGGCGGAGTACTCCACAGTCCTGACGGAGCCGTCGGCTTCGTGGAAGGAGTATGAGCCCTTCACAACATCACCGTCGCGAGACTCCTGCTGGGACTTGTTGTCACCGGTGTGGCTGTCAGCTACGGAGTAGTTGTACTCATACTTGGGGTGAGCCTGTTATAGAAAATAAACAAATTAAATGTGTCTTATTATTATAATCTCTCATTATTGTTGGCATGAACACTTACGTCGAACTCTTCAGCGTGGGCTACAACGGGAGCGGCGTGGTAGGCAACTGGAGCGGGAGCAGCGTGGTAGGCCACAGCGGGGGCGGCGTGGTAGGCGACGGCAGGGGCTGCGTGGTAGGCCACAGCTGGGGCAGCGACAGCTACGCGTTGAGCTTGCTGGTCATGACGTACAATGTTTTGGGAAGATACGGCAGCAGCTGAAGAGTAGTGAGCAGGGGCAGCATGGTAGGCGACGGCAGCGGGGGCGGCGTGGTAAGCCACTGGGGCTGCAACAGCGACGTGTTGGGCAGACTGATCGTGACGCACGATGTTCTGGGACGAGACAGCGGCAGCAGAAGAATAATGCACAGGGGCGGGCAAGAGACCAGCCTGGCAAACTGCGACTAAACCGCACAGAGCTACTACCTGTTAATATTTAAAAAAACTTAATTATTAGCTCCGGACTGCAAATAACTCATATAATTTTATACACTATTTTACTTACCTTAGCGAACATTTTAATTAAATTGATTGTCTCACTTGTGTGATCAAACAATGAATGATAGAGTTCCAATGTTAGATCTAGATTATATATACAAGTCACCAGTGTTCACGCACATGTATGGGTTGCAGAACAGGCTTGCAGCGACCTTACGTCGGCGTTTGGATCAAATAGTTACGCGACGCGTAACATTCACTGAACCGTTTCATAACGAATCCTTTGAAGGCAAGTCTAATGCGACCTAAAGTTTAACTAGCTTTATGAAACAGTCAAAATTAAAACTGATGAAAACATTTTCAAGTATATGGATTTACTTAAAGCGATAGTGTTCAAATTAAAGACAAAAATACTGACGTCCCGTTGTCGTACGTAATATACACCACACCGGTTGTTCCCAAAAATAAATAACCAAACTTTTAGTTCGCCTTGTTTAAGCCAGTTTATTTCTTACAACCCTCTTTCTTTAATTCTATGATTCTACTAAGAGTTTAAAGTGTGAGAATACGTTTTTCTCACGTCGCCCATATTCTGAACTCGAATAAATAAGTTTAAATGAATCGTGGAGTTATAATGAATTGTTTAAAGAAGAAGATACTAGAAAAATGTTTCAATCATTATAAATTACTAGCTGACCCGGCAAACTTTGTACCGCCTAAGACTTTTTTTCTCACCTTTTAAACATTCCCTGGACTTCCATGAACATTTCAAGACCAAAATTAACCAAATCGGCTGAACCGTTCTCTAGTTTTAGCAAGACTAACGCACGGAAATTCATTTTTATTTAAATAGACATACCTTTTTATGAAAAGTAATTCTAAAAAATATTATTTTATACATTCGCTAGTCATAAAAATAATTTGTACCTACATTTTTTATACGTATAGCTTCAATTAGATAAAGATACCAAAGACTCTATTGAAAGTTACTTATGTGTTAACTAATAGTATTCAAATTTTGATCTGATTATAATAAATATAATTAGCATACTATTCAATTTTGTGACGCGACAGTAACGTTTTAGTGAATGGATTGATTCTCCAAACACAAGATACAAAGCAAGGTCGCCGTGAACTTGTCTGACTACTTCCACTACTTACTACAATCAGCTGTTCATGCTTGCACCTATCAGTATAAAAAGTAGACCTGTGACATGACATACATCATTCAACTGTTCTACATCAGTGAATAAACCAAAATGTTCTCCAAAGTAAGTATAACTCATTGCACTTGAAATCGCAATAAATCAAAATTATTTAATTTATAGATCGTAACTAACCTATACTTATAAAATGTTTCAGGTAGTAGCTCTGTGCGCTTTCGTGGCTATGGCCCAGGCTGGTCTCCTGGCTGCTCCCGTGCACTACTCCTCTGCTGCGGCTGTCTCTTCCCAGAGCATCGTGCGTCACGACCAGGCTCCCGTCGCTAAGCTCGCCGTCGCCGCTCCCGTGGCCAAACTCGCCGTCGCTGCTCCCGTAGCCTACCACGCTGCCCCCGCCGTGGCCTACCACGCTGCTCCTGCTGCCGTCACCTACCACGCTGCCCCTGCTCCCGTCGCCTACCACGCCGCCCCCGCCGCTGTCGCCTACCACGCTGCCCCTGCTGCCGTGGCATACCACGCTGCTCCCGTTGCCAAGGTCATCGCCCAACCTGAGGAAGTAGCCTACCCTAAATACGAGTACAACTACTCTGTTGCTGACGGTCACTCCGGCGACAACAAGTCCCAGCAGGAGTCCCGCGACGGTGATGTCGTAAAGGGCTCTTATTCCTTCCACGAAGCCGATGGTTCCATCAGGACTGTGGAATACACCGCTGACGACCACAACGGTTTCAACGCAGTGGTACACAACACCGCGCCTACGGCCGCCCCCGTAGTCGTCAAGGCTGTTGCTCCCGCCCACTACTACCACCACTAAGACCAAAATCTTAACAACTAAGCAATGTTGACCAAAATGAATGTTGAATAATTTATTTATGAAATATACGAATAAGTTCGATAATAATTTTGATTTCTTATTACGGTACTGATTGAAATTAACTATCTATGCATATGATAAAATTTTACAGTTTTATCACTATATTTCATCAACAGTTTTTTTTTAATTTCGTAAAATAAAAGTATTCTATTCATTGCAACTAGCAAACACAATATGTCGCTACGCGCTTCCGAACAATAGCTTCCTTGGATCTATTGAATTGATCTGATGCCGTGAGATAGTAATATCGGCGAAATCCTCTCTCTTTTGTGAAATTTTCGTTGTTAGAGTGGAATAAAATATAATGGAACTCTGAACTTAAGGAAATAATCTTATATGGACAATAAAATTAATTAATGTAATGATCAAGGTTTATTCGAGGGCTAAGTTATTATCAAGGTCATTTGGTACACATGTCTTAAATATTTTGATTTGACCCGTATTGCTACTGAGAATAAGGTCAACCACAACCCGTTTTGTCCAATCTTATGGGTCATGGGCCAACTTTAAGTGCAAAGAGATAAGAATCTGTTAAGGCCATATATCGCATAGTGGAACGCGCAATGTATTTGCCCTCTGGCTAATTTAAACCTGGTCGACGTACTACGCAATAAATCGCGCTATGTTGTATACCTGTTATATAGCTAACTAGCTAGTTATAAGGATAAATCAATTATAAACGACTGCACGGTTGGTGCGGTGGCTGGGCAACCGGCTGCCGTGCAACGTGTCGCGGGTTCGATTCCCGCACGGAACAACACTTTGTGTGATCCACAAATTGTTGTTTCGGGTCAGGGTGTCATTGTGTATGTGAACTTGTATGTTTGTAAACGCACCCACGACACAGGAGAAAATCCTAGTGTGGGGCAACGTTTTTTTTAAAAAAGAGAAAGAGATGAGAAAAAAATTAGAGGTTTACGTTACGCTAAAAATATTTACATGTTTAAAAAGTAACGATTCCTTTACTTGATTTGTAGTTTTATTCCTATAGCTTTCTTTCTTGAAAAACATGGTTTTTATTTAAATTACAAAGTTAATTTATATTGTACTCTAATAACCCAACTCTCCTCCATTCGACACGCCAAGAAATATGTACTCAAAGCCTCCTTTGATCGCTCGGATAGTGATGATACGATAACAGCTTTCAAGTTCCGGGCTAGGCTAACGTTGATACGCCGGAACAATAATTGAGAATTAAAGAGAACTTACAATATTAATTTTTATTAGATTTCATACGGAAATTTAGAGATAGAAAGAAAGAAAGAAAGAAAGAAAAATAATTTATTTGGTACAACACCAGGCACAAACACAATACAATAAATACAATGCAAACAAAAAATTAGGAGTGAAATAAAAAAAAATTAAAAAAAAGAAAAACAAAAATAGATGTAGGTATATACAAAAATTTAAAAGTCAAATATACCAACAATAATAATCATGTGCCCGACAGCTGCACCAAAAAAGAGATAGGATGTTGCTAGTTTAGTGGTTGAGTTAAATCAAAGAATTCGTTTTGATGACAGTTTGAGCTGATCCTCAATATTCTTACGTATTGTAACTAAACAATAGTATGTCAATAATACAATTTTAGCGAAATTTATGTAATAAGTATTGGAATAGTATAAAATGCTTTATATTTCTCTTTCTAATCAACAGTCGACTATTACATTCTGTTGGCGACAGTTCAAATTAAGTGCTTCAATATGTTTGGAAAGGTAACATTTTATTTCCATTATTTTACAATTATTTTAATTGATCCTTTGTTCTGCAATTACTATATGAAGATTATTAAAATCGTTATTAAATTCATCTTTTTGCTCTTTCTGCACTTTGAATCCCCAGTCAAACAGTTCATATTTTTATTTCGGCTTAAGAAACGTTCAGTGCAAAAGTTGTGATTGTGACTAAAAATATTAACATTGACGTCTGGTCTCCTAATTGTAAATACGGGGAAAAAGGTAAAATATTGTATTCATTCCAATACACTTACAAAAGTTTTTGGCATTTCTGCTATTTCTAAAAATTAGACAGGTTAAAAGTATACCTAAGAAGTGTCAATTGTTTCTCTATATTCATTTGAATGTCCATTTGTTCTAGATAATTATACCCATTTGCATCATAGGCATCAGCCAAGCAGTATTGATTGATCAAACAATGCAAAAACACGAACAGGATAAAGAAAACCCCCATGGGTGGCAAATGGTAAAAACGTACCACCCGCCGAAGTCAACCTACATGTACAGATACGAGCCTTTCGTAAGTATAAAACCTCAAGGACTAAATAATATGAAATGTATATTATGAACAGAGAAAGGGAGTAACATTCTCATATTACTACTCTAGTATCTACTCATTAGAATTTGTAATTACCTAACTAATACTGTTCTCGAGTTACCTAACAAGGAATGTCACATTGACAGCGAAATGTGGGTGAAATAATTCATGCATACTTTATATACATGCTAATTATGGCTTTATGCTGAACTCAAAACTTAATATTCTGAGACGGATGTTTCATTATGACGTTAAAATGTAGTTGATATGTTCAAGTTGTACAAGTTCGACCACTGGGTAAAAGCACGAGAACTTAAATAATGGGCTAGTTTATCAGGCTTATAATATCGCTCGTCCCGTACATATAGCTCCGGATAAGTAGGTGAACAGTAAGAATGCCAATTTTTAGCCTTCTAGCAATTAGCAATAAAAAATAACAGATACGATAATTTAAAAATAATTTCCAGGCGTACCCCAAATATGAGTTCGAGTATTCAGTATCAGATAAAAAGACTGGAGACCACAAACACCATCATGAGACACGTGACGGCGACCGAGTTCGTGGGGAGTACAGCCTCGTGGAATCAGACGGCTCACTCCGGAAGGTGCAGTACCACGCTGATGATCACAATGGGTAATTAAAAATATTACTAGTTCACCTTGACTCTGGATCGACCGTGAATTTAATTCAAATCACGATTTTATTTGCATCTTGCATCAAAATTTCACGTTTTGCATATTCATTCGTTCTACTTTATCTATTTTAGGCTTGCTATTAATTGTCATGATTGTTAAACATAAAACTAACATTATTTGCATAATTTCATAATTTAAAAAAAAACATCTAAGAAATTGTATCGTGAATTAAGTGTCTGTAATTAACTGTTTATTTTGGGTTTTTTTGTTAAAGGGAAAGAAAGCTTGATTTAGGTTTTTAGAATTTAAAAAATATCAAATATTAATTGTTTAAAAATGTCTCGGCTACTATATCTTTGCCTTAATTTTAATGTACCTAATATTTTTCCAATATTACAGGTTCAATGCAGTTGTTAGCAAGACAGTAAACAAGCATGGAGATCATGCAGTATCCGTCACGGACCACACCAGATTCTTTTACCCAGTCGGGCACGGTATCAAGATCAACCACTATTTCCCCGGCAAGAATTACCAATACATGGAACTTAAGGAGAATAACAATGAAAGAAAACCTGTTCATGAAGAGAGAGAACCCGAAGTTGTTAAGGACGAGGAACCAACCAAAATGGTACTAATTAACTCCGCAGAGAATGTGATGCTAGTAGAAGAACCGGTTCAAGAAACAACTCCTTTACCAAAAGCCGAAGTAGTCGACACTGTCCAAGTAGTCCCAGCTATGGTGTCCGTCATAGCTCCTAATTCCGAAAACGACAAAGACAGTAACGAAATCTCAACCGCAACTGACGTTAAAAAGATTGAAGAACCTCCAAAAGAGCCTTCAACCCCAGTAGAAGATCAAACACCAAAGGAAGATCAACCCTTAGATTCTGATGTAGCATCATCGTTTTACCACTCAAGAATGTACTATGTTGGTTTTTAATTAGGTTCAAATTAACTTGTTGACTAGTATCATAAGCAAATAAGTCATAAATTAGCTCATTTTGTTGTTAATTTTCTTTGTTAATGTCGTCCATGATGTATGTGTTAATAAATTAATATTTTACTATATTTTTCTAACTTACTTTATTTTGACGACACCAGCTCCACCTTTACTTTCGATGAACTTTTTGCTATATCGACATGTGCAACGATTACAACATGTGACAAGAGATGGCAGCACTGTTTACACTGCAATTTCGTCCGTTGTTCATAGAGGGCTCTACATACTTTAATTTCGTTCTTGATGTGTATTTATCTCCCAAACAGAGATGAATACATTCTTAGTTGAACGTTGATTATTGATATTAATTTTACAAATTGTATTCATATCAAATACGGTTAATGCAATAATTTTATAAGTTTTGTCGCATGGTATGCAAGCGCCGCTGTTTTTTCGTCACATAATTACTCACATGCGAAAGCCGGCAATGTGAAGCTATAAATTAAAATTACGAAACAAAAATCTCTTGGACAGCTGTTGAATCTTGAAAAAAACGGGACAAGTTGAGAATGAAGAGATGCATCATTTATCTTGACAAATGAATGTGAACAGTGTATTCTGCCTTCATGAGACCTTAAAACGAATTCACTTTTAATTCGAAGTCCCAGATTTGAGTTTATGCAAGACGTTGCACATACTACTTACGCATGATTCTGACAATGTTATAATGACTATTTCACAAAAGTAATTATGATTTACGTTTCAAACACTGACATAATTTTGTTGTATTTGTTTTATAATAAAGATATTAGTGACTGCCTCGTTGAACATGGCAACAATCGTTATTTGTTATCCAGAATGTTGTAGTCCTAGGTCCAACTTCAGACACCTAGTGGTAGACAAATTACAGTGATACTATTAAGATCTCTTTTTCGAAAACTTTCAATGACAATTCATACACACATATTCATTCACAGTCACACCCATACACATTTATAATGAATCATTATGTTTTTTGTGCAGTTTGTTAGGGAGCCTGGATCTCACGACACAGGGAATACTAGTGCGAGGTCCAGGACACAACAAAATTTTAATATTTTCAGAAATAAACTTTTGTCTTATTCTTATTCTTACAATAATTTGGATTCTATAAAAGTGTTTCATCAGTCGTACCGGATTTTGCTTTCTTTGGAATAACACCCTATACAGATTTTATTCCATTTATATTTATTGTAAGATTTCGATCTTGTGTTTTTGTTCGATAGACTATAGAATAATTTGTAATTGTTAACAATCCATAAATTACACGTACTATTGACCCGTTATCACTACCCATGGCCCGCACATTTACATTGTAGGTACTCTGGCTACCCTCGAGTTCAAAGACAAGAATACACTTTAATTGTTAACGAAGTGTAATGTTTTTACTCAATGTTCATCAATCAATTAATTAGTACGAATTGTTCTCATTAATAAATTTACAATTTATTAAAATTTACTTTATATGAATAACTAGATTATACTTATGTTTTATCTAATTAAAGATACAACAAAGGTACTTTGCTGGCTCCTTTCTCTCGTTTGTTTAATTTTTTTTTTATAGTTTTAGGCAACAATATTTCGAATATTTTATTTTTGAAATTCTTGTTGAAATAATGAAGGATAGAATTTAGAGAGTTCGGAAAGAGGGCCGCCTGAAGACTTTTAAATACACTATTTTCAGCAAATAACAAAATCTAGTAAATGTCATCTTATACATCAGTCAACGCAATTTAATCTAAGAGCATTTAAGCCATACAACTGTAACTTAACTTCAACTCCTTGTCTTATGTTTATTAGTTACCTAATTACACGAAAACTGCGGAACGGAATTAAAAAAATGTTGACATACCGATAAATCATGACCCACTTTAAGACATATGATACTGATTCTCAACTACCAGTGGCGTGTGGGAAGCGATAAGGAAAAGTGAGTTATTAATAATTATTATATTTATAATAGTGCAATTAGTCAATTTAAACGTCTTATTTTTATTTATATGCGTTTAAGTATAATTTTAGTAACATATCTATTTTTACCGACTTCAAAAAAAGGAGGAGGTACTATGTTCGGCTGATTGTTTTTTTTTTTTTTTTTTTTTTGTTTGTTCGCGCAGTACTCCGCCGTTTGTGGACCGATTTCGAAAATTTTTGTTTTGTTTGAAAGGGTATACTCCCGAGATGGTCCCATTTCCATGAAGTCAGGATCTGATGATGAGATCCTAGGGAAACCGAGGGGAACTTTCGAAAATTCTATGGAGGAGTAATGCGTCTATTATGTTTTTCAATTACCATTTTTAAACACTACAATTTCATATGGGTTTGGAGTCGACCTGATGATGAAGTCGACAGACAGTCGAGGGAACTCCTCAGCGGTTTATATTAACTACCTTGTGTTTGGGCTTGATTAATTTGTATTGATGAGGACTTTACACCTAGATACAGTGGGGCTGTCATTAAGGGTCTGATGATGAAGAAGTGTAATTGGTAAGGGAACTCCTCAACGGTATACAGTAACTACCTTGTGTTTGGGCTTGATTAATTTGTATTGATGAGGACTTTACACCTAAATAGAGTGGGGCTGTCATTAAGGGTCTGATGATGAAGAAGTGTAATTGTTAAGGGAACTCCTCAACGGTATACTGTAACTACCATGTATTTAGGCTTGTATAATTTGTATTGATTAGAACTTGGCACCTATATATATTATAAGTAACAAAACGGGTATATGTAGCTTTACACTGAAAATTATAATAATAATAAAAACTGCGTTTAAAAAACCGACTTCAAAAAACCAAAAACCAAAAACTAATAACAAACAAAAAGTCAAATCTAAAAAGCAAAAAATAACTATTTTAGTACTGATAGGTTACCCCCCCACTGATAGGTTAGAAGTCGGTGCCATGAGCTCATATCATAATGATATAACTTAATGTCCACAAAATTGTGCATTAGGTACCTATTAAGGTTTTAATGAATAATTTTGTATTGAACTTATGGCACCGACTTCTTACCTATCAGTGGGGGGGTAACCTATCAGTACTAATAATAGTTATTTTTTGCTTTTTAGATTTGACTTTTTGTTTGTTATTATTCGATAAGAATCCCAATTGACTACGGAAGTTGCGTAAATAAGAGAATAAAAAATTCTTCAATAATAGCTTTATTTCAAGTTGATATTGTCATTTTTTGTATTTAGCTTAGCGTGTATCAAATTTTCAGCGTATTGCAGTTGCTCTGTTAGAGAACCATGACTGCTTATCATGCACTATCTAGTGACGTCCTAATTCATTAATTAATGCCTCCAACTAGAGTTGTATCACACGTCCAACTAAAGAAAACTAGAAATACCTTTAAAACCTTTATATTTGCATGTTATGTACATAATATGATTTACATCATGGGAGAAACATACTTTATTGTGCATATACTCATACGCACTCATACGAAAGTAACCAAACCAATGAATATCAATTAACACAGCAATAAATACAAATTATATCGTTGTCTGTATCTCGTTGAACTGGATTACCAACGTACCACTAATTACGATTACGAACGTACATTCCTTAACACTCTCCGACTTTAAATACCAATAGTCTATTAAGGAAATTGTTAAGTACCGCACACAACTAACCAGTTAGGTGCTGACAAAACTGTACCTAAACATTATTCATTGCAAAGTCAGGAAGTCAGGTAGCAACTGGATCAGATCAAATTATTCCCAATTTTCATACGCCCTCGAAGATTATGTAAGAGATATATAAGTTAGCGGCCGTAAAAAATTTGTATAACTAGCTTTATCTTGGAATAATTAGTATAAAGTGGAGCAAGAACGACAGCGAACTGCACTTTCGCTGTTGGAGCCTTCGTTGATAAATGTTGGCAGTTATTTACAGAACAACGCTATTGGTGCTCACTGAACCCTTGATAGAATTGCTACTTCCTTATTAACAATCTCTGTTATGTAGAAGCCGCTTAGACTGTAGGAATGAATGTATGAATCTAGGTACCAAGTATTGGTGAAACCAAGCTATAGCTTAAATGCGATCTGCGACCTGAAACCCTGTGCCTGTGCCTATGTCAAGGTTATGATAATCCCTTTTAGGTACAGCAGGGCCCATAGTCCAGCGATGTATTATTACAGGTTGTTAGTGATGACACGTAGGGTTACTGACCTTACCTATGAAATCAAAATTGGTTAGCACATTAAACGTCATTTGGATCACCGACGTTAGCAGAGGATTTGCCTTCAACTGTTTTCTACCGGCAGTCAAAACCCTAAAAGCAGATAGTCCTAGTCCTTTCCATCTTCGTACCACAAGACAAACGGCGAAGCGTTACCGATTCATGATAGATGTTCCACCGACCTTATGCGTACTGCTAAGAAGTGGAATTCTTTGCCAGAGTCTGTGTTTCCTGAAGGGTATCCTGGTACTTCTTGTCTTCGTGTCTTCAGGGCCCGAGTGACCAAGGTTGCTCATGGGCAGACGTGCTCCATCGTAGGCCGCATCATCGCTTACCAGCAGGCGAGATAATGGTCAAACGTCGGCACATCAATACATAGTATAAAACAAAGTCGCTTTCGCTGTATGTCCGTATGTATGCTTAGATCTTTAAAACTACGCAACGGATTTTGATGCGGTTTTTTTTAATAGATAGAGTGATTCTTAAGGAAGGTTTGTATGTATATACATATTGCACCCGTGCGAAGCCGGGGCGGGTCGCTAGTCAAATATAAAAAAAGATGAGTAAGCGTAATGTGTCTACCAGTACGAGGAAATCGCTATGCAACCTTTTACAGTTGACAGATGTACCAACGTCGATTAGCAGACAAATGATATAATCAGATATATCTAAAAGAGTTATTTCTCTTTGCGATGGAAAATATCGTTCTTCAAACTTATGTAATTGAGCTAAAACAATAGGATAGATGTAATCACGAACAAAATCGAAGATTTTCCAACATCTTGTAAGTAACTTCCGATTTAGACATACCATCAATAGATGTTGCATGAGCAAGCGTGGGACAATACAATTTTAATCACCTTTACAGTATGACATACATACAAATTATGCAATTTTATAACTCAAGGAAAAAGCGGTACTTGCAATGATTTTTCAACTGATTACTTAATTTATGAAAGAAAAAATAGATTTGTGTGAATACTAACAAATGTAACCACAAACCACGTTTCTAAACAATTTTTCATCCCCACAGATAAACAACGCATTTTCTAAATTAAACCCGAATACAATGAACGTTTTTAAATAGTCACAAATAATTATGACAATAATACGTATAATCCAGAATAACCCTTGTACATGGATGAGTCAACCACATTTTGTAATGTTTGGTCGTTCGTACCTAATTCTTGTACTGTACTGCACGGATGAACAATGCATTTATCTAAAACAAAACCTGAATACAACCATCAGGCTTAAACAATCACAAAAAATTATAACAATATGGGCCTCTCACTTATCGTCCATTTTCTCTACATATTGTAGCGATATCGAGCGTTGCGACACTCGATAAAGCGAGCAGATTGGCAATGCGGCAATTACTGTGATCCGATCGAATATCGTCGGGAATAGACCCCCTCCACAACCACCGCTTATGTTTTGTTTGTTATATAAAAAGAGTGCACTATCATACCGATACCAGTCAAGACATTTGAGTCTAAAGCAAAATGTTCTCCAAAGTAAGCTTTATTTCATATACAGGCTAAGTGGGCCTTACATAACATTTAGGACAATTTCGCTCGACGTAATTTATGATTACATTGTCCAATTGCCCGTTTTGAGCTTAGTCGTACTTCGAAAGCTGTGTGATCGTAAAATGATCTAAATATTTCAAAACTGCATTTAAAAAAAGATTCCTTAGATCGTTTCCTAATTAGCTAAGATTTAGGGGTAAAGAACTTAAACAATAAAATCTGATTGTTTCCCTCAGGTAGTGCTCGCTTGTGCCTTGGTAGCGGTGTGCCAGGCTGGTTACATCCATCATGCGCCAGCTGTCTCCTCACAAAGCATCGTCCGTCACGACCAGACCGTGCACCATGAGGCTCCAGTACATTACTCTGCTCCCGTAGTCCACGCTGCACCCATCGCTCACGCTGCTCCCATCGCCCACGCTGCTCCCGTCGTCCACGCGGCTCCCGCTATCCACGCCGTCCACGCCGCTCCTTCCCACGAAGACCACTACGTCGATGAATACGTAAGACCATATTTATAAACTTGATATTCTAATTAATCTTAAGTTTCCTTTCAATTGACCTATGAGAAATTTCTATTGAGTCGCAACTTTACATGAAATTGATTGATTACTTAGGTTTTTTATAGGTGATCGACTTAATCACTTTATTATTAATACACGTTGCAGGCTCATCCCAAATACGGCTACTCCTACTCTGTGGAGGACCCTCACACCGGTGACCACAAGTCCCAGCACGAGACTCGTGATGGTGACGTAGTTAAGGGAGAATACTCTCTGCTGCAACCTGATGGCTCTTTCCGTAAGGTCACCTACACCGCTGACCACCACAATGGGTAAGTAAACCAATGTTATAAAATATAATACATTGACAATGATGAAGTTCTAGGTTTCCTTAACACCAACACAATCAAATTCAAGATAACTATTACACGTCATTGTATGGAACTATTAAAATCATTGTATTCTTTGTGTTACAGATTCAACGCCATCGTCCACAACACAGCGCCCGTCATCCACCACCATTAGAAGAATATTTGCCCAATCTGTGATATTAGTGTTAATGTGTTCTTGTAGTCGAGTGTGTAGCCTTCCATCTGTTCTCATTAATGATATTTAGTAATACACTACAGTGCAATAGAACAGGGCCAGCGACAACAAGAAGGACCAATCTGTTTCAACAAACATGAATGAAGACTGAATCGATTTGTATCACATCACGACTTTGGAACATTGAAACATGATCGCTTGTAAATAGTTGTCGTTGATACTGAATTAACAAGACTGTAGTCCTAATTGAGTGTAATGTATCAAACATATTTCCTGTAAATAAAAATGCATGTAGAGTTGAATCTGTCTCATGAATGATCTTCGTAGGTGTATGTTATCTGCATGTATATCGTTTTTCTGTCTGGTGTGGGCAATACATTGTATATAGCTTAGCTTTGTCCAATAAAGATGATGATAATGTAAATGGTTTCAAACTTAATTATGCATACATTTTTCCTACTAACTTATTAAAGGAATTACCTTAAGGTTATTATCAACATTATAAAAATAAATAGCGAAGAAATCTAGGGGTTCTTCCTACACGACGATTTAGACACTTAGAACTATGATTCGTTAATTCAGTATTTGTAACATAGTAACGTAATAAGTCAAAATATATGAGAATGAATTCATGATATAACGTTTCTAAAGAAAACGAAATCAATAAACATCAAATAAAATGTATTAATCGTGTGATTCGATAATCAATCAATATTTATTACACGTGTATGTGCGCAAGAGTCATCTGAAGAAAACTTGTTGCTTCATTACCGATCGTGAGTAACGAGCAAGCGACATGCCATTTTTTGTTCAATATTGTAACCTTTAATGGCGGTTCTGACGCTCTTACTACAGAAAATTCGCAGCTTTAAATAATAACAATAAAAGTATATTACTTAACAATGCAATTTCTCAACTATCATTTTGCAATATGCTTAGATTATATCCCTATTTTAGTAAGTCAAATAAGAAGACAGGAATAAATCGGCTTGAATCAGTTTCAGAATATGGTGTCATATAGTTCGAGAAAATTCTATGGCAACCAATTTGAGCCGTGTTTTCATGAGGCCTTAGGGCTCGTACACAAAACTGCGATGCAACGTCGCATCGCAAAAATGTGCGACCTCCCCTACGCATCGCAAGAACTTGCGAATTGATTCGCATCGCGCATCAAAATCTTATCATCCCAAAATCTTCTTTGTTTCTTTTTTCTATACCTCCTAAGCGATAACATAAGTGCGCACTTTTACGATCCATTTCACGACCTAGTTTTCAATTTAAAATATATTTAGTACGGTTGACGGTCGTCGAAGGAATGGTCACCCTGGGAGACGCCTTGTCGCACGAAACCACATCGCAGCAACTCGCAGTTTTGTGTACGACCCCTTATTCCAAAAGATAGGTAAGTGCTCCCGCCTGGGTGAGACGGGAGCACCCATGAGGGAGGGATAGGTAGTGGTCCAGTGATATATTACATAGAAAAGGCTTATATTATGTTTATTTTGAAAATCTGTCGCATGCATAAACTCTAATATTATACTTGTCCTGTAAGTAGCACAACTTTCTTAAGAATAATCAATTCTTTGTTTCTTACAAATATGAAATATTCACGATCAGAATTTCATTACAATATATTATTATTATTGGAAAGAATATCTGCGTGTAATGAACGTTGATCAGTTTGATCGATGATAATAAATGTTCACGATTATGGGATACTGCTCAACCTTTCGTGAAAATGACAAGTTGTCTCAATTTAAGAGAAACCGAGGTTGCAAGTGAGATTGAAGACTCATCCTCTTTTAAGATAAAGGTGATTATTGTTAATAATAAGTCTTCCAGTATCATTTTTGTACATAATGCAGACGTTATTACATATGAAAATAGGTGTGAGCAACAATATAAATATCGGATACAGTTTTAGTATTTATAAAAGCAGGAAACTGATACAGTAAATATTAATTATCATAAGTATAAATCGGAATAGAAATGAAATCAATTAAATTAAAGCAATCAGTTCCTATTAATTTGATATTTAACATCCAGTTTATCTTAGAGGTGCCACTTGATAGATATCTTCGACGACTTAAAGAAATATTTTTTTTTATTTAATAAAAACCATAAGTGGTGAACCATTACTTGCAAAAAGTATACTTCGAAAATGCATACGAATTCGTAGTCCATAATCAAAACACTACCTTCTTGAAAAGATATTTCTCGTCGGGTGGCACATGCGATGCGAAAAGTGTCCAAAAATTTACATCTTGTTTCTCATATGCGAAAGTCAATGAATATTTTTTTAAACTAAGAAAAAATGTATACATCGAAAGTACTTATTAAGGCAAGTTGTTTTACCTCGGGACAAAATATAAACTTCACGGTTTATTACTCCAGCCAAAAATTACCAAGAAATAATTTAAACTATCTTAAAACATCTGGAATCATCAACACTATTTACCCCATCTTCCAACATGTGTATGACCGAATTATTCCACAAAATTTATCATCATGTGAAGAAGACCTAGGTCAACAAGTGACCTACAATTAGACGAACATTCATACTCACCGACGATTCTTAAACCAAGAGCCGGTTTATTAAGTCACCTATAGCAAATTGTTGAATGACGATGATCAAAAGTCAATTCCAAAGGAAGTTATGGTTACGTGAAAGGAAGCTATTTTGATACTTATAAAATATTGTCGGATATCAAAATGATACATTGATCCTTTATAATTAATGTTATTAATCAATATGATAAAAGGAAATTGTTTGGGATGTAAGTAAGTGATAAGTAAATAAATTAGGAATAATACCTGCGCTTTAATTGAGTTTGGTTTAAAAATTGATTGCGAAATTTTCATGACGGTTATAACTGTGGGCATAAATACATATTAAATGGGACCAATAGCTTAAATGAAAAAAAAAACATTACACTAAAGGCTTTCGAAACTACAGACACCGTATTATTTTGAATTCTATGATCAAATAACACCACTGCTTATGAGAAACAGCAGACGCGGTGATAGTACCTACTTAAAAATAATGTTACACAGCCAGAAATACCTAAAGCAAATATTTTGTGTTTTACGTAAGTATTAGAAATAATAAATTAAGTAAACGTGTATACTTATAAATAAGTAGATCGTGAAACATCTAGAAATACATAAAATATTTTAAATGCAAAAACTCTTCTCAAGTTTCACAATAAAGTGCAATCTGAAATAACAATTAGAACAACATAAACGGCGATAGACGAAACAAAACGTTGCGATAGTGCATACATTGGACTGAACGTGTTAATTGCACTAACAAGTCCAGTGGAGCGTGAGAAGATATGCGATCTCATCCAAATTGCATATCAACATTACCATACAATGTCCGAGCCGAAATAAGGAGTGAAAGCAAATGTACTGGCGGAACTTAAGTCTGGCGACCCGCCGCGCAACCCAACGCAGGTAGCCGGTAAACCCTATATTACCTATTTAATATTCAAACATTTAGCAATTGAGATCATACAGATATCGACTGACTACATAACGACTTTGAATCCAGTATGTACCTTTATTGCGTACTGCAATGTGACAGAAATGCGACGAAGCGTAGGTGTTGCACGTAATTCATATTTGCGTACAGTTTTAGACGCCAATTTATTTAAATTTAATGCTCCTTTCTTTGGAATCGAAGCTTGCGGCGAGTTTTTGATGTAACAACGGCGACCACTTAAATCGATGTCGGATTTATGTCCCTACGTATAAGGTGAAATTTCGGAAAGTTCAATTCAAAATATCATCACTGATTATAATTTTGTAGATAAATCACTACCTGTTTCTCCTGGAGAGAAACAAAGAATAGAGATTAAAAGATGTCCACTTTTTGTCGTGATAATTATTTCGTCCCGTTGGAACATAGAACCTTTTTCAAAAATGAAAAACAAAGCACACATTTTACTTTTTTTGTGTTTAATTTTTCCGATTTGTTATTATTCAATACGTTTGCATTTATATTTTACGAACCTAACTATTTTAATATCGATTATTTAACGCTTCAGGTAAATAAATCAAACCGACAAGTTTGAATGTGAGTGCAAGCTACATTAAAGTCAAAAATTAATGATCATAACAAAACTTGATCTTCATTAAATTACTACATACTCGTACATTCATCAAAGTGCAAACCGCTGACATTTAAAACCTATTCAAATTTATTAAACCAACTAAGATGACACGTGTCACTTAGTTCATTTGCGTTAATTAATTGGGTTGGGTTCAATATGGAGTTACAAAATCTTTATCGCAATATCCAAAATGTATCGCCATAATTGTCAGTGGATTATCGAGTGTCCCACGTTTTATTAACATCTTGATTGATGTGGGTTACGAAACTTACCCTTTCGTACTCATCACAGTACCATATTACATTATTATTTTCGAAGATTTACCGGTTTCATATGTAAAATACAGTAATCAAAAAACGGAGAAATCAGGTTCAAATGTCATTTACTTTTAAGGTAAAGTTTTTAAAGAAATAATTCTTAATTAAATTGCCTCGATTTTACCTTGATTAAGTACTAAACTGAAGTTAACAGTGACATTGGAGATAATTTCAACGCATGTTCAATGCTCATACGCAAGTTGCGTGATACTTGTACACTTGGAACAGTTACTAACATTCCAAGACTAATAGTATTGATATGATCCGTCATGGTTCTTACTACAAGGTCATTACACTCATCATGTTTGATAAATCTCTATTATGTTCGCGTAAATTACGTAGATTGTTCCAAGACTTCAGATTGGCATTAGAGATTCGAGCCTACCAAGACTAACATCAATCACGATGTAGGACGCATCTGTATGCATTTTAGTATCAGTAGCGTGGGAAACTGACGAGCGATATGTTCAACAATAATGATATTATAATATGTACCTCCTAAAGTAGCAATGACACTCTAATATACTCGATACAATATTACTCGTATAAACAACTTAAAGACTAGATATGTCTCAGAAAGGGACCCATACTTTTGACTCTGAAGCAGGAAGTAGTTTCCATAACGCGTAAATGAAATCTCCAGTTATAACCTACATGTACAGAAATAAACTTCATTGGTAAAATGATCTTTAACGGTAAAGTATAAATTATAGTATTGCACAACAGTCTCATCATCACTATAAAGGCTATCTCCGTAATATCGTTTCGGAGTCCTGACAGCTTAAAAATTTACACTCCAAAATAACAATCAGCGTGATATATGGTGGTAGTTTAAAGGTTTCGCGACGGAGTGCGTATGAGAAATGCAACGTGTGACCTTCACAGAAAGCCGCGAGAATCGCCGAGGAGTCACGATCGAGATGCGAATCGATCGGGGAAATATGCGGTGTGCTTGCGACGACTTGCTCCACCGGTCGTAACGCAGGGTGCACACCGAGAACTTTGTAAGATTTAAGCTCGAATTTTGTATAAATTATGAAACCAGTATTTTCTCGAACATTTTCGCACAGAATCGTAACCGTAATTAGACAATTCCATTACTTTTATTGACAAGTAGCAAAATCGTATCACAACTTTTAATGTTTTCGTGTTTTGATTTAGGTTTACAACACAATGACCTTTTTTCAATCAATACCGTAAAATAGGCAGAAAAGGAATTGAGATTCAGATTTTTTATACTGGAAACTGGTGAACTTTGTTAAAAATTTTATACAATATATTAAATTAGGTAAGGTTTTGCTCCTAGTATAAATAAAACCTTATATTGCATAAGAGTTTACTGGATCAGTCGGTGCAACCCAGAGCGCTACTTTCTTACCGGCTGATACTATTCGGACCCGTTTACACTGGTTACTCTGGTCCCTAGTAACTTTAGAATGGTTTATTAGCAGATAATCGCGATTAGACATTTGTTTACGGGTAATGCACAAATTGATTAACGGACGCTTGTTGTAAAGCTAGCCATTATGTAAATTCTATAAATCTCCACTTGATTAGGATTTAAATCAGAATAGCAACTGTAATAGTTGACTTAATAGGTCCTGGAAATATGATCAACACTTTATTAGATATAATTATGATTCTCTTATTTATATGTTTAAAACTCAGTTGTACTCAGTTTTAATTTTAGAACAAATCTTATTACCAAAACAAACACACATAACGTAGTTATCGGTCAAACGTAATGATCTTGAATTTAAGATACGCAAGTCATGCATATCGTGTTACAAATCAATACAACATTGATAAAAGTAATTCACTAACCGGTTTAGACATGCAATTCAAATGTTGTTCACATGTGAATAATTTCCAATACAAATATATTTATTGGTATCTTTAGACACAAATGTAATTTTTGGAAACGGCTCTTAAGACTACCCATAGAGGGTATTGGATGGCATAATATATGACTTCGAAATTGATATTAAAGCTATACAGGATAGTGGATAGCAATTATTTCTTAGTAAAAAACTTTTGTTACTTCTTAGTTCATAAAGAAAAAGAACCATTTAGTTTCTAAAAACAACCATAAAATGTGGATATCTGTGTTAAGTTTAAGTACTTATCTCAAAGAGAAGTCAGCCAAAGCACTTCTTATGTACAAACATGATTACAGCCTAGATATTTCTTCAACCAAGCAAGTAAGCTTATGAAAACAGCTTTAACTTAACCTTGAACGAAAATGAAAAACGCAATGACGTAATTTAAGGTGTAAAGGTGATCGTGTGTGGCGGTGTCACGTATCGGGCCGGTTTCTCTATATCGGGTGACATGCTCCGTCGCTTCCTCCGTCGTATAAAAACTTCAACCCTGCCAGCATCCTTATCAATCGAGTACCACACTTCAGTACAACATCAACATGCACTTCAAAGTGAGAAAGATGGTTTTAAAATAAATTGGGAAGATTTTATTGGGTATCCTTTAATGAATTTATTGATTTCAGATCGTGGTGATTAGCGGTTTGCTGGCTTTATGCCAAGCCGGTTTGATTGAAGAAGGACATGGGCAGGCGGTTTCTAGTCAAAGTATAGTTCGCCATGATGAGCCTAGTCAACAACAGCAGCAACAGCTTTATACTCCTGTTGTGGCGCAGCACTCTGCCCCAGTTCTGCGTCGTGCAGTTCCTGTGCTCGAGCAGACATCATACCTTCAACATGGCGCCCCTATTGTCCACGCTACTCCTTTAGTTCAACACGTGGCTCCTGCAGCTATTCATCACGCTCCCGTAGTGCAGCACATCTCGCCCGTCGCCATTGGTCACGGCGAACAAATCGAACATCATGTGAGTAATTTATTTGTCTATTACCTCTTAAATGTGCCCATTCGACACATGTAACAGAAACGTAACTAAAACTCGATCAATGCACCAAGTTGCCAAAAACTATAAACCTACTATTCAGGTTTGCGAAGTACAGTAAAAGGATTTATAGTGAGGTTACAAAATAAATGAGTTCATAAGTGAAACAGTAGTGCCTACGCCAGACTGAATTTAATGGAACAATTTAGTGTTAGCGCCTATTTTTCAATAGAATAATTCAGAAAAATCCAAGTAAAAGTAGACAGCGCCTATACATGAGTAATCTCGATCTTTTTGCATAGGTAATTAGATTTGTCTGATTTAATCACGAGCATCTAATACATTCTCGATTTAACATATTACATCATCCATTCGGTAACTGAACAATTATCTGTATTCGTTTTATTTTAATGATATTCGGTCAGATGGGTACGTTTATTGTTAAGTAACAGACAGACATACCAACATATTATTTAACACAATTTATTTTCTTTAAATGGCATTCAGTGTGTTAACGAGGCTCTTTATTGCATTTGCCCTTAAGAAGTGATTTTTAATTTATATTTTGGCACAAAACTCTTCATGTTCATCGGCTTATCGTCACTTTAATCAATACCAATTAAATCATTAATTTTATTTAAATGCTCTATAACGAACTTTTAACAAAAAATATTGATTCACTTTTAGTAATGAATGAATCCTTGCAATTCCTTATAAATATTTAAGAACTAAAATGTATATTTGAGAAATTGGATAATGCTAGAATGAGGAAATGTTGTGTGCAAGTTCTCTAGGTCAAAGTCAAAGAAATATCTCGAACACGTGGTCAAACAAAGTGAAGTGAAAGGTACGATTACAATTAAAATTGTGATCAATTGATAGAAGTCAATTAAATATATATTGTGTAACCCACTAGTTATTACAAGACTATAAAGTTTTGTAACTCGTACGGGGCAGTCTATCAATCTATGATTGGTATTAACGTCTATTTATCAAAAACATCATTACATTTATGTTGATCAACATTTAGGTTTTCGTTCCCTGTTGCAGTTAAACAATTATATTGCGAAAAAGATGACTAATTTGTACCATTATTATTTGACAGATGTCAATTAATCATTTTAATTAGCGCTATAATGTGATCTCAACTTTTATTGGTAGTTTTACTTAAACTTTACTGATCATTCTCATTATGTCCTTAACACTTATTCCTGTACTAATTTTATGTCAAAGCTTACATTACATTGTACTAAAACTTTCGTGAGACATATCAAAATAATTATTCTGTTATCGACTTACTCACGTATATATTTGACGAAGAACTCGACTAGTTTCCGCGACACACGACGCGGAATGCTGCTCATGGATATGAGCCTCTAGCATGGCTTGAAACTACTCGAGTTCCTCGTCAAACAGTTACTTGAGTAAGCCGAAAAATAATAATTAATTGACATCATCCATTGCTCATTTATAGTTCAAAAAATCAATCTTTTAATTTATAATAATTATATTATGTAGATCAAAATACGATTCATCACTATGGAAGCATATCATTCTACTAGTTTCCGTAATAATTTTTAACTTGATGTTTATGTTTAAGGCTCCTGCTAAGTACGAATTCTCGTACTCTGTGGAGGACCCTCATACCGGTGACCACAAGTCCCAGCATGAGTCTCGTGATGGTGACGTAGTTAAGGGAGAATACTCCCTCCTGCAGCCTGACGGTTCTATCCGTAAGGTCGAATATACCGCTGACGATCACAACGGGTAAGATATTAACTTGCTAATTATATTTATATTTACTATTTAGGCCATGAAATTGACCACATTGAAATTTGGTTTTATTTTTTTATTGATTGCGTTATGAATAACATAATCAATATGCCATGAATTTAATCTGTAAATAAAATTATGCTTACAAAAAGAGCTAAACACGCATGTGCTTTTTTCTGGTCAAGGTCCAACGTCTTGGCATCTTTGAGTAAGCCTTTATCAAATTAAACTCGAACAGAGAGGCTATACAAGACGTATCAACAATTATTTTCATTATCTGTATATCAACTCTTTTATTTCCATTATGCAAAACTTACACTTAAGTTCGGTTCAAAACATTGACTTGAATAAAATAATTGCGTCGCACGGAAATAGTAACAATGTTAGTAACACGCGCTTCAATTCCATTCATATGATCTTGCTGATCATCTGTCTTCTTTCGTAACACATCGGCTCTGTTAAGGCCGATCCAACATATAAATTACTAATGAATCCGAGCTAGCGAGACTAATAGCGTTTACAAATGTAATCTATTATAGTTTTAATCTAAATCGAGTGTTGTTTCGGTCGATAACGTAGATAGTATCATTACTCCGAACTCTGCAATGCTGCAATTGTGAAGAACACCTGTCTAGCCATAGCTTGTTATGTTAGTTGTATAACATCGCAAGCAAACTGCATAACAATGTACCATCGTCATTAACTTAATAAGATGCAATTTACTCGTAAAATCAGTTTAGCACTAGAAGTGAAATATGTTGAATACTGCAAATTGGTTGTTAGGTTACGTGTGCATGAAATGGGTGTATGGTAATAACTTATTTATAAATTATAGGTTCAATGCTATCGTGCACAACTCGGAACCATCTGTGCATGCAGCGCCACCGAGCCCCGCTTCAGTGGTTCACGCTGCTCCTGTGGTTCACACAGCACCTTTGGTTCACGCCGCCCCCGTAGTTCACGCAGCGCCTGTCGTTCACGCTGCCCCCGTCGTTCACGCGGCACCTCTTGTTCACGCCGCTCCTCTCGTTCATGCGGCCCCCGCTCACTACGTCACCGCCCACCACTAAACTACTTATAATTATTCGATAAAATGTACTAATCTTTAATGTAAGCACTTAAGCAGTTTCTATGAATACATTGTTATTAATTTTATACTTATGTATTGTTGTATTATTTTATCTAGTTTTTAAATTAATTCGTTATATAACGAATTAATGAATTCGTTATGTATAGGGTCTAAAATTTGAAGAATTTTTATACAATATATAGAAAAAAATTAGTGTATATATACACAAAACTGTTTTGGCTAATGGTGCATACCATTAGTCACAATAAGTAAATAAATATGAAATGCAATGAACCGAGTAGGACTATATCCAATATATTCAGATTTTCGTGTTTGAATAAACTAACACTCACTTACAAAGTAATCCAATTAAGTTTATGAAGAGAAAAAATATCTATTTCACGCTTCAAGTAAATCTAGGAAATGGTACGAATATTAAGTTAGCAGAAAGTAAACATGTATGGTTAGATTTACGTTGCGTCGGCGCCGGTACAAGTAGCGCTGCGAACAATTCATACGCATCCGATTTGTGGTGTTAAGTAACTGTAATTGGTTATTAGTCGCACTATTCAAGCTTATACTAAGACGTAATAGAGAAAATAATTTCATAAATTACCAAGAAAACGTGGAACAATGTTTGCATACACATAACATATAACATTAGGCGAAGTATAAACTGTAGTTAAGAAGGACGGAAAATGCTTAAACGGGATGGTTTTTAAGTGGCTCTTACTAACAAGTCTAATGCTTTCTCGCCTCAACCATTACGGGAGAAGTCATTGGATTATATTCCTCACTCAAAAAAAGAAAGAAAATATTTGTCCATCGTGGGCAATTTGCGACATATTTGCTTTTATCTATGCTTTTTATATGCACCTGTATCATTATTTTGTGCCTACTTGTTTCTTCAACAACCAGATTCTTCTTTTTATATTTGATGGGCCGATGTTTGTCCACTATCTCGTCTAGTGGTAAATTCTATTACATCGTAATAAATAAAATACTATAAAAGTGACTTTTGTTTATGAATATAATTACTATATTAGGAGTGCATTACTTACATCATAACTTTATCAGATGACGGAAGTTTTACAAATATACGTAACTTGCCGTTTTTGAGAGATCTTGATGTTACAATCATGAAATGGAAAATGTAGTTCACGAATATGCAGCTAACAGTCACGGAATTATAAAAACCTACTTATTTTGATATACGAGTACACGACACATAACCGAAATGACTTTTCCATATAAAGATTAACTTTATTTTAGGTACTACTAACAGACTAAATTGCTTAAAAATATCATAGAACATAGTGCACAGAATGTGAAAAACCTAAATATAAGTACCATGTGCTTAGTAACGTCTGAGTAGATAACTATTAAGTTCGAAAAATATCTCAAACATAGAAGATCAAGTAGCCAATGTTTAGCGTTACTGACATATTCTTAAGTACCAAGAACAATATGCGTTATATAAATAATACGATACTAATTAACAAAATAATAATCAACTTGTAAATTTTTAAAAGTCGTGTACTATGCAACTACTACATTGTTCATCTGTACACATTTTAAGATGAACCTCTATTTGTTTGAATCGTAAACAGTGGCTGCCGCAACAGATTTCTGTAATCGAGAGCAATCCGTATGTGTATAATTCAAAAAATTACATAGTTTAAAGCCTCAGGTTGTACTGAGAAATCGGTTAATTACTTAATGTACGAAAACGTGACGAAAACTTATAATACATTGTTTTATAATCCCTAGCAAGGTCGAGTTGCAACCATTATGTCTTCTGGCTGCTCTCGCGCATAGCAACGCTCTACTTACTCCTCGTAATTACGGGTTAACGAGGTACCTTGGTGAGAAGAATGTACTGAGTGTTATTAATTTATTTAAACGATTAAGTAACAGTGGGTTCGTCACTCAAATTGAGTTTTAAAAGAATTAATTAGTCGTAAAATTCTAGCGCGCATTTTTTAAACAAAAAGTCATATTTCGTGTGTTAAATCACTGGCATTCCAGTTTGGCGTGACGCGTAATAAAGTTGATAAGTCGTCAATTATTTGTGTGCAATACACGAAAAGGCGTGCAAACTCGAGCCTAGATGCATAATTTGACAACGTCTTGTCAACACTAATCTTATGATTTGTTGAATTCTAATGCAGGACTAATACACGGAAATGGTCATTGTGGGTGAAGAAAGACCGGTATTTGAAATCCTTGCAACTGGTTTCTGCATGTGTCGATAACGGATCTGATACCCATCCATCAAAGTTTGAAAGTATTTATTGTTGCATTTCTAACTAATGCATATTAAAACAAGTTAAAGAGCAAAATAAGCATATTCTTGCCTAATCTCGGCCTCCAAATTTGTCAATTTGCTAATTGACTAGCTCAGATACATTTCTTCTAGATCATCTATTCGTAAAGCTGTTATTTAGCCTTCATATACAGAGTTGATCAGTATAGTCTCCAGTTCGAAGAAAACATTTTACAATAAAATGTTTTATAAAATGTAACAGACAGATTAAATTTATTTTACAATTCTCATGTAAATTCCTTTTCAATTTGTATAATCCGCTTTCTAACTTCTTAAAAAGTAATAAACAACTTCACAATAAGATGTATTTATTTACAATGTAATGTTCAAGAGATTTCATTTTAAAACAAAAAATGGAATTTGTATGCGAATATGTCTGGGAAGAATGAAACATGTTTGTTCTATGTAACGTTTGGCAGACATCTGTGATCACGTATTATCTCCAGCATCCGACAAGAGAAACCAAAGTTGAGAAACGTGATAGAATTCTAAAAGCACTCCATCTTAACTATACACTTAGATATTAGGTCTTCAACAAAGCGACGATCGAACGATCTGGCAATTGGAGAGGGGATTGTTAGAAGAAAAGATAAACCAAAAATTGTTCTAATTACAAAGATTTCAATTGTCAAAAATATATTTATTTATCACCTTGAACCATAGAATGCTACGTAATTTTACGTAATTGCTATATCATTATCAAACTACCGTATTCTTGCGTAGAGCCGAGCCGCGTACTGCGTCGCATCTCGCCGGTATACTAATATAAAAGTGGAAGGCTCCGAACCTCGGCATCAGTTGTGTGTGATCGTGCAGTCGGGCCAAACCTAATCCAAACGGAAAATGATCGCTAGAGTAAGTGCATCCTGTGGTTTACTCCTGTTTTGTGAAAGGATTTGCGACGTTGCTGCTAGTGAATTCGAACCAACCAAGTTATTTTTTATCCTCTTCCAGAGTGCTTTTGTGACCCTCAAAAATCAACGCGACAGCATAAAATATTGTTAGCTTATTTGATGGAATCAGGTCCGAAAAGGATGTCAATCCAGACCTCAATACTTAAATGACATATTTCGCCTATTGTAAAAAAATACTTCGCTTTTTTAGACTGTCTAGGCAGGAACACCTTGCTTGGTCGGAGGATCCTCCTTTTCCAATCTTAGGAAACTTTACTCTCTACTTTACCGTTTAATATAATTCTTCCATATCTATTTTTGGAAGAAATAATCCAACCCGCAAAAAACGCGTTAACACGCAATTGATTTGCGTCTATAAAACTTTCGCAAGTCCTTGTTGATCAAGCGTTCTAAAAAGTCTCCATCTCATCATATGAATCGGCTCGTTCAGTTTAAATATATATGACTCAATCTGTGAACATTACCAGTTATAATATAATATTCTATAGCCATTTTTAGCCAAACTTTATTCAAATTTTGCAACTCGCTTGCAATTTTAATTCGAAGTTACGAAATATTGCTATTTTGTATCATTGCATTATTAAACCAATCCGTCGTTTCTAATCATTTTAGACTATTGTTTAAGCAAGTATTAATTATGATTTTTAATCGATATTAATATTGATTATTCTCACTAATTTATCTTTTGTGGTAGGCTGTTGTATAAATGAATTAATCTGGAATATATTCCTTCAATAAAATCAAATAGATTTACTATACAACAAACATAGATTTCCAAACTCCTTATCGAGTGAAAGGCTGTCACTGGTCTATAATCTAATTCTGTGACAGTTGCTACAGTACCTTAATTGACCATCGCTGTGAATAAAGGGTTACGATAGCAATTCTGAATATATTAATATTTATCATTCATATTGTGTGATCGTCTACGAGTTGTATCTATTGCTATAGTTTTATTGGGTTTTACAAGAACCAGCCAAAATCTTAGTTACATACTCGAAATCCTAAAATAACTCGCTAGTATTTTGAATGATTACAGTTATGATGAATCTGTAACAAGGTATCTAATCATCCGAAATTAAAAATGCTAAGTAATAACTTCAATGCTCGCCTATATACGAGTATTTAGTCTTCAACATGAAACTACGTCATATCACTCAATAACATCAACACCATTATCGTCACCCAATTTCCATCCACATAGACCTCTAAAATAGCACGCCGCTCTACAGCTTGATAAACTAAATATGTTATAAAAGTTATCTTATTGTATAATCTCTGTGTACAGGTAACAGTAATCCTTTGTGCGTTGGCGCTGGCCTCCGCGGGAATAGTCCAGCTTGGACACGGTTACGCCGGGGAAGCTTATGGACACGAAGCGGTGCGTACGCACCCGTCCCACTACGGAGGACACGAGGATACGCATGTAGACTACCATGTAAGTAAAAAAGAGACATAACATGACATAACGTCACACCTTTTAACCCCTAAGGGGTAGACAGGGGTGCACATTATGCCACTGTACAATGTAACACCCACTTTTCACTGTGTATGTTATGAGTCCCATGTAATAGGGGGTGAGCCTATTGACATATACCGGGCATGATCCCAGAATTTTTTTTAAAACCCATTCATACTTTGCCCGACCTGGGAATCGAACCCGAGACCCCTTGCCCGGCAGTCGTACTGACGACCACTCGGCCAACGAGGCAGTCTCATCAGTAAAAAAGAGACAGTAAAGAAAATAAATATCTGACTATTTTAGGAGACATTTCATACATGATCTCTACAAAATGTTCCCAAACTAGGTCAATCAGCTACTTTAAAGTACGACGCACTTTTATGACCTACATAAAATCAAAACGAGAGCAAAAATAGAAATATATAAAAAGCCTAACCTTCAGCTAATGAGCATTGTTTCCCGTTACTCGCATTAAGAGCATGTGCACACTGTAATAGTCGCGGACATTACGACACTGCACTCACTGTCGTACCAACTGGAACGTTCTCACACATCAACTATCAAATATATTGGTCAAGTACGCACAAATAAAAAAGAATACATCTTAAATATTTTGACACCAAAAATGACAGACCCTTCACGCACTACTAATGAGCCTATTACGAACACAAGAGTTACCAGTACAATAGCCATATAAAGCTACCTAAGTGTAACATCATAAAAAGTTGGCGCAAAAACTTATCGTTTTCGTAACAAACCTGAAGTGTCGTCACGACACGTGAATTACATTCATGATCTCGCTAATTTCTATTAATTATAACGGTTACGTTACCAGCAAACAAACTGTTGCTAATATCTCGTCGGTAAGTGGAGCAGCAAGAGCTGGTTTTGTTTCCCTAGGCCTGTGTTACCTATTTCGTTTCGTAATACAATAGTAACAAGCTAATTAATAGCTTGCATAAACGCGAGTGTTGAACGCCTGATCCAACACAATCGAAGCTGTTTCCTAGATACGATATCTATCGAAGAAACAGTCGATAGTCCCATAGCGCCCAGGATCAATTACATCATCACAACAATTTTCTCATAAAATGGGATCAAGCAAATAAACATAAATAATTATTTCGTTTCCTCTAGAGTTCTATCGCAATCATGCAAATCAGTAGGTCCGATGTCTCGTAAACTACATGCAAGTAACTTATGAAGCTTTTTTGCGCTAGCAGCCCTCATTTATCTCACCGTCATTGATGAAACTCTAAATTACTACTGATGCAATTTTATCGCCAACACAAAAAGTTTAAACGACAATTTTATGACTCTTACAAGATTTACTCAATTACCCGTTTTACAGAAACAATAAAAAATTTTACATCGACTGTATTTTTTATTATTCGCAAATCGTAAACTTGTAGAATTAGTCGCTATAACGTCTTATCTGTACAAATTATTCTAAAAATCAAATTAACGATCATAACTCTCGAATATAAAGCTGCATATAATCCTCTGTCGATATTCTATAAGCTGTCATAAATCGACGCCGCGGGTAGTGATTTGAAATAATTCGCATTACATAACGGTTTGCAAAGCCAAGTATATCCCGGTCGTGACTGGAGGAGCGATAACATAGCGGTTCCCAAGAGGTTGCAACATTCGCGCTTAAAGCCCGGGACGTAATGACTGCCATGATATCCAGGCCATTGGACTGTTGTTTGCATAAACTTGGTGGCTCGTGCTCTCACGCTCGTTTAATGGTAGATGTGGAATCGTTGCCGACCGATGTCGACCCAAATGCAAAGTTGCGTAAAGCGCTTGACAGTACACACCATTGTAGTACGCGCAACAATAATGGGATCAAACTAGATCTCCAGTCCACGCTAACGGGCCTCCGACGTAGATCAAAGATTTGCATGCATTGGAAATTAATTTTGGAAACGATTTATTAGTCAACTTCATGTAAGAAGCAGGTTTTCGCGGTGCAACGAAGCATTGCAAGTTGATTGAAATCTTCAACTGTATAAAAACTTACCAAAAACATGACGTTACGTATCCTATATTATGCACTTTTAATCAGTATTCAACATATATTCTATTATGTTAACTTTTACTTATGATATAAAATGTTGTAGTAGGTCAGTAACGAACATTAAACCTAATACAAATGTTTGGTATTCAATAATTTTTTCTTCATCGACATGAAAATAGTGTGAAGCATTTTTTCTTTGTATAAATTTTGTATAACATATACAGATTATGCTGGATTCCCAAGAAATTCGTGATTGTTTACAAAGAACTTAAATATTTGTGCAGGTAAAATAACCAATTTTCTGTTTGTTTTTTATAGGCCCACCCTAAATACGACTACTCTTACTCGGTATCCGACCCACACACTGGTGACCACAAGACCCAACACGAGGTCCGTGATGGTGATGTAGTGAAGGGAGAATACTCCCTGCTGCAACCCGACGGTTCCTTCAGGAAGGTCACCTACACCGCTGATGACCACAACGGGTAAGAAACTACTTGAATAATACTATCAAAAATATTACGTCTTGACTTCTTTCCACAAATGGATAGAGAGAAAAGAAATTCATCCATATTTTGGTCATCGGGTACTTGAAGACACTGACTTCTTCCAGTTATGTTTTGAATTTATATAAAAGAAGCAAGCTTAGTGCTATTGCGTCTGAAAATTGACAGAATTTCGAAGATACTAATAATTCCTGAACTGGGTACTCAACCCAAGATTGACCACCATAAGTAACTAGATAGTTTAACCATTCATCAACAAATCACTGCAATTATGATTACGCTCTATGAATACCATTAAAAGTAAACGAATTCAATAAAAACATGAGCATAACGTGCTTACATCTGGACATTGGAATGCAAAACGTTTAACATTTCCTCGACTTGATTACGCTATTACAATGTTACCTGTGTGTTGCAGTTTCAACGCGGTCGTCCACAACACTGCGCCTGCGCACCACGAGTACCACTAGTGCCGGCGCACACTGCCACTGTTTCTCATGTGATATTAAACACTTAATACTTAATGTAGATAGTCTTTAGTCGACACGACTCCTTATTTTATAAGACTGCGGCGAAAATTAAACTTTTAGAAAAAATCTATCCTTTTGTTTAATTTCTTGTTTGTGTTACCTTACTTTCTATTTTTCTACTATTACCATAAAATATCGTTCTATGTAAAAAGTTGAAGTGTGATAATTTTTACTGATTACTCTATTACCTACACATATTTGTAATTTCAGAGGTCAGTAATTTATCTCAATGTTTATTTAAATTATTGTGATCCTTAACATTAAAATGTTCCAAATATGAAATATTCAAAACACAGAAAATTCATCATTGAAATTATTTTATTCTTCCATGCTTTCTTTACTCATTAATATTAATCTAATTATATTGAGCTTGACTTAATCTCAATTTAAATTGGGGTCAAAGGGCATTGCTCGTCGTCCATACATCGTTCGCCTAAGAACCAACACAGAGTTGTATTTACTTTTTGATTTAGATAATGTATATTATCGATTGAACCTAAATTAAAATAACGGACACTTTTGAGAATTCTGAGATAATCAAAACACTTTCGGATTTTGAGGTTATAATTACATAAATAACTTCCTTCAATATCCATGTTTACTAAGCTAGTCCATTTATAATAAGTCAGGTCATTGTTCGAAGTATGTCCGTACCAGTAAAACTAAGCCAGAGGTCAATATTTCAAGAGTCACAGTCCATTGTTCACCCCAAGTGGTTAGATAAAATCAGAAAAGTAAGAAAATGCAAACGAATTCAGTACGCACACGCAGATCGAGCACAGGATGCGCTGGCTATGGTTTGCGAATTATAGCGGACTGTTTGTAACTAAAAATTATTATCTTATATCAAGTGTTGAAAAATACCGATCCTTGTTTGTGTCACGCTCTCAATATGGGTGCTGTTACAAAAACTTGTCTGTAGATATGACCTATAATAGCTTTGCCTGTTAAGAACCTCAAATAGAACCAAAAAGTAATACAACTATCACCGAGTATTGTTACGGAAGCTGAGGACGGACGTGAATACTTTTTATAATGCTCTCGAAATTATCTTATTCAGAAATAAGAAATATGATAAATGTTTCATGCGTGTTTCATAGGCCATTTTTAACAAAGTCATTTCTTTGCTTTTGAAAAAAAATGTTGAAATACAGTTACAACTTAAAAGTCCATCGAAATACATCAAGGAAATTGTCACTATTATACATGAAATAAAAGTAATTTAAAAAATTACAATACATTTAATTAAAATTATTTGTGGTTCTTTTATTGAAAACGATTGGATTTAGCCCTGTGAAGCGAAGGTATGATGCAAGTTTGAGAAAATTTTTCCTTACTTAGGTATTTTTCTTGCAAAGGTTTTTTCTATGCCCTAAGCACGATTTGTATATCGTCCTGAAATAATTAACGCACTGATAAGATATAGCAAAATAATAATATAACATTTTACAACTTTTAATCTCTGGGAAGGTGTATTTTTAACTGAAGTATTTTAATAGGAAATATAGGAACCGATTCGCTCCCGAGACCCAGACGACAGATACGACAGATACGACGAATACGATAAGATACAACAAATGCGACAAATACGACAAACACGACCGACACGACAAATACGACATACACGACAGATGCGATCGACACGACTGACACGACAAACAAGACAGATACAACAAATACGACAGATGCAATCGACACTACCGACACGACAAACGCGACAGATACGACAAATACGACCGACACGACAAACACGTCAAATACGACAGATACGACAAATGCAACGACACGACAAATACGACAGGTACGACAGATGCGATCGAAACGACCGACACGACAAATGCGACAGATACGACAAATACGACTGATACGATCGATACGACAAATACGACCAACACGACAAATACAACTGACACGACAAATACGACCGACACGACAAATGTGAACGACACGACAAATACGACCGACACGACAAATGCGCAGATACGACAAACACGACCGAAACGACAAATACGACAGATTCGACCGACACGACATACACGACCGAAACGACAAATACGACAGATACGACAGATACGACAAATGCGACAGATACGACCAACACGACAAATGCGACAGATACGACCGACACGACAAATACGACCTACACGACCGACACGACAAACACGACCGACACGACAAATACGACAAATGCGACCGCCACGACCAACACGACCGATACGACAAATACGATCGACACGACAAATACGACCGACACGACAAATACGACCGACACGACAAATACGACAAATGCGACCGACACGACCGATACGACAAATACGACCGACACGACATATACGACTGATATGACCGATACGACAAATACGACAGATACGAACGACACGACAAATACAACAGATACAAGAAATGCGACCGACACACAAATACGACTAGTACGACCGATACGACAAATGCGACCAACACGATAGATAAGACAGATGCGATCGACACGTACGACAAGACAAATGCGACAGATACGACAAACACGACCAACACGACAAATACGATAGATACGACAAATACGACAGATACGACAAATACGACAGAGACAACAAATTCTACCGACACGACACATACGACCCACACGACCGACACGACAAATACGACTGATACGACAAACCCGACCAACACGACAGATACGACCGACACGACAAATACAACAGATACAAGAAATGCGACCGACACACAAATACGACTGACACGACTAGTACGACAGATACGACCGATACGACAAATACGACCGACACGACAAATACGACATTTACGACAATAGGACCGACATGACAAATACAACAGATACGACAAATGCGAACGACACGACAAATACGACCGACACGACCGACACGACAAACACGTTGCCGAAGACCGTACTTTTTTTCTTTCTTTCTATCCCGTAAAAACTTTAATTTTTGTAGATTATATCCAGGGGTACGCGACGTGGTGTTGAACCAAATCGTTCGAAATATTACCTATGTATTTCACAGATCTGCGTCTATCTGTAAACGGAAAGGAACTGACGATGACTATGATGATGGTGATGATGATAATGATTGCTCTTATAGTATTAAACATAATACATAATTAATAAATACATTTGTAGATGAAACTAGCGATGCTAATTCACATAATTCGATACACATACCTCCCACACCGATTGATCAAATTCGACTGCACGGTTGGCACATTGGCTGGGTAACTGGCTGCCACGCAACGTGTAGCGAGTTCGATTCCCGCACAACAATTTGTGGATGGCAAACGAAACAAATTGTTGTTTCGGGTCTGGATGTCATGTGTATGTGATTTTGTATGTTTTTTGTAATCGCACCACGATACAGGAGAAAATCCTGGTGTGGGGCAAGGTTTTAATAAAACACATCTTGTTTTTCTTAGGATATTCTATGATAAGGTTTGTAGGCTGTAAGAAAATAGACATTTAGCATTGGAAAATACTAACCGGATGAAACAAGGGCGGGCCACTAGAGTATAATATACAGAACATTACTTACTATTCTCAAGCGAAACTAGAGTAAAACCTTACTGAAATGGATCTCCTTTTTGCCCATTATTTAGGTATACCTACTTTTGTTCTATTTCCCAAGAAGGTAAGTATTTTATACATTAAAACAGTGAAAAGAAATGTAATTCTTGCGTTACTGAGAGCTATAAGATCAACAAAAAATTACTTAAATACACTGAGACAAGCTCTACTAGTTTCGAGTCACAGAGGGACTCTTCAGAGGGGAGCTATAAGATTGTTTAAGAAAAACTATAGATTATGTATTTACATTACTCACATTGCTAAATGTTTGACTGTCTAAAATGCTTATCTTTATTTTTATCACCATAAAGAGACGTTTGTGACAGAGCAATTTAAATGCAATTTAATTTAATGGTATTCTTTTTAACCGACTTCAAAAAAAGGAGGAGGTTATACGTTCGGCCGGTATGTTGTTATATATATTTATTTGATGGGCCGACGTTTGACTACATTTATTCATATTTCCTGACGCTGATTTTTATAAGGTTTAAGATGATATACAAAATTGTAGCACTGGCCGTTCGATGTTACTAGATACTTCAAGTTATGCGCTGCCGAGATTTATGATCAACTGTTTTGAACATCGTAAGGATTATTATTTATTATGTTTTTTATTATTTGATTTTAATATAAATATTAAGCATCAATAATAACAACAAAAATCTTATCATACCTATACAAATTAGATACTTGTGATTGTTTAAAAGCGAAAGTTTAAAAGCGCCTGCGCAATATTAACGGCAATCGAGTAACTCTCAAAGATTTCTATTACACTTAGATCAGGCGACGCAATCGTTCTTACTATAATAGTGTTTTCTTTTATTTGTTTCACGTCACAACGCAAGTATTTTGGATAATAATATGTTAATTTCGTCCAGAGGAGGCATGACAATGATGTTGATAGTCTACTTTTCCTTATTCTGTATGTAAAGCTGAGGGCTGTGGGCAAAAATTAGTGTGACTTTAGGTAAACAATACCTAACACTTTTACTAATATAAAGTAACTTTAAACTATATAGAATTCTCAATATTTATATTTTTTAATATGGAGTCCTTTCTCTTCAAAAAATATTTTAGCAAGTAGTCGTTGCCTCGCGATAAACTCGCTTGCTTTTATTTGCTACTTTTATTTTAGGCACTACTGTAAAGTGGCTTTGAGTATTTAGCACGCTCTTTATTAACATTCACTTTTCTAACTTATTTCTATTTATTTAGAATATAAGACGAATAGATAAAATATGTGTATAAATTTTCGTGTCATCTCACAAAACTAATTACAGTTGATATAAAAAATGTACAAAAATATGCATGAAGTAATTACAATTACATTTTTATATTTGGGAAAGAAATACAATCACAAAGAAAAAGATAGTACATCTTACTAACACAACCCGTATATACATTTTGCGTAACTTCAAAAAGAATTTTTAAAGGGTTAGTCAATAAGACGTTCCAGGACCTTTACGAAAAATTGCAAGAAGCTAAAATTTTATATACCTCTAAACTGTATAAAACTTATTTTTAAAAGAATAATAAAAATAAACAGTGACACACCAAACTGGCCATGAACCAGTTATAGGGCAATATTATGAATTAGTAACAGTAGTTTTGTATTCATGAAAATCCAAAGGTTGTCTACTAGAACTAAGCGTGTCGCAAATAGTCAAGCATTTCCTATTCCGAATAATCCATCAGCTGGAAGCGACTTTGTGTTCACGGAATGAAGAAATAGCAAACAGTTCCCCGTAACATTGCGTAAGTTACGCACTGGCTGGACAGTAAGGAACAAAGACTATTGTCATGCCGGATTATAATGTGTTTGTACACCCACGTGTCCTGAATACTGGTGAAAAATTTCGGAGTCTGCGTAAAATCTTCATTAACATATTAATTGTTAAGTTCTATTCATCTAGTCTACGACATTGATGGTTTGTTTCGGTATTACCGAACTGAATATTTTGAGACAACAAAGAATCTCTTATAAACGGTGCAGCATTCTCAAAAATATCAGTTGTCTTCCATCGATCACCAGGAAAGATGATTGTCAAAGTAAGTGACGTTCCATTGTTAGACTTTTTTTATAATTCTCAAACAATACCATTTAAACTGACATATTTTATTCTCTATTTTCAGATGTTTTTGTCAGTGTTATTAAGTGTCAACTTTATATACCACGTCAATGGTGCCTCTTACTCCAACGTCTATGTACAGAGTGATTTAGTCCCTAGAGGATTTTACCAGTATGGTACGCCACATGCGTCATTAGCCGCTCCTAGACTATCTCAAATCAACACACTACCATCTATACCTGGATATGTACCCTGTGGAACACCTTGTGTGTATCCAGGCCAAACAGTAGCTACAGTTGCTTCAGTAAATCCCCAACCAAATATATTGACTTACGGTGCACCAGCACCGAGTATCCCAGTTGTTGTTTCACCAACAAAAGAGGTATGTATGAAGTAAAATAAATTGTGTTTGGTTATCATACTGAATACTTAAATATTTTTACATTTTTGTGTAGGAGGCCGCAGCTTATGAATACGGCTACGTCGTTTATGATGACAACACAGGAGACCATAAAGCGCAACGGGAATTAAGTGATGGCTCTGTAGTACGTGGAGAATATTCGTTCATTCAACCGGATGGGTATGTTCGGGAAGTACAGTACCAAGCTGATGACATTTCTGGGTAAATATCATTTTGATCACTCGCATATAACTACGAATTTGAAACCATGAATTTATTAAAGCTTTATTTGTGTCTCACAGGTTTAATGCCGTAGTTAAAAACTTCTTGCCCGCTGTCTCTGAAGTTAAAAACCAAGTTGAGAAAAAAGAATCTTCTCCACCTTGCCCTGAAATCAAACACGAATCATTAATAGAATCAAATGCACAGAAAGAACATGTTCATAAAACTCCTGAATCAAATGAACATGACCATAGTAAATCCGAAGAGTCCGTTGAGAACGAACATTCAACAGAAGCAGCACATCACTTGCACCCCATAAAGGAATCAAAAGAAGAGTCGGGGGAGAAATCACATGAACACGCGCATTTAAAACATGAACATATTCAACACCCATCTAAAGCTGCTTCCAAGGAAGATTCCAGTGATGAATCTGGTGACAAATCTAAAGAGGCACTTACTGTAAAACCTAAAGAGTCAGAAGAAAAACATCACAAAGCACCCAAATCATCTGAAGAAGAATCAGGAGACGCATCTGAATCAAAAGAATCTAAAGAGGAATTAAAGGAAAAAGTAAAGAAACAACCCGTAAAAAAGGTAATTCACTCAGTGGATAAACACGTGAAAGAGTCCAAAGAAGTATCCGTGGAGGTTTCCAAAGAAGAATCGCATGAAGGTCACAAACATAAAGAAGTTCATGATTTATCACATCCTGAACCATTAGCGTCGTATAGTGACATAATCCGTTGTATTGAATCAGTGATGAAGAGGAATAATGTAGTTCCAGGCGCCATGCATGACGGACATCCATCCCCACTAACTTATATAGTACTGAACAGACCTTGTTAGATTGCAGATCAAAATGTGCACTGTCTAGTCGATAATAATCGATTTGATTATAATCTCATCTTTTTTATTAATTGTTATGAATCCGTTTATTATGATATTTTAAATACAATTTGCAAGTTAAAGCGTTGTATAATTTAGTAAATTATGTGATTCGTTGATTCCTTAGTTATTTTGCCCTATGATATACATATCAACCTAGAAAACGTTTCAGACAGATTCTAAAAATAAAAATATCAAACTTAAATTTTATTTATTTCCACCTGCGGTAGTCAATTCCTTAGTCCAACCAGGTGACCGCAGAGTCCATAATACTTTGCACGTTTATTACTAAATACTACTTAAACAGTCTTAAAATCAATGTGCAATTAAAAGAAAAATGTGCCTACTTACGATAAATCATATCCTACAACAATTATTACCAACACTACGTTGCACAAACGCCTAATGTGGTACTACATTTTATGCTCCTTATCTAAACTTTTATCACATTTCCATAAAGGGAGGCTTGTGACAGAGCAATTCGAATGCAATATAATTCAATGACAGTCATATTTCCTCACCCTTGTTAGTTAGTTAGTTGTCTAATTATTACGAGATAGGACCAAGATTGATGATCAATTACAGCCTCAGGTACAACATTTCATAATTCTGTGAATTATAAAGTTTTAGTCGTGTGTCGTTAAGGTGCTGTAACAGAAACACCTGTCTCTTGGTTTGACATTGTGTCGAGGCAACAATTAATACGTGAACTAGATATTAGGTTCTTATCATTGCATGAATTTTCTAGTCGTATATAAATAGATCGATTTTTGTTTTTTTAGTAATATTGAATATTCAATATTTTGTAAATCAATTCACATTTCGATTCATATACATGACAATCAAAAATGGAAATGGAATAAAATGTTAAACAAGCATGATTATGTGTAAGCAATAGAAATTCAATAGTTACGTTACATTCATTGTAATATGTCTGTAAAGTGTATAATCATAGAGTAACTAAACACACAGGTAAATGTCCTATTAGCCAACAGATCGGTATCTTGTCAAACCTTTTAAGTCCACATTTAATATTGATCGATAATTATCATCCGATTGCTTTTGTTAGCAAATACTTATTATTAAATATGTCCAGTAACCTTGTAATAGTTTGTAATGACAGTTCAAATTGACCACAACTCTTTTTTTAGAAATGTTCATAGTCTAATTATACTGCATTTGTACCTACCTAATCAATTATGACCATAATAGCTCAGTTTTATTCGCTGAAGCAGTTAGCAGTTATAATGTTTTCTTTAGGTAGGTATGTGGCAAATTGTGGGTAATACACGGAGAGTTTATTGCTTTTTAGAAGACACCATTGCTATCCCAAACATCCTCACAATTGAGACATTTTGAATTGCCATTCAGTATCACCAAGGACGTAGAAAAAATGGCCTTGAGTCACACTTCTTCTCTCATAATAAATTTATTTATTTAATTTATTTTCAGTAACCATGTAACCATAAAAGTAAACCAAACAATAGGTAGTACTTTACGAGGTACTGCAAAATGATCTCTTTTTCGAACACAAAACCTCGTACACAGTTACCGCAGTCTCGATCACGATACAATGTCATTATATTTAACTTAATTCGAAATATTAATTATATCTAGAGTAAAATAGGTGAAATATTTTAACGAAAAACGTGCCAATAGTTGACCAAAGCTCACGATTACTGGAACACATTTAAAACATTTTATACACGAATGGCATTACAATGTTCTAATTCACGGAACTTTTACGGCTTAAGCGTGTGATGTCTATTAAATTCCAAGATATCATAATAGTTTTGAGTACATAATTACAATGAAATTGAATTAAATGGATTAGGTTCATTAAACAAACTAGAGATATATTAATAAACTTTATAGGCTAGTAAGTAAATACAGGTCGTAAAGTTATCTGCATTCAATTACTCTTAAATATTTGACCATGGCTACAAGGATATCAAATAAGTACACTACACTCATTACTCTGTCATCTCTTGCCTCTGTATTAAAAACTAACATCTTCTTAATCAGTTTGATATTCGAAAAAATAGAACTGTTTTGATAACCCCGGATAACCTATGCTGGAAATTAAATATATCATTGATTAACTTACTTAGAATTTATTTGGAAGGATAAACATACTCTGCTTACTTTGCTACTAAATTAACCGTCTGAACCTATGTTACATTATTATCTCATATGCCATACATATTCATACAAGATTACCATAATTAAATCACTACACTTGTTACGACGGAACGTTTACATAAACAAGTTAACTTTATCTGAAGCATAACTCGACTCACAATATCATTGTTATCTCAATCTTTATACCGATGTAAATAAAGCCTTTCTATTAAACCTGACCCACATTATAAAAAATCGCGATAATCTTAATCGTGGGCCGTGATCACATGGCCAATCCATCAAATTACTTATGTCATAGTCATGAACGGCAGTTGAAACAATTTGGTCAATGAAAAGTTATGAAATTGGTTAAGGAATGCTATTGTTTATGTTGCACGTTTTTTTCTTTGTACTGTGAGTATGTTTATATTGATACGTCTATTGTAATTTGTAATAGATATAGTACTAACACTTTTCTTTCACGATCACGATCTTTCAAACATCAATCTATGACTTGTCATCTGATCGTGAATCTGATAAAATGTTTTATGTACATAGTGGGATTATATTCCAAAATATGTGATTAGCTTGGAAATGTTATCATAGGAATCACATCTAAAATATAAAACTACTAAGACGATTGATGATAAGCGAGAATATAAATATTATACTGGGGAATGTACAAGATACCTCTACCAGCTTCTTGAGAATTAACTTCTTATTATAGATTTGAAAAAGAAACAATTTTATAAGAACAACAACTATAGATAGGTATTTATTCTTAGCAGACTTATTCTTATTACTCTACTTTTGTAATAGTAACTTTCACATTGTATGCCCTTGATCGCTATAATAGCAAATATTATCCATTTACCTGTTGATTCAACTGGAACACGGAGATAAGCTGGTCAAACTAACCCCGAGAAGGAAGTAATTAGCTAGATAAATCTAGACAGGTGTTTCCCCAACATAGGACGTGAATTAAATTAGAATAATAATACCAGAGAAAAATCTACTGCCTTACTCATTTTTGGAAATTCAAATTATTTTCTGCTATGATCAGCATAACAAATTAGGAACACGAAACGCAATTTATAAGACCTAGATATCTGACATTCAAATTCATCAGGATGTTGAACAGCTTTACCACTGCCATACTGTGATAATAAAATTGACCCCTAAAATCAGAACTAGAAATTATTTAAACAAATTCAAAAATCTTATCTCTGTACAGTTTTATAAAAAACACTTTTTTAGTTCCCAAAAGAAAATAATTTTAACACGTTAGTGTTTTTGATTTCTAACACAACATGATATGTGTAATATGTTTTAAAGGATATTATGAGTTTTTGCGAAATCAAATTAGGCATAATTTCCGCCTTTAGTACCTGTATAGTTTCGGTAGCTGATAATAATACTTACGCACGTAATCTCAATGAGATTTATTGCAAGTTGAGTGGTTTACTCTCTGGGCTATACACGGAATTTCCTGGTTTGAAGGCTGCGTTCTCGAACTCCGGTTTAGCGTTTAAAATTAGGTCGGGTAGAAATAGAACTAATGATTCGATAGAACTAATCATTACGACCACCTCAATCAGAATACGTAATTGTATTAGTAGATACTTACATAATTATAAACTTGAAATCCCCGGAGGAATGGATTGAACTATGTATGATTCAATTTCCGAATAAAAACTAAAAAAAGATCATTGATCGAGGACTAAAAGTCTGTTGCTTAGCACTTGCACTTTCGACGAACATGATCAACAACACAGTTGCTATCATGATCACTGTCTCATTATACATTTCTATGTCACCTCACATTCACATACATAGTAACCAGTTCTAAACGTCCTCTAATCTATTAACATGTATGGCGACTGTGACGTAGATAGCGTCACATACTCGTATGTTAATAGTCTGTGACGTCAGCTCGAGCCAGTTTTACAAGCTCGCTTAGCCACCAGCTGACCGGGAAATGCCTACAATGCTCTAGAACAATAAATTAATTACTACATACCTCGTTGTTTAGTTAATGTTGTCCATTATTGGATTACGTTTTATGATCCATTTAGATTTAAGATAAAAAATAAGGTAATGAAAATTATTTATGTCTTAAATTTGAGTGCCATTGTGTAATGAGGTAAAAATGATAAAGTTTTGGCACCCTCGAACATTATCAAATTTCGACCTGACATTGGTATCAACTAGTAACACATAACATCAGGCCTTTTATCCCCGAAGGTAAAGGCAGAGGTACACATTGCGGCACTTAATGCCTCTGTGCAGTGTAACATCCACTTTTCACTATTTATGTTATGAGTCCCATGTAATAGGGAGTGAGTGAGCCCATTTCCAGACTCCGTGTTGCTAATGAGAATTAAAAAAAAACAGTAATTCTTTGCCCGACTCGGGAATCGAACCCGAGACCCCTTGCCCGCCGTCAAACTTGCGACCAATCGGTCAACGAGGCAGCAACTAGTAACAATCCCAAAACTATTTGGACTACCTTGAAACGGATCTTAGCGTAGATACAATTATAACATTAATAAAATGTATTTCTCTTGTAGTACCCATAAAGCAACAAGTCTACTGAATAAAAATAATTAAGAATTTCAATAAAAGTAAAATTGGGTACTTGCCACCTAGTCAAATTCAATACTTTTTTCGATCTTTCAAAAACAACAGTTTTCTATGTACTTTATACGCGATTATGTGACGTCACCTTTTTTAGCGTCACACAGCACACTAATTCTTAAAAATTTGCTAGTAAAATACTAAAATTAAGTTGGTCATAAAGTCAATTAATAAAAGTTATTTTTTAATATTTAATTGTATTGAACAGTCGAAACAATTTATTTTTGATTAAGGAAAGTACCCAATTATTAAAAAATATCAACCTATTTTCTACTTTCAGGTTGATTAGAATTACCTAAGAGATATTTGTATAACCTATATTCAATCGCACAGCTGTATAAACCGCTTTCAAAATCTAGAAACATGACTACATGCCAAACTGGAATTGCAAAAAGCGATCTAGTTACGCATATTAATATAATTTATGTATTAGATATAACAAACAGATTACTAACTATTGTCGGCAGACATACCATGTGTAATAATTACTACTTAATTGTAAAATAAATCATAGTAAACAAATGCAATGTGTTAATACACCCATACGAATATGCTAAAACTACTTTTTACTCGTTCAATTTATGTTTTTTCGAATGTCGTTTCACAGACTTTTCTTAACACGTTAACCGCCGCGTAGGTCATCGGTGATCTACGTTAGCGGAGGATTTGCCTTCAGCAGTTTTCTGTCGACAGTCAAAGGCTTAAAGAAAAATTCAATGCAAATATTAAGTACCAATCTTTCATTCTGCAAGTTGATTGAGCAACAAATCATCTGTGAATCCTGGTGATGTCAATAACTAAGACTTCTATGAATATTTCGATTCCGACACATTAAAGTCTACTAGATCGTTTATCCGGAATGCGAATCAGTAAATCACATCACAGTGATCGATAATTCACGATTTAGATATTATAAATAGTTTACAATCCTTACAACATATTTAAGTATAATTAACAATAGACGCCTACGTGTTAATTGATGTAGATCCGGACAGATTTCAAAGCGTAGGTACAAATGTAAAGCAGGAACTGCGACCTTGGTACATGTCAAAGTTACACAGTCAAGGTGCGCGCGCATTTCTCCGCCCCACCGCGCTCGCGCACGCGCCGGCCGCGTTCTATAAAACCATACTGCAGGACCATTGACATTAATCAACTTTTGATTCTTACAACCTAAACACCAAAAATGTTCAGCAAAGTGAGTTGTTAGATTTAGTATTATTTTGAATACAAAAAGTTAAAATAAAAAGTTTTATTGAGTAGTGCTACGAACTATTCTAGTGAAAATACTAAAATTTTTCAATAATATTTTTTTAGTAAGAATAATAAAAAAAAATCCTAAATCATCAAAATTATTTTCAGATCGTAGCTTTCGGCGCCCTCTTGGCTGCTGCCAACGCTGGTCTTTTGGGACATGGCCACGCTGTGTCCTCTCAGAGCATTGTCCGTCACGACGAGGCTCATGTCGCTCCTCTGCACTACGCCGCTGCCCCCGTAGCACACTACGCCGCCCCCGTCGTAGCCCACTATGCCGCTGCCCCCGTAGCTCACTACGCTGCCCCCGTAGCTCACTACGACGGCCACGACACTTACGTATGACTTAAATCATCATAACTTAAAATTATTTTTCCGAAAATGTTGTTTTAAATTCAACATTAATAATAATTGTTTTTTACCATAGGCTCACCCCAAATACGACTACGCTTACTCCGTGGCTGACCCCCACACCGGCGACCACAAGTCCCAGCACGAGAGCCGCGACGGTGACGCCGTTCACGGATACTACTCCCTGGTGCAGCCTGATGGTTCCGTGCGCAAGGTCGAGTACACCGCTGACGACCACCATGGGTAAGTTCTAAAGAAATTCGTAGACGTTTCTTAGGTACGATGATTTTTCTGTTATGATGCAAAATAAAAATGGTTCTTATTGTTTCAGTTTCAACGCTGTCGTACACAACTCTGCCCCCGCTGTACACCCCGCCCCCGCCCCCGCCCATGGCTACCATCATTACTGAACGTTCCTGAATGAGTGATTGTTATGAATGTTTGACCTACAACCTACCTATTTATATTTTTGTATGAAACTTGTGTGAAATGAGAATGATGATAAACTTTAAAAAATACCTATTTCTTTCATTTCGTCTTAAACAACCTGTATAAACTTTACATATAATTATAAAAAAGTTACTTGTATCCGTTTGTGTGACAGATGCAACAGTTTATTTTTCAAAGATATGACGATAATTTTCGCAAAAGCTCCTCCACGCTGAGGATAGCCTGAGCCAGTCGAAATACCGAAACTGAGAGAGTGAGAGATCTTCAACCCAAAGAATAGGAAGGATTTCCCACACACATACATAACATAACATCACGCCTTTTGTCCCCGAAGGGGTAGGCAGGGGTGCATATTACGGCACCTAATGCCACTGTACTATTTATGTTATCAGTCCCGTGTAATACGGGGTGAACTTATTGCCATATATCGGGCACAATTCCAGACTCCGTTCTACTACTGAGAGTTTTTTAAACCCGACTCGGGAGTCGAATCCGAGACCCCTTGCCTGGCAGTCGTACTTGCGACCACTTGGCCAATGAGGTACTCAGATTTCAGTCAGATTCAGATTCAGTCAGATTTCCCACACACAGTACATACAAGGAAAGTATCGGTCACCGTTCCAGTCTCCGTACCACTAATGAGAGCTTTCGACAGAAGAAAATACTCTTTGCTAGACCCGAGAATGTAACTCTTAACAACTTAGTCAAAAGTTGCATTTGCGACCAACGAATCAGTCAACGTTACCTTTATTAAATAGGTACCTATAGTTTTTATTACAATGCAAACCTAAATAATCTATAACGACCCTCCTACCTCTCTTATTTCAAAATCAATCACTCTGTATTTTGTAATTTTGAAGTTTTGTCCTGATCCTGTATGAATGTCGAACTAAGAAGTAGGTCATATTACTGACGGAAAAAGCAACATATAGCCGAATTGATAGCCTCCTCCTTTTTGGGAGATCGGTTAAAAAATAGATTTTCCAGAAGATACTGGTTTTTTAAATTGATCCAGCTAGTTTTGGAATTTATTCATTGTAACCAAACGAAACATTAAACCTCATCATCAACAGTTCCAGATAGGATAGGACACTGCTAGACTATGGCTCAACTACAAAAAAACGGGTTTGCTATAATCCCCTAGAATATATGCTTCCCAGTAATAAGAATACAAGGCTATTGCTATCCTGTTGCATATTTATAACCTCCAATTATGTACCTAGATAAACTGTTAGCACAAAATAACTATAGAACCAACTATAAAAAATAGCACCTTATGAATACGTCTCAACCTTTCACACTAATATTATAAATGCGTGTTTCTTTATTTGCATGTCTGTTCCTGAATCACGCTGAAACTACTGATTATAATGAAATTTTGTATAAAGGCAGGGTATGGGCTCACTTAGGTAATAGGATACATTTCATCCCTGTCAAATTCTCCCATTGGCTAATACAGGAATCATATTCTACGTGGACGAAGTCTCAGGCAACAGCTAGTACCAAATAAAGAATGTAATAAAATCTTAAAACTTATTTATAACTCACTTCTATTAATAGAATATAACAGTTACTGTGTTCATAATTGCTTTAATTTAGTTGCTGTTTATAATAGAATTCAGAACTATTTTTACAATTTAATTACGTTAGTATATGAAGGTTATTTTGTTAACGGTTCAAATTTAAAGTAATTGTAGTGATTAATTGTCAGAGGTTTTTAAAATAACTATCGAGAGACATACTATATTAAAGTAGGCGGCGCGACACCACCGCACCCACCCATGCTACTCAAGACGAAGACCCACTCTGTGGCTCGAAACCAGTAGAGCTTCTCTCAGTATATTCACCTGAGTAATCCGCGATTTCAAGTTAATGTAGATGTGTAACTAAATTCAAAGAATAAGAATATATTATTCCAAATATATTATTTTACTAACCTTGTGGAAATTGAAAAAGATTTTTTTTTGAATAGGACAAAAATAAGATGCTAATAAAGGTCTAGAGAGCAGTAAGCTAATTCTATTTTATGTTGTACACGTATGACTATGTAGTATACCCATTATCTGTTAGTATAATTATTATACATCATTTAAAGAAACTGTTGTTGACCAATAATTGAATTGGAACCTGGACCTCATGGTAATACGAACAAAAAAGATCCTAAAATTAAGAAATTTATGCTGAATTAAGCTTATAAAATATTCGCAGTAACCAAGGTTTCAATGGTTAATTAAAATACTTACTTATGATTACACAATATCCAATAAGTTGAAAATTATTTTAAGAATCTGACACAGCTTTAATTTTGAACATCATTATCATCATCAACAATCTAAGTGCCCACTGCTGAGCAAAGCCCCTTCTCATACGGAGAAGGTTTGAGCATTAATCACCACGCTTGGTTGTTGCGGGTTGGCGATTTCAACCTTATGATTAGAAATTATAAATCCAGGTGTTCTCATGATATTTTCCTTCACCGGTTGTCAGTGATGTCTAGATAATCTTAAAAGGAACATATAACTCGGAAAACTCACATTGGACACACACAATTACACATAGGAAACTAACAATGACTAAGCATTTCTAACCTCTCCAAACTAAAGAGTATACCTCTATAATAATAATATGTCGAAAGAACAAAGAAACTCACTTACTTAATATCCACGATATTTATTTGATATCACCAGAATTAATGTAGGTTGAGGATTAACTCCTACAATTAAGTCATCAAAATTTTACAGAACATATTATACCTAAAGCTTGTTAGTTAAATAGTTTTAAGACATGCACGTAATTAGTATCATTAATATCTATGCTATTCACATGCATTTTTTTATTGTTGTTTTTAATAAATCTATGAACAAACAAGAACACCTCATACACAACACCCCGGTTGCATGTAACAATTGAAACTGTAACCTACACATAGCAACACGTCACAGTAATACAGTCAAGGTGCGTGCGCATTTCTCCGCCCCACCTTAACAACGCATATTCAGTTCGCGTTCTATAAAACCATACGCTAGATCTATTGACATTATCAATCAACACTTGATACTAACAAATAATACAACAAAATGTTCAGCAAAGTACGTGTAAATATTATAATTTTTATTAAATAATTCATCCTGAGACAAAAACTATTAAAATTATTTTTCCTTTCAGATCGTAACTTTGAGCGTGCTGTTGGCTGCTGCCAACGCTGGCTACTTGGGCCATGGTCACGCTGTGTCCTCCCAAAGCATCATTCGTCACGATGAGTGCACGGGGCACTACGCTGCTCCCGTCGCCCACTACGCCGCTCCCGTTGCCCACTACGCCGCTCCCGTCGCTCACTACGCCGGCCCCATTGCTCATTACGCTGCCCCAGTCGCACACTACGACGGCCACGATACTTACGTAAGTATTCATCTTACTATTTATAAATATGTTTAAGATATTTATTTCAAACAATCAAAATTAAAATAAATCTCATAACTCTTTCAGGCTCACCCCAAATACGATTTCTCTTACTCCGTGGCTGACCCCCACACCGGTGACCACAAGTCCCAGCACGAGAGCCGCGACGGTGACGCTGTGCACGGATACTACTCCCTGGCTCAACCTGATGGTTCCATCCGCAAGGTTGAGTACACTGCTGATGCCCACAATGGGTAAGTTCGCTAAAAACACTTACATTAATGGAAAAATCATAATTTCCTTTTATAATTTCATAAATAAATTTATTATTTCTCTATTTTCAGTTTCAACGCTGTGGTGCACAACTCCGCCCCCTCCGTACACCCCGCTCCCGTTTATGGACACGCTTACCATCATTACTAAATGAATACTATCCATAATTTATTTATTGTTTGTAAATTGATTTGTATATATTAAATGACATGAAAAAAATACTGTTACATTTTCAATTACTATTTTAGGTACCTTACATATACACTTTTAAACTCGATTATTAAGGAACAGAGAGTTCTAAAATTAACATAAATAAATCCGCTCCATAGATTTTTAGATTTAACACGTGGATTGTTGGAACTCAGAACTATGCAAGACACAATGTGTTTTCTATTGTGCGTCATATACAATCAAGAGGCTAAACAACGAATAACAAAAAATCGACAAGAAATGATCCCCTGCTTAAATTATATTAGAAAATTATACCTTCTCATGATAATAATAACAATATTCGCAGTAGCATCGAATTAACTTTGACATTTGACATTGAACTTAATTATCTCATCGTACAATTATGACAAAACACAAGTTATCTCTCACTTAGTTTATTTTCTGCTACTCGCTACAAACAACCATTTAGGTTGTCGGTGTATTTACCAGTTATGAACACAGTCAATATATGTATGTATGTGCGGTTTATTCCACTTTGTTCACCTGGGTGATTTCACCTAGGTGAACAAAGTAGACTTTTTGGAGTCCTCAATTCACCTGGGAATTATTTCACCCAGGTGACATCACCTAGGTGAATTGAGTTGACTCAAGTAGTCTCCTTTGTTCACTTGTCAATTTAATTCACCCAGGTGCACAAAGGCGACTTTTTACTTTTACGTTGTGGACTTATATTACCTACCTACCTTACATCAAGTTAAATAAAAACTTTCAATTTAACATACATTTTAATGTGTTCAAATATCAGATTAATGTTGGTCTATTACACATGCAAAAATATATCACAATTTCTAACACTACGCTAGGAGTTCCATGTAATAGGGGTGAGCTTATTGCTGTCCACTGGGTATAATTCCAAACTTCATAGTGTTTCATGCACCTTAACTACCTATAGGTACATTCAGATACTTTTTTAAATTATGGATGAATGATAGTATTATAAAAGTAAGACTAAACAAATATAAGCAGAAAGCTCGAAACTCCTAACCTTTCGTGGGTTACACGTGTTATTGTGAGTCAACCATAATGACAAAAGTGAGTCAAACATTAATCTAATATTTGAACATATTAAAATGTATGTTAAATTGAAAGTTTTTATTTAACTTGATGTAAGGTAGGTGATATAAGTCCACAACGTAAAAGTAAAAAGTCGCCTTTGTGCACCTGGGTGAATTAAATTGACAAGTGAACAAAGGAGACTACTTGAGTCAACTCAATTCACCTAGGTGATATCACCTGGGTGAAATAATTCCCAGGTGAATTGAGGACTCCAAAAAGTCTACTTTGTTCACCTAGGTGAAATCACCCAGGTGAACAAAGTGGAATAAACCGTATGTGCATATTATTATTTTTGTGTCACTCAGCATATCTCAAATTTCAATATTCAGTCGCTCAGAGACTGAATATTTATTAAAATTAGTAACATTATGTTAGAATACCTCTTAATTTATTATGATTTTAGGTATATGGGTAGTTATGTTATGTACCCAGATCGCACTGATCTTGGTAAAACATTCAATTACTAGGAAAAGTAATTGGGTAAACACCAAAAACTACTTTAAAAACATTCTGATATTGGGAACGATACGACTAAAATATTGACTAGATCAGTTATAACAGCTTTAACCGAGAAAATTTTAAATTTAACAAGCATTGCTGGTAGTAAGTGTAGTTAAACAATATTTTTGGTCGTACAAATACATTTCCCATCACAGATTTTTTTATCAGTACATAACAGCATATCTGTTATACGTGCAAAAGAAAACCAAAATGTTTATTGTTAGTTTAACCTATAGTATAGAGCAAACATTAAAATAACTATAAAATATTTAAAGATTACTTTTTTAAAACCCTGATTATGTATTTTTGAGTTTTATTAACTTCTAATTATACACTGGAAAGTCATGTTACGCTTGTTTCTTAACAAAACGGCGATATATCGAACTAATTAAAAATTAGCAATTATCGCTTAAAGCAACTTCACAGTCGATATTAATCTATCCCAAGTCACGCTCTATTAAAAGTATGTACTATCGAACTAGATGTCGGCCCGCAGCGGAGAGCGAAACACTATGGCTTTAAGTAACGTTTATTAGAATATAGATTTAAACATAAAGTTACGCCCACTATTATCAGTGAATTATATATACAGATATTAAAATCGTAGAAAAGTCTAAACTGTACATTGAATATTTTTTAAAAAGAATACTTGAGTCGTGAACTACAATCGATACCAAAGCCAAAAATATGGTATTTAGAATTTTTGTTTGTTTGTCTATATGTACATATGTGCGGGATGATCTCCAAAAGTACGGCATGGATTTACTTCAAATTTTGCATGAATATTACTAACAGGTCGGGTCAATATATAGGCTACATATTATCACGCTATCATCTACGAGGAGGGGGGAGCTGTGAATCACAATTCCACGTGAACCAAGTCGCGGGCAATAGCTCGTTCTACATATTAAAATAGCCATTAGGAATAATTTCTATTCCAACAGAAAAAAACATTCCATTGTAATAGAAAAACGCTTTACGAAAACAGCGTCACTTCTCACCAAATTGTTTTCAGCTAAAATAGTCTCTGTATTCTCTCCGACTTTAATTGTGAAAGAAAGACTAGAAACACACGATTACACATTTGCGTTTATTATATTAGAACGGACTAACACATATGATATAATCTATAATAGATCTAAAATGTTTAGTAGTACTCCCCTACAAAATCCGGTTGCTGAAAAACATAGTTCACGTTTAGACGTGTCGAGTATATCAAAAATTAGCATAGGCCATCTTCAAGTCTTATTGGATTTTGAAGATTTAATGACAAAATAAAAAGATAGGTTACATGATTAAGGTTTACACTGGTAGGGGAAGAAAAAGGCTAATTGTTCAAAACTAACCGAAATCCCTGCTGTGGACGTATTACAGTTGCTTTTTACAATCCCTATCTAATTAAATACTTTTTATAAATCTACAATAGAGGTATAGACAAATTATTGGTGATACTTTTTCAACCATCGGATTGTAAATATACTATCAAAAATATGTCAGTAAACTGACTTGTTGAATCAAATATTATTTTATCGACGTTTACGTAATAAAACTGCGACCTTGATACATATTAAAGCATTTAAACAATTCAAAGTCAAGAACGCGAACGCATTTCTCCGCCCCACCAAGAGAGCGTAAGTTGCAAAGCTATTAGCATATAAAACCACCATTCAACACGTCTATTAGCATCAATCAACACTTGACCTTTGAAAACTTTACAACAAACATGTTCAGCAAAGTAATTAGACATTTTACTTTTTAATATAAATAAGAACGTTTTCCTAATACAGGTTGAATTAAAATTTGTTCATTGATAAAATTAATTTTATACCGTTATACTTGCAGATCGTAGCTTTGAGCGCGCTGTTGGCCGCTGCCAACGCAGGCCACTTGGGCCATGGCCACGCTGTGTCCTCCCAAAGCATTGTCCATCATGATGAACCCGCACACTACGCCGCTCCCGTGGCTCATTACGCCGCCCCCGTCGCCCACTATGCCGCTCCTGTAGCTCACTACGCCGCTCCCGTGGAACACTACGATGGTCATGACACATACGTAAGTAAACAGTTTTTTTTTTATTAATTGTATACGAAAGATGTGAAATAGAATAATGCAATAAGTAAATTAATGTTCCAGGCTCACCCCAAATACGACTTCGAGTACTCCGTGGCTGACCCCCACACCGGTGACCACAAGGCCCAGCACGAGAGCCGCGACGGTGACGCCGTGCACGGATACTACACCCTCGTGCAGCCTGATGGTTCCGTGCGCAAGGTTGAATACACCGCTGATGACCACCATGGGTAAGTCATGTTGTCTATCAACGCAAAGAAAATGTAAATATCTAGATCTAGTCATAAGTCAGTATATTATTGACTATTTTATTTTTATTTTCAGTTTTAACGCTGTTGTACACAACACCGCTCCCATCGTCCACGACCACGGACATGGACACGACTACCATCATTACTGAATGATCATCAATGACTGATTGTGTTATGCCTATTTATTATTTTGTACATAATGACTGTGATATGCGATTACTAAATACATTATTTTTCTGCTAAAATCATAATTCTTTATTTTCTATCCTTTTCATTTACATTCACAAATCTGAGCATAGAACTGAAAAGAAATTAATAGATCAATTTATCACTTCATAAATATATTGTAGACTGTATTTTCATATATACATCAGTGCTGAAACAATTAACTTGAAACAGTAAAACGAAACGACATTCTATGAAATGACGATTCTATTTTATTTCAATCATGATCGTCCCATTGCAGGGCAAAGGCCTCCCTACCCTCCTTCCACTCCTCTCTATGTAAAGCTTTTTGCGACGAATCCTTATCACGATTCTATTAAAAATCGGTAAAATATAAAAGTAATATAAATTAATTGATACACTTTATATCAATAATTGATTATGTTGGTTTTCCTGTCCTTTTTGTTGACTCTCTCTCTTTCTTTTGAAGAATCTGACTAATCCTTCTACTACGATTTTCTCCTAAGTTCTGTAAATGAAATAGTTTATTAACACAAATCACAACCAGAACCAAAATAACAAAACGTGGAGCAGGCAATAAATTATCTCGTACGGGAATCGAATCCGTGGTAATCGATACTGTTTGACCCTTCTACAATGTGTCCTACACAAGAATACATCAGAATTAAAAAAAACACACTAATCTTCCAAATTCCAATACATGCAAAAGCATGAAAATTTATATTATCTGACGTCTAACACTCTACCAATACCTTTTTTTATGACGGGGGGAAACCTTCAAAAGGCGCCTAGCCTTTTTGGGGATAAAAGACTAGGGAGTGTGGGATTTTTACCTCACTAAAACCACCCCGGTGGCCACCCTCAATACCTGAATGGAGGCCAGTCTTCTAAAAGAGACTCTACCAATACCTACTTACATAATTGTAAGACTACATAAATATTGATATCAAAACAGCTCCCATAAGACTTGATTACAAAGATAATTAAAAAAAAATACCGGTCGAAACTTTTTACCAGTCCTAATATTTTTTATATTATTTATATTGGTATTTAGATTAATAGTTATGGCTTTAATATGCGATCTAAAAGAATGTACGCGTTATTTGCAATTGTAATTACTTAATTACTAAAACAACGCACTCACTAATTGGATTCGCATCGATGAAAAACGTTGCTTAAGAATTGACACTTACTACTATATTTTTTAATTAACCTAAATCTGTAAGGGGTTGATATACTTATTGTTATGAACAAATTCTAGAACCTAACTACAACAACAACATTAACAGCCTATAAGTGGCTACTGTTGACCAAAGGCTTTTAAGAGTGGGAGAGCCATGCTTCGGCACGAATGGGCCGGCTCGACCGGAGTGATACCACGGCCTCACAGATGACCGACGTGAAGTAACGCTTGTGTTGTGTTTCGTCGTGTAAGTGAGGTTACCGGAGGCTCAATTACCCTCCCCTTCCCCAATCTCCCCAATTCCTGAATCCCCAACGATCCTCAAACTCCTAATCCCCAAAAGGCCGGTAAGGCACTTGTAACGCCTCTGGTGTTCCAGGTGTCCATGGGCAACGCCGATTGCTTACCATCAGGTGATCCGTCTGCTCGTTTACCGGTTTATGCCATAAAAAAGGCCTTTTTCTCACACGGAGAATGTTTGAGCATTAATCACGCCGCTTGCAATGCAGTGTTGGCGATTACAATTAACTTATAATTAGAAATTATAAGACGTTTTTCAGTGGTGTCTAAATAATCTTTGAAAGTGCATATAGCTCAGAAAAGTCACATTGGCACTTGCCGTTGATAGGTTTCGAACCCACACCCTCGTGATTGAGAAGCAGGCGTCTTAAACCTCCGGACCACCACGACACTAACTACAATTCGTAAAAAATGTTGTTAAAAAGCACCATTCTCTCTTCACATCATTCTTCTCTCTCAAGAGAATTACATCAACCAGAAACTTTTTGAAGAAATGTAAAAAATAGACGTAACCCAAGCTATCTTGGGTGAAATGGTAAAATATAAAAGTACCTGAACACGACTGCCTCATCGATTTAATAGTTATGAGTGCGGAAAAGTAACTTGAGATTCTAGTTCTAATGAATGTAGTCACAGTGTCAATGAGTTGATAACCTATTTATAAAATAACCTGCTTAACTATGGTGTTTGAGGATTTTTCCAATTACAACACAAGCCACTAAGAGTAATTTAATAAAAATTTTTTTTCATCTACTGTAGCCTGCAAGACTAGAGAGATTACTGTATATATAAAGTGTTCACATTTAGTAGTAATTCGCAGCTTAATTTATACAATCATACTGTATAAAGTTTTCATAAGTAGGTATTACTCATTTATAAAATTTGGACCTGGCACATGTAAATAAAAATAATCTAATATTCACCATACTGCAAAAAATGTTAACGTTATATAAAATGAAGATATTGTAACTATGGCCTCGTTATGTGTCAAAGTATACACAGTCAAGTGAACACATTTCTCCGCCCCACCCAGTAGACGCAATAGGCTCTGCATTTCATATATAAAACCGAACCCCACTTACGTTAATATCAAATAACGTTTAACCGTTACAAATTCTACAAGTAAAATGTTTTCCAAAGTGAGTAGACATTAAAAGGGTTTTAGTTACGGAAAATTAAAATAATTATTCATTCTTATACGGATTTAAATCAAAGTTATTGGCTAATCGTTATGGATTTTACAGATCGTAGCTTTGAGTGCACTGTTGGCCGCGGCCAGCGCTGGCTACCTGGGCCACGGGCATGCCGTGTCCTCCCAAAGTGTCATCCGTCACGATGAACCCCATCATTATGCTGCTCCTATAGAACATCATGCGTACTATGACAGCCATGACGTACATGTAAGCCACATATATAATTGACGACTCATTTTTATTATACAAAATTACAATACCACCTTGGTTTTTTGTATTCCGTGATACCAGCAATTATTTAATATTTTGGTTTTTAATATCAGGCCCACCCCAAATACGATTTCTCTTACTCCGTGGCTGACCCCCACACCGGCGACCACAAGTCCCAGCACGAGAGCCGCGACGGTGACGCCGTGCACGGATACTACACTCTCGTGCAGCCTGATGGCTCCGTGCGCAAGGTTGAATACACCGCTGATGCCCACAATGGGTAAGTTGACCATACCCATATACTGTAGTAAAATCATTTCTTTAATAAATGTTCGTCTATTCAATAATATCTTTGTTCTATATTTTTAGTTTCAACGCTGTAGTCCACAACACCGCTCCCATCATTCACGACCACGGACATGGACACGACTACCATCATTACTGAATGATCATCAAAGACTGATTGTGCCTATTTATTATTTCAGTTTCGACGTGAAAATGAAATGAGAATGAATGATTGAAGAAATATAGTTTTTACATAAAAATGTTATCTTTTTCTTTCAAATAATTCTACATCACCTTTTATACCCGAACCTTAATAATTACATGACTTTCATAAAAACGTTGCTTTCGGTGGATTTAAAAACAGAGTCATGTAAAAGTCTAAATATTTATCTTACTTCTAACTTAACGACGAACTGAAAGTTATGGAAATCAAAGTAAAAGCCCGTGTCCAGCATATCTATCTCGTCTGGTTTAATGATTACAAATGCAGTAGACAGCTTGAGAAGAACTTTGAAATAATGTTTTAGGTACTCATACAAACCAAAAATGTAGTTTATATCATCACGAAAGAAGCTGTACTACAATTGTAGATATGCCATGAAAATAAATTAAGTTATACACTAATTACCTTTGCTTGGATTAAAACGTATGATTTGCACAGAATTATAAAACTTGTTTTCTTTGAATTTTTTATAAAGAATGAATTACATACATACATTTTCAAACCTATAACATACATTTTACAAAAGACAAACATTACTAATTGCAAGTACAAAACTATTAGGTATGTATACAACAATTGATATTAACATTTATTTTAGATGGCGTTAATATCCAAAAGGTAATTAGATTTTATTTATGACAACTTAAACTATTAAACAAAATTAAACAATGAAAAAAATTTTACATATTCTATTGAATAACTCATTTAAAACATTTAATTTCAAGTAACTTATTTACCGGAAATGCATATATTTAATGCATTTATTAAATGTTGATATTATCTAAAAAGACTACAGCGGCCACCGGCTGCCGTGCAACGTGTAGCGGGTTCGATTCCCACGCGGAGCAACTCTTTGTTTGATCCACAAATTGTTGTTTCAGGTCTGAGTGTCATGTATATGTGATATTGTATGTTTGTAAACGCACCCACGTCACAGGAGAAATACCTAGTGTAAATACCCAGATCAGGATAAATTGCTACTCATTTTCAACTTTTTAGTTGTAATTTTCCTAATTTGAGAATGGTACTTGTTTCCTGTTACAATCACAACATCAATTGATAATAACGATTTAAAAAAAACAAGACAATTCTAATCTCCAAAATGCCGGTAAAAAATTTGTAACGCATGCGATATTCCAAGAGCCCCATTGCAACTTAAAATTAGTAACGCTATTCTTAGTAATTTTAGCGTAGCTTATTTGTCTGAATTAATTTAATTTATCTCACAATATTTATTATACCAAGATTATAACAAAATCAGTTAGAGTTAATTCCTAGATTAGGTATAAGTACATTATAAAGGTCATATTCGAAGATAGAATCCTCTAGTCGTCAAACATTGCAAAATGAATGATTTTGCATATGTTGCAGCTAAATAATGTATATATCTACCCATCCCTTCAAAACTTAAAGAACGATGTTATATAATATTAACTGACAAATATTTATTCTCGATATTTAAGTTGAAAAATAGACACAAATTATTTCTTGTAAGCACGCTTTTATTGTATTTGTGACCTTGATGCTTGTCAAAGTATACAAAGTCAAGTGCACGTACATTTCTCCGCCCCACCCATTCAGCGTACAAGCCTTTGTATTTCATATATAAAACCATACTACAATTAGATTGATATCAAACACAGTTTGACCGCTAAAATTATTCAACAAAATGTTCAGCAAAGTGAGTATTCAAAAATTTTTCAGTGTTATTAATTATGTTATGAAGTGTAAATACAAAGTTATAATGAATTGTGTTTTTTTTTCAGATCGTAGCTTTGAGCGCGCTGTTGGCCGCTGCCAACGCTGGCTACCTGGGTCATGGTCACGCTGTGTCTTCCCAAAGCATCATCCGTCATGATGAACCCCTGCACTACGCAGCTCCCGTAGCGCACTACGCTGCTCCCGTCGCCCACTACGCCGCCCCTGTGGCTTACTACGCCGCTCCCGTAGCTCACTACTCCGCTCCCGTAGCCCACTACGACGGTCATGACTCATACGTAAGTGATTTTATAATTTTTGGTGCTAAAAAGTATTAGGTCTGATCTACCTTTTCAGAAATTAATGGATTTTGCCACATACATTATGTAAGTATTGATAGTAATTATGTTTTCTTTTATGACACCAGGCTCACCCTAAATACGACTTCGCTTATTCCGTGGCGGACCCCCACACCGGCGACCACAAGTCTCAGCACGAAAGCCGCGACGGTGACGCCGTGCACGGATACTACTCCTTGGCTCAACCTGACGGTTCCATCCGCAAGGTTGAGTACACTGCTGATGCCCACAACGGGTAAGATGTCTATAACTACTCATATTAATAAAAAAAATGACTTTATTGTTTATGTTTGTATTTACCAAGTAAATAAAGTAAATAAAAAATCAAGTAAATACATTTATTGTTTACTTCAAAAAATAAATGTATTTTCTCTATTTTCAGATTCAACGCTGTGGTGCACAACTCCGCTCCCTCTGTACACCCCGCCCCCGTCCATGGACACGCTTACCATCATTACTAAGTCATCAACAATAATTCATAATTGAGCTGTGCCTATTTATTATTTTGTACGAAACAAATTATAATGAATGATATTAAAAAAATTAACTGTGATAATCCACAAACATTTGTGTTGTTGTTTCAAAGTAGCTAACCTATGGTCATAATTGGTAATTATTGTGTTGTCCTCCTAAATCCTAAGTCACATGACCAGGCTAGAATATAGAGATATGGTGAAGTTTTTAAATTTTTAAGTTTATGGTTAAGAGATTTCTTTACTAGTATCTAATTAATCAGGACCAACAATTTATTTACTCGCTAAAATTTTACATAAAGTTGCTTCGTGGTTAGTGCAATGACTAACCAGCTAAACAACTGCTACACATCATGTCGTCGTGGGTTCGATTTCCGCCGGCACTTTTAGAGTATTCGGTTTTCTACCGCATGCATTTCGGTGAGTGTGCTGGGAAATTGCACAAATTGATTCCCCCTAGTCTTTTTCATCATCGTACCATAAGACAATCGGCGAAGCGTCACCGATTCACGATAGATGTCCCACCCACACGAAGCGCTTCACAATTAGCTTCCTTGTGCGTACTGGTAAGAAGTGGGAGTCTGTGTTTCCTGATTATATATGTATAACCTGGGTGTCTTCAAGGCCCGAGTGAATAGGTTGCTTAATGGTTCGACGTGCTCTATTGTAAACCTCATTATCGCTTACCACCAGGCAAGATAGTGGTCAAACGTCGGCCCATAAAATATATAAAAAGACGACACCATTACATAATTCCATACTAGGATTACTACTTGACACCATCTAAGTACCCCAGGGAACTTAAGGGGTGGTATATCCCCTTACATCCCGACTTTATATTTATTCTATTAATATTTCTTCTTTCTTCGCGTCATAAGAATACAAACATTACCTAACGGTTTTATTTTCAACTAAAATCGAATAATAGTTTTTAATAGATAGGCTGTTGATGTGATGTAAAATCGAAGATTGTTCATTAATCCCCGTTTTGTAATTCATAATACGTATTATCACTTTACTTTTTAAACATTACTCTTTTTCTTGTCTTACCTTTTCCTTCAACTACCTACTGTCAGCGGCTTCGCGCGTCCCCGTGGAATAGTAAGTAGCCTATGTGTTATTCCAGATCATAGCTTCAGCCGTTTTGAAGTGATTGAATGACACACACACACACACACAAACTGACAATATTTCGTATTCAAGATGTTATAAGTAAGACACAACATTTTTTCCATTTAAACATTTCTGCACTACTTTCGCGGTGGCAACTGGCTGCCGCGCAACGTGTGGCGGGTTCGATTCCCGCACGGAACAACTCTTTGTGTGATCCAAAGATTGTTGTTCCGGGCCTGGGTGGCATGTGTATGTGAACTTGTATGTTTGTAAACGCACCCATGACACAGGAGAAAATCCTAGTGTGGGGCAAGGTTTTAAAAACAAAAACGATTTATTTTTAATATTTTATTTTTTACTTTATTTTTCAAGGTGTAAATATTTTAGTTTTAAATTGATGTTGGAGATTTCTCCTTCTCGGGGTTGACCCGGCGAAAATGGGCACCGCGTCCCGCGACCCGCAGGAAAAACGATGCTCATAGCCCCCTTCTAAATTAGTTTTAAATTATTTATATTTTAAGTTGTATATATTAATTATCTCATATTGCAGTAAAATATAAAAAAGTTATAACTAAAAAAAAGGGACATCTAGTAGCATCATAACGATTTTAATTTTGCTACCCTGTACCAATTGATATTTCGTCGACTCAGTGTATATATATTTAATTGTGTCCGATGTATATATACATGCTAATTAAAAAATAATAAAAGTGAATATGCTCCGTACAAAGAATCCAACAAAAGTACACTCATGAAAATGTCTTTTCGCCAGTCGCTGAACATCCGATGTAATAATGGACCAGCCCATAAATACGTACACGTAAATACAATACAATTCCTGCCTCAGTACCAAAAAAAATTGAAATAAATAAAATAATTAAACTTTTCATTACTGAGAATTTTAAGTTCTACCATCGGTGATCAATGAGACAGTCTCTCTTTTAATTTGATATAAGAGTGATATTTGTTTATAAATTACTTGGAAATGTTTTATTAAATTTAATTGTAATTAACATTCTGAAATTAATGAAAGCAATTCACAATATCAAACTCAACTTTGTAAATGTAAACTTGACATTTAGCATTTCTAAACATTAAATTTTTATAATAATTTATTATTTCACTAAGAGCAACAAACCGTTGGTAACAAAAATATTAAAATAATTCTTTTTTTAGTAATTATTGCCCGTAACACGGAACGTCTGTTAAACGAGTAATACCTATATCATCATCATCAACAGCCTATAAATGCCCACTGCTGAGCAAAGCCTCTTCTCACACGGAGAAGGTCAGAGCATTAATCACCACGCTTGCTCAATGCGGGTTGGCGATTTCAAACTCATAATTAGAAATTATAAGTCCAGGTTTCCTCACGATGTTTTTCCTTCACCGTTTGTTAGTGGTGTCTAAATAATCTTAGAAAGTACATATAACTCGGAAAAAGTCACATTGGTACTTGCCGTTGGTAGGTTTCGAACCCGCACCCTCATGCTTGAGAAGTGGGCGTCTTAAACCTCCGGGCCACCACGACATACCTATATTGCACATTCTAATATGCAGTTACCCTTAATTAAACAATTTGACACATATACACAACGGTTATAAAATTAAACGCCTTGATAGATATCAAAGTTATAAGTCAAGTGCACACGCATATCTCCGCCCCACTGCACTGGAAAAGAACTAAAGTAATTTGATATAAAACTAAATCTCTAATCAATTGACATCAATCGACATTTGATTGCAATAAACAATACAACTAAAAATGTTCAGCAAAGTGAGTATTAAAAGAAAAATATATTCGTTATAAAAAAACTGGTTTACGAGATAATTGTGAAAAAGAATCAGCAAAAGACGTCTTTAAAATCAATTTATTAAAGTTCATTCTTGCGCTTTTCAGATCGTAGCTTTCGGCGTTCTTTTGGCCACAGCCAACGCTTATGTCTACGGTCACGGTCACGCCGTGTCCTCCCAGAGCATTGTACGCCATGATGAAGCTCATGAGCTACCCCTTCATTACGCCGCCCCCCTGGCGTACTACGCCCCATCCGTAGCTGACTACGCCTATCCGGAGGGAGATTATGACGGCCATGATACTTTCGTTAGTAACCATCAATTTCAACTGAAGCTTATTATGTTTAGTAGGCATTTGTTATATATTAAATTGTAATTTCCAGGCTCACCCAAAATATGAGTTTGAGTACTCTGTATCTGACCCCCACACCGGTGACCACAAGTCCCAGCACGAGAGCCGCGACGGTGACGCCGTGCACGGATACTACTCCCTGGTGCAGCCTGATGGCTCTGTGCGCAAGGTCGAGTACACCGCTGATGACCACCATGGGTAAGTCTTAGTCTAAGTTTTACGTTGAACAATTCATCAATCTTTAAATCTTACAGCAGTACATTAATACACGACTTTTTGTGTAATTTTCAGGTTCAACGCTGTGGTACACAACTCCGCCCCTTCCGTACACCCTGAGCCCATTTATGGACACGCTTACTATTATTACTAAGTCATAATTAAGTGATATAATTGTGTTACCCTATTTATTTGCTTGTGTCATAATATAATTACTTTGAACTTACACTTAGGTTCCTTATTTTTCAATAACTATGTACCTACATATTATTGTGCTGAACTGCTACTTAATCAATAAAGGGCATATAATATTTTGATTACCAGAGGTACTTCATAACAATCAAGACTAAATAATGATATATTAAAAAGCTCAGCTGTTACTTCATTCATAGAAGATAAACGTAACACAAATCTTGTGACGAAACCACGAATTATCTCCAAAAATCTTGCTAAACTACAATCATTAGTATCATTACCTAAACAGTTGACTTGACAAATTGTTCTGTGGGCCGGTGGCTCTAAATAAATCGGTATCGTTGTATTAAAGCAATAAATATTACGGTCACACCATAAATTCCGCCTAAAATGATATATTATAATGTTGCCTAAACTGCGTTTAACTCGACCAAATAATATAAACACAGGAGGTAACGAAGGTTATAAAATAGTGACAGTATGCCTTGGACTGTGCGTTTATGTTCTGTAAAAATGCATTTACTAAAGTACAAAACAATTAAAACTGTACTGAAACAAAAATTAAAAGTATTTTTGTTATGATACTGGCCATGACTGATTTTGAAGTTAAAATAAGTTTTAGAATTTAAAATTTGTAATTGACGACCACATTATTTTGTTCTTTCTCTGTCGCATTATTGAATTTATTTGTCTACGATAGTTTTGTATTTTAAATATCTAAGTGTGGGAGAGCCATGCTTAGGCACGAATGAGGAACGACTGGAGTGATACCATGGCCTAACAGAAAACCAACGTGAAACAACGCTTGCGTTGTGTGTGTGAGGTTACTGGAGGCCTAATTAGCCCGACTTAATGATCTTCCTCCATAATCCTCGGATTCCTAATCTCCAAAAGGCCGATAACGCACTTGTTACGCCTTTGGTGATTCGTATATTCGTTAACCGCCTTAGGTCATAAAAAAAATTAAAACCTGAGGTTTAACCATCGCACCACTGTCAAGAACTTAAACAAATTGTATATCAAGTTTATAATAACATCAAATTAATAAGTAAATAAAATGACTATATTTCATGATAAAGCACAATTCAGAAATGCAAATCCTATCTTAATGTAATCTGAGTCGCTAGCTGATAATGTCCAAATGAAATTGTCTAACAATTTATTCTCAATAATAACTTTATTACATTATATTATTCTATAGATATTTTCCTTTCAAGTACAGAAACTATAAGGTACTAAATAATTGTAGTATCTGTCATAAACATAAATCTAAATTGTTCATAGTTTCGCTCGTATGTCATAGTATGACATTTGAGTTTTATTACAATGGTAAGTTTTAAGTTACGTAAGGATTTTGAATGCAGGAATCGTAGGCATGCTGCCTTTATTTCCTTGTAGAACATAATCGTATTGTGCGTAACAATTTAAGATATCTACGAAGGTATTCAATTAATATTATGACACATTATCATGTACGTAAGCTTTAGTGTACAATGTACACTATTAGTAATCCTATATACAATGGGTTTATCGCTAAAAACGATAGCAGTAACCAATAGGCAAATCGTTTTGTGGATGAAACACTATGAGTTTTTCTGATCAAATAAGGTTTTTTAAGGCAATAAAAACTTTTAAAACATTATTATTTAGAAATGATGTGTATAACATTAACACAAATTCATTAATTAATTTTATTGTTTATGTCTCAAAAATATAATAAAACATTGAATCAACGAGCATGCTGATATTTTGATGACAACAGTTACACCGGCCACTATTCAATCAACGATGCATAAACCCTACACAAAAATAAATCTACGTCAATTGTCGAAACTACCGAACTTGACGTAACCGTATTATAATATAAATACCGACAGATTTTTTGTGAACATTGCACTGAGCACTATAATGGTTTCTTTTTTTATTCACCCATTCAAACTGACATCACGTAGCACTTCGCGGTTGTTACGGCCTTGCTCGCATCTGACTGCAAGGAGGTGACAAATATTCTTCTTTTTTCTTTTATTAGCTGATAATAGTTTAGATAGAAAGATGCCTAGAGATATGCCAATTAATTGGTTCTATTTCTATAACACTTATGTTTATTGGTCTGATAATATCACATCCACCGACGTCATTAATCAATACGTTATTCCAATGCATTTTAAAAACGAACACAAATATCTTTTTTTATTTTGATTTGTACTTTCTTTTTTCAAAAAAGTCCAACGGATCGTCGTATAAGCGATCGTTCTGTATAGTAATACTTTTAATAGAAGATTGTGGAAGCATTTCTAGAGCTGCTAAAGTAATTTAAATAAAGATTCCACAATCTGTACTTAAATCACGAGAGCAGAGTAGAAGAGCCACCTACACTTAAATCAACCGTAACCGACACAAAATAATTAAAAGCTTGTCACAACATGACAGGATCGACAATTCAGCACAACAGCTAGTCTTCCATTCATCAATCCTCGCACTTGAAAATTTCGTTCATGCGTAGTAGTTTTTTGTTTAATGAGACAAAGCATGCACCATTAGCAGTATGACATGGCCACAACAGGCATCGATACCATGACATATATTGCAATTCTATAATCGGTTTTTTTAACGACCTTTAGCTATTGTCATTGTCGCGAGGTCCGCATGCAGTGTGGTCAGCCCCACTTGTTCTTATTCTGTTTTAACTCATATAAAAAGCCACGGTCAACGGAATTTGTCATCAATCATTGATTGACTTTGATCTAAACAACAACAAAATGTTCAGCAAAGTAAGTGAAATAAATTGTTAGATTTATACCTGACCAATTAACTGAAACAATAATCTGGACATGCGAATATGAACACAGTTAATTAAAACAAAATGTTATTTTAAAAAATTAAATAAAGTGATTGAGTGCGATTTTAAAAGTGGTCTTAAATTGATAATAGTGATTGCATGTATTTAATTAAAACCTATAAAACGGTTATAAAATAAGAAATATTTCAATTTAACTTATTGTATCTGCAGCTGGTAGCTTTCGGTGCGATGCTGGCAGCAGCTCGTGGCCACGGACACGCTGTGTCTTCCCAAAGCATCGTACGCCACGATGGTGGTCATTACGCCGCCCCCTACGCTGTGCCATACGCTGCTCCCTACGTAGCCGGTTACGCCGCACCATACGAAGGCGTCTACGCTGCCCCTTATGATGGTGTCTACGCTGCCCCCTACGCTGCACCTCTTCCGTACGCCGCCGATGGTCTGGCTTACGCTGGCCATTACGACAACGGCCATGATGAACATGTAAGTTGCATCAATCTGTTTAATCTAGTTGTGTCTTCCATAATTTTAATATTGCTATGACTTTACTTTTTTAATGTTTCATTCCAGGCTCACCCAAAATATGACTTCGAGTACTCTGTATCTGACCCCCACACCGGTGACCACAAGTCCCAGCACGAGAGCCGCGACGGTGACGCCGTGCACGGATACTACTCCCTGGTGCAGCCTGATGGCTCTGTGCGTAAGGTCGAGTACACCGCCGATGATCACAACGGGTAAGATTTTAATTTCACAATAGTTAAGTAAGATTAAATAAGCACATTGATTTTTTCTTAAATCTCCTCCTGTCCTCTGCTCAACCCGTTACTGGTTCGAAATCTGTTTAATATGACTTAATTTTCCTTAAACTTAATCAACTTTAAATAAGTATTATAATACTATCTACGAAAAGGAGTGTCTAGCAATTTATATGTGCATCTCTATACACACACCTGTATATATTAACCTCAACTATTTTTAAATATCACATTACTTAACAATATCTTAATCCCTTTACTTCAGATTCAACGCCGTTGTGCACACGTCAGCTCCATCCATCCACCCTGCACCCGAGTACCACCACTACTAATGAACAAAGTATCTTCTAAATCTTAATCGACCTGCTGAAACCAAATACGAATGTAAATTAATTTATTAAAACATTTTATATACCGACATATATTCTATTATTAGAAACCAGAACCTCTGCTCTGCCCCGAAAAAGCAACTACGCAGCTTTGATTGTTTATTCCTTTTCGTAACCGCAAAATACGAGTATAATCCAAACTTTACTTATTTGTAAAACGGTAAACCTCAACGACCGCAGTGGTTTATCATGCATATTTATCAAATTATCTTAATTACAGTCCTCTTATGGTTATAATCCAATTAAAAAATGACAAGTTCAAAAAATATTTCGTATATACGTAACAAAGACTATTTAGCGCTAGGCCGATATTTTATCAGATAATATTTTTATAACAAGGTTGTTGCGCTTGCGTGATTCCGGCCGTAAACTATAAACACTATTTACCCACTCAGTAATTTTGCTTGTGTAAGAAACTAAGTAGTATACTAAATGCATGTTTTGCCCTCCAAAATTAAAATTAGCACGTTTACAAAAAATGGCATTAAAATTTACATACATACTGTTTATTTTAAATCTACATTAAACTACATCTTTTCAGCAAAATAAATAGTCAGAATTAAAGATGATAGTTATTTAAATATGAAATCTGAATACTAATTACATTAATTGTTTTTAAAATTGTCAATAAAAATCGCATTTTACTTTTAATCCTTCCGCTTCCTACAACAACTTTGTGTAACAAAAAAATATAATATATATAATAAGACGAAAATCGTTTAACACATTATCATTATTAGTTTAAAATTAATTTAATTAACAACTGAATTAGAGCATACACACTACACACGCATATGTCTTCGAAAATAAATATATTTTATTTGCTTTATGACAGCAAAAACAAGTAATATATATACAGCTTCTGTTAATATACAATATACTTAATTAGGGACAAGGGTAAAATATCAATCAGAATGTACTAAAAACAATTACATTAAACTTAATAGAAAATAATTAATCAATTGTGGGGCGATCATTCCTCTCTACACTGCTCGATTGCACCACGGCGATCGACTACTGGCCGAAATTAATAACCATTAACCAAGCACAAGCCGAAACCTTTGGATTGTGATCAATTTTTGATATTCATTCTATAGGATTTCTATAAAAAGATTAAGAATCTAAGATTTGTCCAGAGATTTTGGATCAGGATCAGTCATAAATTTAGGCCGTACAATGTAACGTAGTTGAAAAGATAACTTTTTTACTTACTGATTAAAAAAATATATTTATGATTATTCTGTATACTTGCGTGTACGCTGCATGTCGGTTGAATGGGCATTTACATATCAACGGGTTGAATAATAATCTTCGACACAACCATTCTAGCAAGTTTCAAGGGATGGGAACATCTACTAAACAATAGAAACCAAAATCTCATAATCTAGATGTAAACAATGTATATAGATACGTTCATAACTGCTGAGTATGTTCTTTGTATGGAATGTAAACAGTATTTAGTTCCCCCAGCAAAAAAACATTAGCGTTTACGTAACTTTAACGTGCGGTTTCGATACGCAAATTGTTTGTTGGTTTATCAATCTTCAATCAAAAACAAAAGCTCAATCTTTCATTCGTTTTACTTGGATTAGTAATTAGACTATAGCAAGATAAAAGATTTTTTTAACTAGATGCATATAATATTATCATACCTGATTGAAGGTGTGCCTGAAAATCGAAAATCTGATATTCAAGTCCTAGGGATCAGGATCTATTTTTCTTAAAGTTTTCACTTCCATAGTACAAGTAGACACTTGTCGGTGATCGTCCTCTTTCACACACTTCCTCATTTATTAGACAAACTTCGCAAATCAGCACATACAAATATTGTTAAAGTTTCTAGAATTGATTAACAACGAGAAAAATACTTGAATATTCTTGGATAGAATTTTACTAGTGTTTTAATTTATAGTATTTGTTTTAGGTATCTGACTAAGTACTAATTAAATTATAGCAATATCCTCTCAAGGACCTTCCATCGGAAATCATTCATCACCAAACAATGACAGCTGATTAGATTTTCAACTAAGTATTCATTCATCGTTTCCTTTCAATCAATAACATTTGTACTGCTACCATCACGCAAGCTTTCCCAATAAGTATTTATGTTTTATTTTCCATTTTTCGCGTGCTCGTGTCAATTATATGTAACTTTGAACTGTTTTATTTGTTTACGCTATTTGTAGAGAAACTTACCGCGACTCCATATTATGTATGTTCGTGGCCGAGTTACAGATAACGCAACGGTAATGATATAATTTATTAGTGTCATGTCTTCACATGTGTGATTACCGTTGCCAGAACAAAAGCTCTAAACTGTGTCTAAACTAGTATATTATTTACTTGACTTATGAAGGTTCACCTACGCAGTACTCGAACTAATCTATTTAGTAACTCTCGTATTCACTTCGAATTTCAGTCAATCATCACATACAGTGGAGCAGACAGAAGTTCACAAAATCATAAAAAACAACACTGGTTACAAAATTCGACGCACAAACGACAAAAACGTATCATTGTGCGCATTGACCTAGTATAACAAAGTGTAGTATCGTGGTTCACAGAGTATTTTCATTAAGTAACAATCATTTTGATAATGTAGCGCGAGAATGTCGAAGACAAAGCGCGCTGACCTTGCGGCCGCGGGGACGCGCGCTGATCGCTTTCGGCGCCCCACCGGACTACCCGGGCCAATTCTTATAAAACCCACGGCAGCTTATCATATGTATGTTAGTCACGCACAACTATCCCATCAGAAAAATGTTCGCTAAAGTAAGTCGTCTTCCCGAGTTAAAAAGTGAAGTGAAAAGTGTATTGAAGTGAGAAAAATAATGTGATTTTATATATGCAGATTTTAGCTGTCAGCGCTTTGGTGGCTGTGGCCCGCGCTGGTCACCTCGGGCTTGGCGGATACTCGGTGTCCTCCCAGCACAACCTGGTGCACCACGACTCGCATTACGCGGCAGCTCCCCTCGCCACTTACGCTCACGCCACGCCCCTGGTACACGCCGCGCCCGTCGTCCATGCTCCCGTCGTTCACGCTGCACCCGTCGCCCACGTCATCGCTGCCCCCGTTGAAGTACATGGAGGCCACTACAGCCACGGACATGAGGACTACTATGTGCGTAAATAATGTCATCTCATTCAATAGAAATAATGTTAAAGCTCCAGACACACTACATATGTTACTAATATGCTTACATGTTTACAGGCTCACCCCAAATACAAGTACTCCTACTCTGTGGAAGACCCTCACACTGGCGACCACAAGTCCCAGCACGAGGTCCGTGATGGCGATGTCGTGAAGGGAGAATACTCTCTGCTGCAGCCTGATGGCTCTTTCCGCAAGGTGTCCTACACAGCTGATGACCACAACGGGTACGTAGAACAAAACAATATAAATCATTCATTCTTCTTCGATCTGAATAGTTAAGCTGTTGAGAGGAAAGAAAATAGTAAAAAATTACGTAAAATAGAATCTAAACACAAGGTGCATACGTAATGACAAACGGTTGCTTGGTTGATGAGAGTGCAACTTTCCCCCGAATTGCGCAAAACAGTACTGAACTGCCATATTTGCTCGCTTATGGAGCTTTGTTTGTTTACGTACGCATGTGAGTCGTAAAATTACATCGTATTAAGTCACATGCTCGTCAAACCGGTAAATGGTCACTAGAGCAGCAACATGTGAGTAATGAACTCGTGCGACCCATGTGCTGACTGACAACAGGTATCGGTGAACAGGTATCGTGATAACAGACTAGTCTCGAAACCTGTTTCAATACACTGCTATCGAATCGTCACATTATTATCTGATTGTTTATTTTCTTTGGAGTCTAGGTATGACAAAGTATTACAGATATTGTAGTTTAATTTGAATTTCTCATTGAATAACCTCGTTACTGTAACATATAACGTTTAACAGCTGAAAAGTGCGTGTTAGTTAAGTTACGATGTATGCTTCTGTGTAGCTTCGAGAAATTAAGCGTGATTTTCTTTGCAGTTTCAACGCGGTCGTGCACAACTCCGGCCCCAGCCACCACGTGTACTCATCCCAACACCACCACTACTAGATCTCTGTACAAGGAAGCTTTAACCACAATGTACCTTATTTATACTCGCTGTGATCTTCGTGTATGTTCTTTTGTTTATAGATAATAGTCATTAAAATTACCATAAAAAACAAGGCCTTCTTTCATTAATAATTTGCATACACACACATATTTTCCACATAATTACCGATGTAGATTGTCGGAAAATTAAATAAATATACACTCTTAGTGTTACAAAGTATGTAAAACAGCTGTCAATGTTACGAAAGTTTGTTTCTAGTGAAACCAGCAAATTCTGTCCGTTGAAAGTTTTGCCAGTTGTCGAATATCTATCAGAAACGCGATTGTAATTAATTTGCAAACGTGTAGGCTGAGAGATTGAAGAGATTATGCTAAGCAAATAGTCAATACAAATAGTAAGCTTGTGTTTGTTAAGGTTCGATACATTTTCAAAGCCATGAAACCTTTCAAACAATAGGTCATTCGAAGTACTTTGCATAGGTAGGTACCATTCTGCCAATGGATATATTTATGGTGGTTGAAGCCTTGACATTTACGTGGCAATTCCAAGTATTAAAGTTTAGCGACTGATTTTAGTGAACTGATAGACCAACATAATCCATTGAAAAACAGCATAACATATTAATTTAAAAATTGGTTGAAATCGGAATAATACACAAAGTAACAAAGGTTTTATTTGTTTTCATTCCAAAGTATCGCATCTTTACTGCCACTAAAATTAACGATAGCTCTCAAGGATAAGTTGTGTATTATCATACGGCATAACTGTGCAAATTGTCACTCTCATACACTATTCATATCATTAGGGCCCACAGTTTGTTCTGAGTCGTGATTGTAGTACCTTGAAACAAACATATCTCAAGGTAATTTCGACCTTATTGTTTCCACAGTTGCCTTAATTTACTTCTTGAAACAATGGACTTATCTAAGAGATATGAAGTTACAAGTACTATGTTATTTTGTAAAGTAAGTATTTGAAAGCTTGTTCCTCGTTTAGGCCTACACAGTTTCAATACGCAGGTAATTTCTCAATACACAGGTAATGCTACACCACTGACAAATAGCACATATAATTTCTACGTCGCAAGCAATCCTGTTAACGCCCCTGTCAGTAGATAACTGGCTAGATTTACAAGTTTACGATGTCACAAGCAACGAGTTGTATCTTAAAGTGTTCGGCACACTACTCCTAAAACATTCACTGTTCACCCTGCTACTGATATTGCACTCATTTCACTTCAACTACGAAGTTTAGTTTTGCAATAACATCATTTAACGCAACGGCATAGTTAATATACATTACACATACTAATTTAATAATTTAATTCAAACGGTTTCGTCAAAGTTACTTGTGAATTAAAGTTAGATTAACACCTCGGTTAAATTATAGGCTGGTGGGATAATTAAGCTCTTCAAAATCATTATTCTTCAAAGGCTAAAAAGGTAATTTGCTACTGGACTTTTCTTTGATGAAGAAATTCGTTGGCGTCCAACCGGTTTGTAGGCAAATGATAATATTTAGACATCCAGGTCGAGTACCTCGGACAGCCAGCTATTACCTTCAGCATTAAACTACGGATGTAAGATGTAAACTTATTTCCTCTGACCATTCAAACGGGTCTAAAAATTTTCAATTATAATGTGCCATGTATAATCTTTTAAATTTTTTGGTGCTTGATCAAATAATTAATTAATAATAATTTACTTCTAACTTTTCACTAAATATACAATTTTATGGTAAATCTTAAAATTACAATGAAGCCAAAATATTTACATGTATCTGCCTATATCTGAACCGGTTGCGGCGTATAGATTCTGATACAGTCTTTGCATCGTATTCCGCATGTCAAGCCACGGCCGCAGTCCGGAACAATCTAAATCGATATGTCGGATACGAAACATGTAAATGAAATCAGATTAAGAACTACACCGGAATATACGTTTAGGTAGATAATAACAATATACTCACAATAACACACTCAAAACTTCCGGAATCCAGATCAGGATTAACGACCCGGAATTCCTTAAAGAAATGAATTTATGGTAATAAAAAATCATCGAATAATAAATAAAACATAGATATGTATTAGTCCTATATTAACGTAATTTTCTGCCTCGTTGGCCGAGTGGTCGCACTGCCTGGCAAGGGGTCTCGGGTTCGATTCCCGGGTCGGGCAAAGACTCATAACATAAAATATTGAAAAGTGGGTGTTACATTGTACAGTGGCATTAAGTACCGTAATGTGCACCTCTGCCTACTCCTTTGGGGATAAAAGTCGTGATGTTATGTTATGTTATGTTAACATAATTTTCTTCTTTGATCTTAAACAATCAAATTAAATTATCTTTCTAACTAAAGACCAAACTAAACATTTTGTAGCCCAGATGTTACGATTGTATTTCGTATATTTATTATTATATTTTTAATTATTTTTTTTTATTTCGCAATGAAACTTATACGTGCCTAAATTAGTAATACCTGCTTCCTAATAAATAATAATATTCCACGAAATTAAATTATACAGACATATAAAGTATCTAATGTTTCAAGAGCAGATCACATTACATACTATTGTTAGCCGCAGACAAAGAAATGTCCACAATAAGTTCTGATTAATATTAATAGCTGAGTTCCGAGTCACGGTCAGACAATTAGAGGGTAAATAACCTCTGAACTATCGCTTTTTGTTACCTTTCAACCAAATCTATTATTACTGTCGACCTTGTGTACAATATTTATGTAATTTAGATACTTAGATCACAAGTATTGGCTTCCGTGACGATCGTTCTACCGACTCACGACTAGAAACACCCAGATTGCCGGACCTATCGACCGATAATAGGGACCTTTTGCAGAATGTACTCCGAACAATTAAATCAGTTACAATCGTGAGCACCTTTCAAATATTTTGAATATTCGATTAAAATTAATCTGAATTCTATGCTGAAAGTTTTGTAATTCTGATATTGTTAGAGTTTGTTAGGTACATAAATTTATACAATTGTATTAACTACGTGTCAGAGTCAGAGTGAGAGATTGTCAAAATTGAATACAAATATGAAGTTCCAAGAGTTCAATCACTGAAGCAAATAAAATAATTTAGGCTACTTATTCATTGAGGAGTCAAAAAAACTTAAATAATAAAACAATTCAAGAAGGAAACTCATAAAGTATGAAAACTTAATCTCGTAGTTTTAGAATTAGAATTGGTACTTACTTAATAAGTGGTAATAAAGTACGTGAATTTATATTTTTTAAGGGGGAAAATCATCGAATGATTTTTCCCGCCTGGGTGAGGCGGGAGGGAGTGGCAGACTCTGACTAAAAAACCACCCTGTTCGTACTTCTGCACTTCGAGCCGGAGTCCTTTGAGCCTTCAAGTCCTCCGCGGCTCCGTATCAGCGTCAGCCATCAGAACATAAACATGTCTAAATCTTCCAATAATCTAATAAATAAGTAATTAATAAAATGGTTCAATGACCTCTAACGTGTAAAGCTCATACCTAAATTCCTAAATATGAGTGTTTTTTAATCTCCTTAAAACGGTCTTAGCACTACAGAAGTTCATTTTACAGAGTCACAGAATGCCAAAGAGCAAAATAAGGGACAATATATTTGACAGAGACTGGGCAACATCGCTCCGCCACAAACCTGAACCGTTATAAATGCAACTTTTTTTTTTATACCACGACGGTGGCAAAAAACCACACGGCCTACCTGATGGTAAGCGGTTACCGTGGCCTATGTACGCCTGCAACACTTGAGGCATTACATGCGTCTTGCCGACCCTTAAAAAACCTATTCACTGCCCTCTTGAAGAACCTCATGTTGTAGCCCACTGGGAAAACCATGGCAGGGAGCTCATTCCACAATCGGAGGCAACTAAATTCCAACACTGTAATGCCACGGGTGGTTGATAATGATGAATTAATACTCGTTAAGATGTCAGTTAGATGATCCTCGATAAAAATAAATACTGTTCATTATCTAAAACGGTCTAGTTAATACCTAATTGAATGCTGAAACGGTTGTTAACTGCTGTACCGTAATAGCCAAAGCGTGCTCATTAAGGCCATGCTGTAAACAAAGTGTATTTTTATCACATACATCACGCACACTTGCAATAGAACCTTCTTCATTTCGGAGTCCGTTAATTGTTATGCCCACTTTACCCTGGAAAGTTATTCTATGCGACTATGTATGACATACACCAAGAGAAAACAAATTTTCTAAATGTAAACGAAAATTTATAAATAATATTACAGGTAATGGTTGAAGAAAAAAACAAATATAAAACCAATTCCTTCATGGTCGACAAAAGCACAGTGATGCCTTTAATGTTGCCCGCTACGGTGACGG